TTTTTTTTTTTTTTTTTTTTTTTTTTTTTTTTTTTTTTTTTTTTTTTTTTTTTTTTTTTTTTTTTTTTTTTTTTTTTTTTTTTTTTTTTTTTTTTTTTTTTTTTTTTTTTTTTTTTTTTTTTTTTTTTTTTTTTTTTTTTTTTTTTTTTTTTTTTTTTTTTTTTTTTTTTTTTTTTTTTTTTTTTTTTTTTTTTTTTTTTTTTTTTTTTTTTTTTTTTTTTTTTTTTTTTTTTTTTTTTTTTTTTTTTTTTTTTTTTTTTTTTTTTTTTTTTTTTTTTTTTTTTTTTTTTTTTTTTTTTTTTTTTTTTTTTTTTTTTTTTTTTTTTTTTTTTTTTTTTTTTTTTTTTTTTTTTTTTTTTTTTTTTTTTTTTTTTTTTTTTTTTTTTTTTTTTTTTTTTTTTTTTTTTTTTTTTTTTTTTTTTTTTTTTTTTTTTTTTTTTTTTTTTTTTTTTTTTTTTTTTTTTTTTTTTTTTTTTTTTTTTTTTTTTTTTTTTTTTTTTTTTTTTTTTTTTTTTTTTTTTTTTTTTTTTTTTTTTTTTTTTTTTTTTTTTTTTTTTTTTTTTTTTTTTTTTTTTTTTTTTTTTTTTTTTTTTTTTTTTTTTTTTTTTTTTTTTTTTTTTTTTTTTTTTTTTTTTTTTTTTTTTTTTTTTTTTTTTTTTTTTTTTTTTTTTTTTTTTTTTTTTTTTTTTTTTTTTTTTTTTTTTTTTTTTTTTTTTTTTTTTTTTTTTTTTTTTTTTTTTTTTTTTTTTTTTTTTTTTTTTTTTTTTTTTTTTTTTTTTTTTTTTTTTTTTTTTTTTTTTTTTTATTTTTTTTTTTTTTTTTTTTTTTTTTTTTTTTTTTTTTTTTTTTTTTTTTTTTTTTTTTTTTTTTTTTTTTTTTTTTTTTTTTTTTTTTTTTTTTTTTTTTTTTTTTTTTTTTTTTTTTTTTTTTTTTTTTTTTTTTTTTTTTTTTTTTTTTTTTTTTTTTTTTTTTTTTTTTTTTTTTTTTTTTTTTTTTTTTTTTTTTTTTTTTTTTTTTTTTTTTTTTTTTTTTTTTTTTTTTTTTTTTTTTTTTTTTTTTTTTTTTTTTTTTTTTTTTTTTTTTTTTTTTTTTTTTTTTTTTTTTTTTTTTTTTTTTTTTTTTTTTTTTTTTTTTTTTTTTTTTTTTTTTTTTTTTTTTTTTTTTTTTTTTTTTTTTTTTTTTTTTTTTTTTTTTTTTTTTTTTTTTTTTTTTTTTTTTTTTTTTTTTTTTTTTTTTTTTTTTTTTTTTTTTTTTTTTTTTTTTTTTTTTTTTTTTTTTTTTTTTTTTTTTTTTTTTTTTTTTTTTTTTTTTTTTTTTTTTTTTTTTTTTTTTTTTTTTTTTTTTTTTTTTTTTTTTTTTTTTTTTTTTTTTTTTTTTTTTTTTTTTTTTTTTTTTTTTTTTTTTTTTTTTTTTTTTTTTTTTTTTTTTTTTTTTTTTTTTTTTTTTTTTTTTTTTTTTTTTTTTTTTTTTTTTTTTTTTTTTTTTTTTTTTTTTTTTTTTTTTTTTTTTTTTTTTTTTTTTTTTTTTTTTTTTTTTTTTTTTTTTTTTTTTTTTTTTTTTTTTTTTTTTTTTTTTTTTTTTTTTTTTTTTTTTTTTTTTTTTTTTTTTTTTTTTTTTTTTTTTTTTTTTTTTTTTTTTTTTTTTTTTTTTTTTTTTTTTTTTTTTTTTTTTTTTTTTTTTTTTTTTTTTTTTTTTTTTTTTTTTTTTTTTTTTTTTTTTTTTTTTTTTTTTTTTTTTTTTTTTTTTTTTTTTTTTTTTTTTTTTTTTTTTTTTTTTTTTTTTTTTTTTTTTTTTTTTTTTTTTTTTTTTTTTTTTTTTTTTTTTTTTTTTTTTTTTTTTTTTTTTTTTTTTTTTTTTTTTTTTTTTTTTTTTTTTTTTTTTTTTTTTTTTTTTTTTTTTTTTTTTTTTTTTTTTTTTTTTTTTTTTTTTTTTTTTTTTTTTTTTTTTTTTTTTTTTTTTTTTTTTTTTTTTTTTTTTTTTTTTTTTTTTTTTTTTTTTTTTTTTTTTTTTTTTTTTTTTTTTTTTTTTTTTTTTTTTTTTTTTTTTTTTTTTTTTTTTTTTTTTTTTTTTTTTTTTTTTTTTTTTTTTTTTTTTTTTTTTTTTTTTTTTTTTTTTTTTTTTTTTTTTTTTTTTTTTTTTTTTTTTTTTTTTTTTTTTTTTTTTTTTTTTTTTTTTTTTTTTTTTTTTTTTTTTTTTTTTTTTTTTTTTTTTTTTTTTTTTTTTTTTTTTTTTTTTTTTTTTTTTTTTTTTTTTTTTTTTTTTTTTTTTTTTTTTTTTTTTTTTTTTTTTTTTTTTTTTTTTTTTTTTTTTTTTTTTTTTTTTTTTTTTTTTTTTTTTTTTTTTTTTTTTTTTTTTTTTTTTTTTTTTTTTTTTTTTTTTTTTTTTTTTTTTTTTTTTTTTTTTTTTTTTTTTTTTTTTTTTTTTTTTTTTTTTTTTTTTTTTTTTTTTTTTTTTTTTTTTTTTTTTTTTTTTTTTTTTTTTTTTTTTTTTTTTTTTTTTTTTTTTTTTTTTTTTTTTTTTTTTTTTTTTTTTTTTTTTTTTTTTTTTTTTTTTTTTTTTTTTTTTTTTTTTTTTTTTTTTTTTTTTTTTTTTTTTTTTTTTTTTTTTTTTTTTTTTTTTTTTTTTTTTTTTTTTGTTTTTTTTTTTTTTTTTTTTTTTTTTTTTTTTTTTTTTTTTTTTTTTTTTTTTTTTTTTTTTTTTTTTTTTTTTTTTTTTTTTTTTTTTTTTTTTTTTTTTTTTTTTTTTTTTTTTTTTTTTTTTTTTTTTTTTTTTTTTTTTTTTTTTTTTTTTTTTTTTTTTTTTTTTTTTTTTTTTTTTTTTTTTTTTTTTTTTTTTTTTTTTTTTTTTTTTTTTTTTTTTTTTTTTTTTTTTTTTTTTTTTTTTTTTTTTTTTTTTTTTTTTTTTTTTTTTTTTTTTTTTTTTTTTTTTTTTTTTTTTTTTTTTTTTTTTTTTTTTTTTTTTTTTTTTTTTTTTTTTTTTTTTTTTTTTTTTTTTTTTTTTTTTTTTTTTTTTTTTTTTTTTTTTTTTTTTTTTTTTTTTTTTTTTTTTTTTTTTTTTTTTTTTTTTTTTTTTTTTTTTTTTTTTTTTTTTTTTTTTTTTTTTTTTTTTTTTTTTTTTTTTTTTTTTTTTTTTTTTTTTTTTTTTTTTTTTTTTTTTTTTTTTTTTTTTTTTTTTTTTTTTTTTTTTTTTTTTTTTTTTTTTTTTTTTTTTTTTTTTTTTTTTTTTTTTTTTTTTTTTTTTTTTTTTTTTTTTTTTTTTTTTTTTTTTTTTTTTTTTTTTTTTTTTTTTTTTTTTTTTTTTTTTTTTTTTTTTTTTTTTTTTTTTTTTTTTTTTTTTTTTTTTTTTTTTTTTTTTTTTTTTTTTTTTTTTTTTTTTTTTTTTTTTTTTTTTTTTTTTTTTTTTTTTTTTTTTTTTTTTTTTTTTTTTTTTTTTTTTTTTTTTTTTTTTTTTTTTTTTTTTTTTTTTTTTTTTTTTTTTTTTTTTTTTTTTTTTTTTTTTTTTTTTTTTTTTTTTTTTTTTTTTTTTTTTTTTTTTTTTTTTTTTTTTTTTTTTTTTTTTTTTTTTTTTTTTTTTTTTTTTTTTTTTTTTTTTTTTTTTTTTTTTTTTTTTTTTTTTTTTTTTTTTTTTTTTTTTTTTTTTTTTTTTTTTTTTTTTTTTTTTTTTTTTTTTTTTTTTTTTTTTTTTTTTTTTTTTTTTTTTTTTTTTTTTTTTTTTTTTTTTTTTTTTTTTTTTTTTTTTTTTTTTTTTTTTTTTTTTTTTTTTTTTTTTTTTTTTTTTTTTTTTTTTTTTTTTTTTTTTTTTTTTTTTTTTTTTTTTTTTTTTTTTTTTTTTTTTTTTTTTTTTTTTTTTTTTTTTTTTTTTTTTTTTTTTTTTTTTTTTTTTTTTTTTTTTTTTTTTTTTTTTTTTTTTTTTTTTTTTTTTTTTTTTTTTTTTTTTTTTTTTTTTTTTTTTTTTTTTTTTTTTTTTATTTTTTTTTTTTTTTTTTTTTTTTTTTTTTTTTTTTTTTTTTTCCACTGCCGCCACCGCCGCCGCCGCCGCCGCCGGCACTGCCGCTGTTGAATTTTCTTGGAAACTGTTGGAACGCGCGCTGCGAGATTATCGCTTGACAGCGGCGACGTCCCTCGCTCCCATAAGCGCCGTTCGAGATTCCTCGCTCAATTACACGTCGGATGTGGAGACGACGTGGACAACGCGACGCAGACTACGACCCCATGTGTTCCTCCGCGTCGTCCCAGTGTCTGGAGGCTGACGCGCGCGTTTTATTATTAGAACAACGCTGCTATGCGACCGGGCGGCAAGCGGCGTCGACCACATGAAGAACGCGCGCGCGCTACCGTCGTATCGCGTTCCTCTGTGTAACGGTCGGCTTCTGTCGCCGTCGCCACCGCCGCCGCCGCTGTCACTCGAGGAAGGCCACGAAATCACTTGACGTCAGCGTTAACGCGATGTAAGCGTGTGCGTCCGACGCGCGACGGCTGCGCTGCCAAGTAAGCAGAGACGATCGTGCTCCGCGCGCTCTCGCGGTCTCCTGTTTGTATATGTTATACCGCGCGCGCGACGCGGTATTGCTTTTGCTCGTTGCGCAAACGATAAACTTCCTCGAAAGTCGGACTGTCTCTGTCGATCACTTGCTGGCTGGCTGGCTCGCTCGCGTTCGAAAAGCGCCCGAGGCTGTAACTCGAGTCTCGCAGCGCATATTCGCCCGACGGCGAGCGACTGATCTCGCTTACGGAGAGATTAGATTCTTTGTCTTTGATCGAGAAGCAACGGCCTGAGAAGAATGGAGTAGAGTTTTTCAAACGTTGTGCGCGATTGTCACCTGAGAGAATGTGCGCTGAATGTTAGTTGGCTACTTGCCCCCTATGTGTAGTTGTTTACAAAATGTTCGTTTGACTGCTTACCCCCATTTGCTAATAACATCTCGCATCTATTCGTCTCGTCTCATTCCTTTTTTCTCTCTCATTTTCCTTTCTATTCAATATGCTGCACTCTATTTCCAGACGGTTGAGGTCTTTCTAGTGCGCAGTGTGAGTGTTGTGGTCAGCGATAGAGTGGACAAAGCGGGCTACACGAATTCTGAGAGGCATAAATGGGTTTGCGGCAGCGGGGGACCACGCTCGCTCAGAAGTGTAGAAGTCACAACGCCTACTCCTACACCCCCAACGCCGCTCTTCAGCTCTGAATGCCCCTCGTCCAACTCTGCTAATCTACGGGGTCAAACTACCCAGAGATCTGTAAGTAGATGAACGAATACATTGTCACGGTAAATAATGAAATGTACAAATCACTTGTGGTGATCGGGTAATAATTTTGTCTGTTTTATATTTCAATCTCGGACAGAAATCGCGGGTGGATGCAATGTTGGAACGTGCTCTGACACAGCCACAACAGTGTTCCGTGGATCTACTAGACAACGCCCAAAGTTGGGGTATTCCTATCTGGTCGACGGATAAACTTCTGACCTGGCTGGAAAAAATCTACGTGTCTTTTCATGAAAAATATAATTTGAAGCATCTGAAGCAAATCAATCAGTATAAGCCAGAGAAAGATTTGAAAGTTAAGAATCTGAAAGGATCGTACATCAAATTTGAATCCTTTCGCAGGTAAGCTATTGTATTACAATTGTACTGTAATATATTATACTCCAAACGTTCGAGTACACACGTCGTGCGTGTCTGCTTTCAGGAATACCAGACCCGTGTTCCTGGAATTATCAGCGTGGCCGACGTTAAACTTCGACGGTGATCCAGGCTCGTGTCCCTTCGACACGAAGAAGCAGGTGAAGCAGGCCGGCAGATTAATTGGCAGAGAAGTTAAAGAGAATAAGAAAAATATTGAATACATAAACAAGGAGGAGGTGCGTCGCAGCTGCTGTTACTATTACTACTACACGTGCAGTGGACGTTAATCGAGTCTTCTGTCGCGTTAAACGGACTGTCATAATTAATTTCTTCTTCATATTAGCAGAGTAAAGAAATGACTCGGAGACCCCGCGCCACTGCCGCACGTGCTCGTAGAACGGAACAGTTGGTCTCTGGTTACTGTGAGATTTGTAGTACTCGTTATGACGATCTGACGAAGCATGTGCAAACCGAGCAGCATGTAAACTTTGCGCGGAACGACGACAATTTTTTGTCCTTGGATAGGCTAATCAATGCAGGCGCTAATGTGGAAGCGTTCCTAAAACTGAATGGAACGAAGGATATAGAGTGAGTATATATGCGGGCAAAGAAAACTTTGCTTTTACTTGAACTTATCTGAGATCTATTGAGATTTATCCGTTAAGTTTCTCGAAAATATAAAAACATTTCTCATTTCGATGCGCGACCGTGCTGATACGATCCCTTAATTTCTTGCAGGAAAGACTGTAATTTGTTCCCCAATGAAGATAACAATCTTCACAATGTAGTACTGCCCGAAGAGAAGGTAACCAAAAACACCAAGACTTTAAGCAATTTTAGTGTCGATGAGATAAAAATGGTGCAGTGTAATGGTGCGCGCAGAAACCTTAATTTAAAGTTGAGCTCGCCGCACAATCTACGTGCTCGCGCGAAACACGAGAGCGGTCACCTCCTGAGGTCCAAGGGTAGCCCATGGCACGAGGTCGAAAAGAGCGAGAAGTTCTACGACAAGTTAGAAGGCTATACTATCAAGAAACGTTCTAAGGGCACTATCTGGATCGAAGAGGAGGATCCGGAGGACAAGTATGCGGAGGATATTATAAAGGAGCCCAAGCAGGAGGACTACAAGATCAAACCGTTTTCGAAGGACCTCGACGAGGTATATCACACTAATAATAAGGAAGATAATGTCAATAGTAAGCACAACACTGAGCCGCCGAATCTGCAACAAACAGTGGTGCATACACAAAACTGTATTATAAACTCGCGTCGTATATCGGAAGATGCGGACTATCTCAAAAGCAAGGACCACGACAAACGTAACGGTGACGAGAACTCTGGTCCTTTCGAGTGTACGATCAACGAGAATGACGTGGTGGAAAATAATTTTATCGTGAATATATCCATGTTGTGCAATGACGAGTCTTTTCACAGGGACAATTGTGCACTGCAAACGATGGATGCGAGAAAGTTTGCGGACGATACCGCACTCCTCGACACGACCGATATCGTCTGCAACGGGCATAGCAAGAACAGCCGCAAGCTTGACCACACGGTGGTGAAGCCGTTGCAGGGGGAAAACACTCGGTACGTGAAGTCCAAGCATCATCCACGAGCCGGTCGAAGAGGCGGCAGGAACATCAGAGGTCGGCACCGGTTATCGGTGGAGGAGCGTCTGATCGAAGACAATCGCGCTTATTACAAGGTCGAAGTACTGGGGAACAAGTTGCGATCAAGCGCGATACCAGGTAGCAATTCGCAGCATGCGACGTCCAAGGACGGTGATGACGAAGAGAAGAAGGAAGAGACACCGTCCAGCGAGAAGCCAGTGGTTGTTAGATTCAAGCGTGTGAGGAAGTCGGAATTGTCGCTACTCAGCGACGAGGCGGAGTCCTTTATGTTCGGCGAGCCGAAGCGGGACGATTCCAGTGACGTTAGTTACGGCGATCAGAGTAGTCTGCTACCGAGGGACACCGAGAGCGACATCAACGAGATGAATGTGTCACCGAGCTCACCGTTGATCTCCAGTTCGCCGGTGAAGCCGGAGGTCATCGAGGAAGATTCGCAGGACTCTGTGCATCTCGGTCGAGCGAGGAAGAGAAGACGCACGCAGGCTGAAGCGTTCATCAGAGATAACACCGACTACTACAAGTTCGAGACGCCGGGCAGCAGATTGAGGTATCAGGCTCCATTGACCGGCATCAAGGACGCTGTGGACGGTGGAGAACGCGCGAAAAAATCATCGGAGGCCAACAACAGAGCGGCTGCGCAGGCTTACTGCGACGACGTCGACAAGATTTATCCGTCCAAGCCGTCAGCAGAGATCGAGAAGATGCAGTTCTCCTTCGAGGCGATACCGCAATCCGAGCCGTGGTATCAAACGTACCAACGTCAAGACACGGGCGCGGAATATTGGCATTGTTTCAGCGAGAACGACTCGATGAAGCCATTTCTGCTGCCGTACGAGATCGAGAACTTCTCCGAGACCATGCTGAAGAACCTAAACAGTCGAATCGATGGTAAGAAGAGAGGTCGTGGACGCGGCGTGGGATGCGTCGGTCGCTCGCCTAGGAAGAGCCCGCGTTGTCACGCGTCTACGTTGGCCATCATGTCCACCATAATACGCAAGAGGGAGCAACAGCAACAGCCACCGTCGTCGACCCTGTACACGATAGAGGAGTCACCGATCGCCGCTAGATCACGCACGAACACACCTCGGCCGGAACAGAAGCAAGACGCGAAAAACCGAGCTTCGGAAGTCGACGAGGAGCTAAAGGAGATGGCGAGGACTATCGACGAGATGCTGAGCGCGAAGGGTATGACGGAGCTCGACGTCTCGTTCGAGCCGGACGAGCAGATGCAGACCGACTTCTACGAGTCCAACGTGCCAAAGGGCGCGCCGTCGAATCTGCTGGAGTTGCTCGATAACTGCCACGATGTCATCAACTGCCTGGAGAACTCGTCGTGCGCCAGCTCGGAATGCGGCGAGACGAATCCGGAGTGTCCGCTGAAGCGGCGGAAACGGCGGAAAAACCGAACTGGTTGGCCCGACAATAAGATGAAGAGGAAACTGCAGAGCAACAGCAGCAAGGTCCTGGCGGACACCGCTTATTGCGAGCGGAAGACGCTGTTGGACAAGAGGCTGTTCTCGGACAACGGACTGGCCAGCTCCATCGAGCGACGCACATTGATCGTGTCCAACGGATTGTCGGAAGAGACTGATCCTCGAGCGGCGGTCACCACGTCGAATAATATTTTGTTGAGCGGGGCGGAGAGGATCGGTGCGAACCCGAAGATCGACACGGATGCACCGATACTAGAGAACTGTGCTTCCACCGCGTCTCACAAACCGTGCCACGAGACGCTCACCAAGAGAGACACCAAGAGCATAGAGATCACCAGCGACACGGGGCTGCCAACGAGCACGGACAACAGCTACGCGGAGTTGTCGGTCTCGTCGGAAAACGACATTGTGACGGACAACAGGAAATGTTATCCGTCGATAAAGGAGTATCCGTACAGAAAAGAGCTGTCGGGTGTCGAGGAGATCTCCGAGAACGACCCGGGCAACGACGAGAATCAGCTGAGCGCATCCTACCGGAAAGACGTCGCCAACGCGTTGACGATCGCCGAGAGGAACTTCATCGCGAAGACGCCCATGAAGAAACGCGGTCAGCGCGAGCACACCGTTACGTCGGAGTTGGCTTGCACGGAGCTGCGCACGGAGATTGAGAATCACGACAATCTACTGACGTGCAGGAAGGACGCGGAATCCGGTATAGTAGTTCCTAGGAAGCACCACGGCAACGAGCTGTCACCGAAGCGGCAGCAGCAACGACGCAGTAACTCCGAGAACACCGACGGTCCAACGGACATGCCGTTGTTGGAGGAGCGCCATCACAGCGTCGGCGGCCTGTGCAGACGTAGACGCGTGGGATCACGGAAGCGCATCTACTCGAGAAAACGGCAATCGAGGCCGTCCGCCGCCGCGAACCTGTCGTCGTCCGATGTCGCGGCGACGATGTATGACGAGAATTGTAAAAAGGATTCCTACCTGAGTATTACGTGTAATAATAAGAAGCAGCAGCAGCAGACAACGGCCGCGACCGCCGCCGCGACCGTGGTACGCGCGGGCATGAAGCGCAAAAGCGAGGCTGTCTCGTCGGATTCCATCCAAGAGTCCTCCGACGTGGACTGCAGCGGTCCGCTGTCGGAGCGCGTTAGCCCGCCGGAGTTATCACCGGTCGAGCTGGAGCAGCGCCGTTCGAGCATCGATTTCCAACCGGTCGTGCGAATGATGAAGCTCGACGACCAGGTGGACATTGATCACAGCAGTATTCTGTCGGTGACGGTGGCGAGCAACAGACGGCTGAGAAGTTCCGGCACGTCGCGATCGAACACAGCTAAACCGGCGAAGAAGCGCCTCAAGTCCGGCCGCGGTCAGTTCGGACGGTGGCTGAAGAACAGCTGAAGACCCGAAGAATGATCGAGTGGGGAACTGTACTTCGGCTTAGGTCGACTTGTAATCGCGACTCGGTCTGGTGACTATGGCAAGGCCGTCGGTTCATACATCGTCGCCGTTGTGGTGTACATTGTGTATAAAAATATTATTTGTGTACGTAGAATAGTATTTAACATCACTGACACACACACACACACACACACATACACACACACATACACCATAGAATTCTCTCTATCCCTCTTCTTCTCCCCCCTCTCCCTTTCTCTGTCTATTTAGTGATACCGTTTTATTTAGTACCGTTTTTCCCGGTGATTAGTTTTAACGCTACCCGAGCGGTATCTTCTCCACATTCTATACGTTCGTTAGATGCGGTCCTTGTATTCTCGGAAACGGATGTTCTAGATTTATTTCTTTCTATTCGACTCATCGTTCTATCATCCTTCTCTATAATTTTCTCTCTTTTTTTACTTTAGTTTTCTCCTTTCTCATTAGACGAAAACTGTGTACCACTCGGAGATACAACAGAATCGTTTCGTTCGAACCACGATATATTTAAGATTGTTTCCACGTAGAATGTATTGTTTTAGAGTACGCAAGACTGCATACAGCTTTATGACAGTGTAATCATTTCTGTTATGATGCGCATTATGATGAATCGTTTGATTCTCTCAGCGGAACTATCTGAATACTTTATTTCAAGTAAACCTACTGTAAGCCTCATGAGTTCAGAAAGAGAAACAATTATTATTAAAGATATGAATTTTTCATTAAAATATGTCATTATATTTCCCTGCAACTCTACATGAAATGCTTTTAAATTGGATTGTGCATATGTTCCAGTTTAATATTTCATTTAGTTAATGGTGGAGACTTTGCTTCTCTTTTAAGGAAACATCTCATTTGATAACAAATTTAAGAGTATATTGTAATTAAATCAATTAAATGAACTTGAGTTTAATAATACGGAATATTATTGAATCACAATAAGCATTAATATTTGCCTATTGCCAGTGTACTTAAATGAAGAGTAAGAGGATTTTGTTTTTTGTAAAAAATTCAATTTATATTTCTAAAGAACTATAATAAATTCATATTCTAAGATGAAGCATAAAGCAACAAACGAGTTGTGTCATGTTAAGCCTTCGCGCTCCTGGAAGGCTTTCTTCATCTCTGCCAGTTTTTTCCTCTTGCACTCTTTGCATGCACGCTGTTTTTGCTGAATAGCACGTATCTGGGCTTCAATAGAATGTTCTTTGTTTAGTAAGTTATCGAGCTTTGTTACTAGAAGTTCACGCGCACGTTTTTGATTGTCCCACAAGCTTCGTGTTTCATGACATTTAACAACAATTCCAGTGGGTTTGTGCTTCAGTACTACTGCATTGTTTGTTTTGTTTGTTGCCTGACCACCTGGTCCACTACCTCGGACAAACTGTTCCTTCAGGTCAGCTTCTTCCAACTTGGGTAAGTTTGAGTAATCAAGATAACGTTTGTAAGATTTGCCACGAGTCTGTACATTCTTTTGTATCCAATTAGTTATGACACTTGATACAAAGAAATCGTTGCAGGTGAGCATTAGATGGATTCTACTGTGAGTCTTTAAATACATGGGTAACAATCTTGCCAACATAGTGTTTTATTTTTACATTAAATTTATTGACAATTGAGATATAATCTATACCACTTTCCGAGCTTCTAAGAATTTCAATCCTTTCTGTAAAAAGAAAAGAAATATTATTTATTTCTGGAAGACTAATTTAGGCGAAAAATTAAAATATGATAATTGTGATGCGAGAATATTTAATGTAGAGTTGCTAAAACCTAAAATATTGCAGAAATATAATTAATTTATTGGTTACAAATGCAGATTAAAACGAAGTATCTCATCAACTGCAGTTTATAGGTTAGGAACGATAAAAGATAAAAAATACTTGATGTATTGTCAGATGTCATATTTACCTTAAAATGAAAATCTATGGCTGTCTCGTCAGTTAGATTTTTATTAGTCTTGAAAACTTCACGTATTCTATATCGAAAATATTTCTTATCTGTAAATTTCAAATTTTGTCCGTACTTTAATATGTCCTTATAAAGCTTTAAGATTGCATTTCGGTTCATTGCGCTTTTTTGAAATTACTTTTAAAGCACTAGAATTGATAAAATATTATAAACGACAATTATATTTTAAAACGATGTTAAAGGGCAGTAAAATGATGAGTTTATTCTTACGAGCCACTTTATACACATGAACTTCTCCCACTGGTCCAAAGAAACATATAAAGTATTACATTTAGGAGAGAAATGTTATAATATCCATTGTTATTTTTATAGCGCATAAAATTTCAATGTAAAATCCATGGAGGTTTATTTATACGGAAAGTAAAAACATTTTTTTTTTAATAATAAAGATACACACATTTGAGAATAATCATTAAAAAAATATTTAAATTTTATTTAACTCGATATAACTTGATACTAAATAGAGGCAAAATTTTGATATTAATACGGTTAAAAAGTAAAGGTTTTAGTTGTAAAATACTTTATGTATTGTTTTAATAACATTAATATATGCTTAATAGCATTAATATATGGAAAACGTGTCCGATTAACCTTTTAGTCATACTATTGGAAAAATAGAAAGGCGACTGTCCTCATCGTTGGTCTGAAACCTCGTTAAAACAAGTGGCGGTTCGTAGTGGAGACGCTGGAACTAATTTACGTCACATTAAAAATTAACGGATCTAAAGTATACTAGATTTAGACCCGTTATTTTTCAAGAGGATGGGGCTTGATAAAATATGACTCGAGTCTTGATTAAAAAAGCACGTTTTAGCTGAGACTCGAATCACTAAATAACGGGTCTAAATCTTTCAATATATTTCGACCCGTTATTTAGTGGTTCGTCTCAGCTAAAATATGCTTTTTTATCCAAGATTCGAACCATTTTTAAGCCGAGATCCAAACCACTAAAAATAACGGGTCGAAAGTACTTTAGACGATTTAAACCCGTTATTTAGTGGTTCGAGTCTCAGCTAAAAACATATTTTTTAGCCAAAACTCAAACCAATTTTATTAATCTTGCTTTTCAAAAATAACGAGTCTAAATAGTCTGGTATACTTTAGACCTGTTAATCTTTAATCTGACGTGAATTACAAATCGAATTTTAAATTATGTTACAGAAAATAATGGAAGAGCAATATAAGAAATCAATATTTTATTTAAAAAAAAAAAACTGACGTATATAAAATATCCCAAATTTACAATATAATCTTGATTTACGTTTTTCACAGTCAAACACACGTAAGAAACGTTACAATTCTTGGAATTCCAACTCGTAGAGTTTATGTATGGTATCGTCCATTTCCATCTCCTTCGTAATTTCTGTTATCAGCTCGTCTACGAGCTTATTAGATATCCTACATAAATAAAGTCGTGTTATATATCGGGTAGTCGCAATTTAATTCATTATATTTACCAAGCTACAATGTCCCAGGGCTTATTCTGTGTATTGCTGGAGTACATTGGAATCGATTGCGTCAAACGCTGATATTCGCGTTTATACTTCAGAAAGTTCATTTCAGTTTCTTCAGAAACAACGAGTTCGATGTTGCTAAACGAGTCATCCGTTGTTCTTGTCCGTATCGTTTCCATCATCTGTTTCAATCATCGTTTCAATACAACATTTAGTTGTTTGTTTTTATATTACTTATATTGCGAACATACCTTCGCCTCAAAATCGGGCAGTTCTTTCAAGTTCTCGCAATTAACTTGACACGACATATCGCAATAGCGTGGTTCTTTCGATGCACTATCCATCGAGGATATACAAATCAGTCGCGTGTTCTGTTTACTCTTCTGCGTTTCATTCTGCGTTGTCCTTTGGAAGAAAAATATGTATTTTCGTCTGTGACAAAAAGTCACAAAATATATTCTGGACGAGATATAGCTTGATTTAATTGACTTGCTTGTTTGTTTTAATATTTTCACGGCTGCTATCCATGGAAGAGTGATGCACATTACAGCCTGTGCTCATGCTGATTTTCGAGTTCGTGCTCTTCGGCGACTGATACCTCTGCAGAAACTCCATCAACATTTTCGCAGAAGATGTTGATATTGGTTTCGCCTCTGATCCACTTTGCTGCGTGTAAACACATGTGTGGCGTTCACAATACATTTGAATTACTAAGATAATCGAATATGTTGCGGAATATAATGATTTCAAGCATATCATTTTATTTTACCTTGTTAGAAACAAAAGACATGAGGTCTGCTATAACTGGTACCAAATTGGATAAATGCTCCTCCGTGATCATTGTCACTCTTCTTATCAGTTCGTCATCATTATTCGTAGAAGTGGTTTTAACAATGTCTTCTATAGTTTCTGAATGTTCTACATTTTGCAGCTTGCCTGAAAATTTTCCTAGCGCTTTTGGCTGTCTCCTTGTGAGCATTGCATTATCTTGACTTTCTGGCAGCTCAAAATTACTATCCTATAATAATTATTAAATCTTAAAGATGATGAAAAAACTATATTATTGTTACAATTATCGTTAGTAGTAATTCGTGTACATTATCTGAATCTGCGAGTAACGTCATATCCACCATAGTTTTTATATCCTCTTCTTTTGCATATTTTGCTCTTTGCCTTCGAATTCCAGCTTGACTGGCATTCTCACTCGACATGGGTGTTATAGAACTGGGATATGGCTGATCTGCTGATATTGGTTCATCAGAAATTCTCTTAATATCTATCCTATTATATTTTTTATCATTCTGATGATAGTAATCTAAGAAGAAACGATAAACGCGGTATCAGCTGGAATCTTGCAAGATTAAATGTTATTTTTTTAAATTTAAGCAATTTTACATACTGGTCCTCCGTTTAAGATTACTTTTGGGAATTTTCGTATCCGCACTGTACATACTTAGACGATTAGGCAACTGTTTACGACCGATGCGCTTTTTATTGCTTGCTGAATGCGAAGTAAAGGATGCCATCGACGATGTCTTATTGCTGTCAAGCGGAAAATCATTATCTGAATGCAATTTTAACTTTAATAAAATGGCATTACATTTGCTTTCAATATCCTTTCCCTGTAATCGAAAAACGAACATAAATCTTTGATATTTTTGTTTTTCATTTTTTTAGAGTGTTTTTAGTTTCAAAATATACAACAACTATAAGATACAATGTATATTATGAATTTACATTGATAATAAAGGAATATTGTCGTTACCAGTGTCAGAATATCAGTATCTCCCGAGTCAAGATAATTCGTGTTTAAGTGAAGTCTATCGCACATGGTCTTCAGATCAATAACTACTTGAAGTATTTCTCTAAATTTGCCTGGATGACCTTTAAAAGTTGAACTAGGAATGTGTTTGCAGTAAGCGCTTAATGCATGCAGTAGTAATTGATGAGCGGCAAGTAGCTTATGCTCGATGGCATGCATATGAAGTCCTAGACTCCTCTGATTCGGTTTTACTCTCGCGCGTGGTGAAATAACGCACATATGCCTCTGGATGTCTTTGACGTATCTGTTAAGATCATACAAGTAATTTCTTGAGAATCGCACGACGAATTCTGCGACGCATTGCTGCCGCCTCTGTAGATCCTTAATGCCATCTGGCACTGGAATGTTTCCTAGTCGCAGTACAATTTCATCCAGCAGTTCACAGACCCTCCTTTGCATCGTTAAAATCTTCTGCATGATAAATGGATCTGGTCGTGCACAAATAGCTCCACCCACATCATTTCGACGCGTACTGATTTCAGGACTGGAGTTATACTCTGTACCATTGATTGTGTGAAGCAGCTGCTTCCGAGGTTGTTGTCTTTTTTGCCCTACTGCATGACTGGAGCAAGATTTTTTAGTATATGATTTGAAATTTTCAGTTTCTTGTTTCTTGTGGCGGGAGGAAATATTTTCTTCTTCAGGTATTGTAAGAAGCAGATTAGTGCTGCCTGTTCCAGTATCTCTCGTAATTGGTATTTTTTTTGCAGACTGATCCCTGATATTATTTACCTATTATTATACGAACTTTAGAGATATATTCACTATTTTCTCATAGAATTATTTTGATAGAAAGTTTACTTACTTCCGATCTTCTTTTTTGGACATTTTCAGCTTTATCATGTTCTTTTTTTGCTTCATCCAACAAAATATCTGTCTCTAGTCTTTTAAGTTCTTTATCTGCTTCTTTCATACCTTCATCCAATAGTTCCTTAATGCTTTGGATAGATGGATGAATGCTATTTTTTTTATATACTAAATTATGTAACTCTTGTTGCTTGACAAACGAAGCCCATATATTCTCTTCCTCCTCTCTGCATCTTTGTCTGCGTACATCCTTTACTATATACTTAAAGTGATTTGCAGGTACGTACTTTAACGCAAAGAAAACAAAGTGAATATTCTTTCTTAAAGCAGCAGCAAAAATATGGTAGAAACATAATGTAAATATAAAGGTGGAATGATGTGTTTTACAGATATATCCAAGATCAAATAAGTCTACCTTAAAATTGTAGTCATCATTTTCATCTTCGGAAAGAAACGAGTTTCTTGTCTCGTTGTCATTTAGGTAAACAGGTTCCTCAGTGTTCAAAAGAAATGACATTCTTTCTTGGTTATGTCTAATGTATTGAGGGGTTGTTGTGGTTACGTGCATTCATTCGCGTTTTCCCGGTCGTGCCATAAACGAGAGATATCAAAAGGGCAGCAGGTATAATTTTATAAAATAGAATATCGAGGCACACGTTTCTTTGAACGCGGCGAATGAAAAATATTGTCATAAGTTTTTCTCTCTCGGATCGGACTGAAATTAGTGATGTAAAATCGATATATCTTTTCCCGTCAGATTCTCGGAAGCAATTCGAGTATTCGAGACTATGCTCAAATGACGATGCATTAATTTTTTCAAAAACATACTCTACAAAATGCAGGCTGGCTCAGTCTAAAGTTTAAGAAACGGAAACAAATTAATAATAAAAAGGCTTACATTACACCTTGATCACTGATCATGTGTATATATATATATATATATATAATGTTATGAGATATATATATATATATATATACGCAAACCTGAATATTATCAGCTCATTTTCGGTGATTTGAATTTTAATTTGAAGCACGAGCTGGAATCGTGCACCCAATCTAGAATGCAATTAAATCGCATGGGAATAGTAATAATAAAAATCTCCGTCGCGCTGGTCACAAAACAAAAGATAAATATTAGAGTAAGGGTTGTTTTTATTGCGGTCTGTTTGGAGGCGACAGTAGTACCGACGATACCATCGGAAAAGGCGTGGGCGCGGCTGTGCGTGTCCGGATCAATACTCCCGCGGCCAAGGTTCGTAAACGCTGGGTTTACTTGTGACGAACGAGATGCGTCGTCGGTCGATGGTTCTCATCGCATATTTTCTTGCTGACTTTCCTGCTTGTCTGCATCGTCCTCACGTTAGTATAGAATCGTCATGATATTCACTTCTATTACTTTCCCTTTTCTGCCTCTCCTTCTCTCTATCTACCACTTCGATTAATACAGAATTAATTTAGACACGACTGACTCATCGCGTTGGAGTCGTTTATTAGGTTGAGAACATGTTGCGAAAAAATGGCGGACACAATTCACCGAGAAAAGCGCGCGAAACGCGAACATGTACGTAAAATTACGATAGAAATTCTTAATGACTTTCTTCGACAACACAAGAGCTCAGGTAGGAATTTAAATTGCGCGTTAAGCAGCTAATTTCGAGACGATTATTGTCGCGACTGTAAAATAAATCTTTTTATAGAGAGTTATGTGTAAAAAATTCAGATCTCCAAATTCGAAACGCGTCGTGTTGAAATGTCATCAGCCAATCGACGCGTGCAATAGAGTGACGTCATTATGCGCGCGCAGGACGTTCTTATTCAACCTTCGGATTTCGCTGCTCTCGTGATTTACTTCGCTTTTCGTCTCACGAACTCTCCGCAAGCTTAAATATACTCGGTAAGGCATTTTACCTCTAGCGTGAATTCGTTTTCTCCAATATCTTGACACGAATTTAAAGATTCGCAAACAACGCGTCAATGTATTCGTCTTGTTGTCGATTTTTCCTGCGATCGTTTCTTGGAACACGGTTAAAAGATTCACTTACATGGCGTTACAAGATTCGAAGGGAGTATTTTCGGATTCTGCAATTTTCAGCTGTTGCTTTTGCGAACGTCGTATGAACGGAACATGATAATCTTTACATTTGTAGCACGTTTAATTTAAAAATCAGTTTTTATACAAAGTGATCGAATTTATTAAATTAATGCTATTGGATTTTATTCGTTCTGCTTATTTTCCTTCATTAGTTACTTTGTAAGACTTAAAATGTCTATGATATCATTTTTCTAAATTTGTTTTTCAGAAAATGGAATAAGATTCTTGAGAGACATGAGGGATTGTTTCGCGATTAGATGCATATGGATGCTCAGGATTGTAAATTATACACATAAAATTTTGTTTTTCTCCTAGGTTGTCAATGGTAAAACGCATAAACATTGAGAAAGCTTCATTTTCATTAACGAGTTTGAATTGCGTGATTGCGTGACGTATGGTTCGAATGTGAGAAATTTTTTAAACCAGGTTGTGAATATAATAGAGACTGCAAGTAGGTGAAGGCAAAGCAATTAGAAGCTTACGTAGTTGGTGCTGACAACTTCAAAATGACATCTAAAGTATTAATGAAACTTCCAACGGTGCCCTTCCCTCAAGTGAGTAAATCTTAATTGAGCACTGAGAAGCTAAATATAATTTATAGCGATTTATAAAGTTTATCACACAATAATCATATTCTTTATATTAGAAAAAGTTCTACATTTCCAACTACATAGCTTATGTAGCTTATTTGATGGTTTGCTCTACAGGGGAAGAAGACAACACCTGATCTAGTTTCCTTGACTGAGAGAAACGATGGACATGCACAAGTCAGACACCAAGGATTGAATATAGATCGAGCAGCCCAACTTGAGCAGAATATGAAATTTTTACAAGAACAACATCAGGCAACTTTGATTGCTTTACATCAAGAAGTAGAGGCTTTGCGCCAGAGAAACAGAGGTAAGGAATATATTTGAATTATAGTTACTTTCTTTATGCACTTTGGTTCTAATTTGTTTTCCAAATACTTACAGATTTACAATTTCAATTGGTATTTTCCAAAAGAGCACATTGTGTGCCTAGCAGTCCTTCTTCGCCTGAAGATAATGGAAATGGGTTTGCGAAATCAAAGGTATTTATGACATTTCTTATAAACCAATCTGATAATAATTGAATTACTCTTTCACATATTCTCTTTTACTAAAATGTATCTGATAAATTATTTTCTTTACACTTACAGGGTAGCCCAGTATGTGTCAATATTACACCTCTCCAAGTGGAACTTTTGGAGAAAGATTTACAAGATATTAAGGTGTCACTGCAAGATGCAAAAACACATAACCAGTATTTGTCAAATATTATAGAACAACAAAAAAAGTCAGTATCTTCTATAGCAGAATATTATATACTAACAATAAGCTAAAATTTTCTCTTCTTGCAGAAGATTAGATATTACTGAAGACCAGAAAAGTAAACTCGAGGTGACGGATGTGGGAATCCAAGTCGGCGATCCAGTGCAAGCAAGCTTGGTCGTGCTTTTGGAAGAATCTTATGCAATGGTGAAACGGTTACACAAAGAAAATCTGGATCAGAAGAAGGAGATAGCTTCGTTGAGAGCAGCTTCTTCGGCAAACAACGGTGGTCCCAGCAGAGGTGGGCGTTCACGTGACGGTAACAACGGTCATCATAGCCGTGGTTCACCTACGGATTCGACGCAGGAACAGAGTTCTCGTAAATTTCCGCCGTTACCAATACCGAGTTATTGGCATCGCAGATCACCGAGGTATAGTAAACGAAGTTTTTATTAGAAACGTCAAAGTAATCAAGAAAGACGCCTCTTTTTTCAAGCATTTAATTGTTATATGTTAAACATCAAGTTATATACTTGATTTGCTTATGAATTATTACAGATACAGTACGAGTCGGCATGAAAAGCAGGATCATCAGGCGGATGCAGACACGACCGTTTTACCACAACTCCAGAACGGTAGCGTTAAATCAGAAGGAGCCAGTTCCGCCGAGCCACAGTCGTACCGATCATGCGAGTATCGCAATTATTCTCGCGACGGTGGTAATCGCAAGTATAGAGGACAAGCATCGCGAAGAGACAGCAATCACTATTACCACTCGCGTGACTTCAAAGACAGAAACTCCAAGGATCGCCCGAGAGACGCGGGCGATTCCGGTGAAGGGTCGAAAGACGTCAATAATTCTCGGAGGCAGTAGAGTCGTGAAGTATATCGTTGCCGATTTGTAGAAATCGCGAATGACGGCGAGCTTTAGTTATTCGCGTGTTGATGACGCGTAAAAGAGGCATCGGCGATTTCGATACAAGTTATGTAAAAGTTAACGATAAACGAGTGTGATCGATGTTTTCTTGTACACATTCTGGTGCTGATTAATCACGTCAGTTTCGTGCATATTGTAGCTTGTAATAGGATAGCGAAGATGAACGAACATAAGCTGTACGATTTTCGATGGAACACAATGTCTAGTCTGTATACCCAATTTTACCCGTTATAGGCTGCCATAAAGGAGTAATAGAGCTCGCGCTTTGTAGATGGATGATTATCAACAATATTTAGCGAAAGACTTTGATAGACAAGAAGACCTTTCCCTTCTTATGGACGACGGTTGAAACACGACCAAATAACTCACTAAATATTAGCTTTCCCGACTGACATTTGAATTGGACGGACTCGAGCTTAATACGCGTGCAGTGTTAAAAGATAATGCTGTCCATGCATATACGTGTGCGTGTATTACATTTTTTCTCGATGATGCAGCATCGAAGAGGAGATTCTAAGTGAAATCTAGTCATTTTCATGTATTCCATTCTTAAAACAGCAAATCGTTGAACGATCTTGCTATTGATATATATATATATATACACACACACACATATATATATATATACATATGTATACATACATGTATGTATGTTATATATATATGTGTGTGTGTGTATACACATACGCGTACACATCATCACACATATACATATATACATACATATACATACATATATATATATATATATACACATATACACAGATATAGATATAGAATACATATGTATATATTCTTATATTTTTTTATTGATTTTACGCATCTCTATTTAGTCTATATCGTTGATATATATTTTGTTGCACATGTAAGATACATCATACTTCCAGAGAAAACACATTATTTAATTTTGATGAGACGCGTCCTAAGTTTTTTTTTTCATAAAAATAAACGAGATTCTTCCTTAATTGTAAATTTCATTCTATTTTTCCGAGTTTCCTCCTATCTTTTTCTCTACATACTTTGGTTGAATGAAAGTTAAGAAGCGGGTCTTGTTTGCTCCAATTATGAGATTTTAAAATTATTTTCGTTTCTATTTACGTTTGAAATAAATCCTTGAATTTGAAACATAGCGAGACTCTACGTGGCATTATCAGATTTCTTCATCTTAGGAATTTGCAGATTACTCGATGGAATAACGTGAGAAAAATTTTCACATTATTAATCACAGATTACGATATGATATACAGGAAAATACTTTATAATTATATAAAATCTTGTACGCTTAAATGGATGAATCATTAAAATTATACGATACATGTAAAAATTGTTAAGTAATCTATTCTTCAAAAGACCTTTTTCGCGATACTATAATAATAAACATTTTATGCATCTATCTCCCTCTCCTCGTGTACGTAAAATAAAATAATTCTTTCTCTTTTCCGAAAAAGTTTATTATAAAATATATTATACCTTAATTAAGTACATATCCAACACTACATACGTAAACAATCTCTTTGTGTGTACATATATATATATACACATATACATATATATACACACTTTTCTTATATATATATGCAACAACTACAAACACGGTCGAAAAGATGCGAGCTGACCGTGCTGACATAAAAGAGTATGCGGAAAACACGAAAAACTTACCCTATAAATAAAGAGGAAGGCTCTTCAGGGCAACCTATATGTCGAATTTAACAAACTTCGCGTTCTTGGTTAAAATTAAACTATACCGATATATAACTATTACCGGTGTGTAAAGGAACAACGCTGAACGTATATTTGAGCGTTGTAATATTTACATCCCTAAAGCGTACAGGACGTAACGAGAAAAACGAGGAAAACTCTTTATGAACTTTACGTTCATGCGTTATAGTTGAATGTGTCAAACAGTCAACGTGCTATCATTCGTGATCCTGTAAGCTTTACGTTTATTACATCACAACCACAAACGTAAAATTAAGTGAAACAATATATGGTCGACCGAGGATACCGCGAACTAAAACGCATGCGATCAATTATCAGTCCATTGAGAAATGAAGTAGCAGGTAGTTTGATCGATAATGTAATGACTGCATAGGACTTGATAGTGAGACTGTATTCTCTTCCTGCACAATCAATGGGGGCTGCATTCAAATTGATAAAACGGATGAAAAAAAACTCCTCGATTTCATCCGAAAGTTGAAAGTTAATACGCAGGAGAAAAATACATAAAAACAATATTCTCTTAAGTATCCGGAAATCAGCGGGAGTTGACAGAAAGAAAGAAAAGGAACACGTTCTCCGCAATAAAGTGCTTATACACCTCACCCTGTATAGCCGATGTCTACTACCACATCCTCGATCTATGTACTTTGTTTAACGGTTTATAATTTCGATTAAGATGGCCCCAAAGTATCAGTCTTTCCGTCTGAATTTTGTTAATTTCATTACGAGTAATTGAGCATACGACTGATCTCCGATGTGACTTATTGGAAACTCTCAACTACTTATGTTCTACGTGTCGTTAAAATACAATTTACATATAGCGATCGGGAGAGCATTTCGTTCAATTACAATGCTACGAAAAGATATCGTGCTACGATACGTTAATCGTAATTATTACAGCAGAGTATATCGTGCAATTATTAAACCGCAATATATTTAACGATGTTTACAGACTTCGTCTAAGAAGCGGAATATAAAACTTGTACGGTTTCTATAACGAGAAATAATATACATTAAATAATCATAATTAATCTAGTCTAACTCTTCGCGCAAAACTAATTGAACGAAACACTTTGTGTTATAATTTTTCGTTATTGTGTTATTGTTATTCGATGATCAACGTTTGGCTCATTTTCGTTCTGAAACGAATTATCTGATATTCCTTATGCGTTAACCTTATGCGTCTTATGATACTTCTTATATGCACATATATATATATATATCTATATATATGTATATATATGATTACATTATTTGCTAACGCTAAGAGACTCGCCTAAAGTCTCGTTCGTAACGAGAGATAAAATTTAAAACTGAACTAAGACATTTGATTATCAAATTGCGGTCGCTCGCGTCGGTCAAGTGTTCTTACATTTGCTTGCTCTAGCTCATTTCCCGTCTATTTTATCTTGCCCACGTCCAACGACGTTTGTCCCCTGTTTTGTGTATCACTCAGGTATTCGCATACATGTCAGCTCGATTGAAAAAAAAGATGAGAAGAAAAAAGGCAACAAATCGCATCAACAAATAAATAGGAACCAACTATACGTTACATACATAAGGTACTAGAACTGATGAAACACATGATGAATCGTATGGCAGACGACGTGACATCTGATTAACGCGAGATTCGCACGGATCCTGCAATCCTGAGAAAACGTTCATTATTGGAGTATAATGGGCGCCAATAAGCGTTCTTCGGATGTTTAATCGTCGAGCCATAATTGTTATCCATCCATAATTGAGACCATCAGTCTCCTCTTCTTACCATACGCTAACTTCACTATATTCGCGGTTTCCATTACGAGGGTGTCCAGTATAGTTACCGCGAGTCCGTTCTTCACTGCCAGCTCGTCGTGATGAAACTTGGTCCACTCATCCTCTTCGGCCTGGGCCTCTCTCGCCAACAACTCGTCCACCCTGTCCCTGCGTTTCCTGCTCCAACGCATCACCATGTTCTCTCGCTGCAGCTTTGTCTTAAAACCGAAGAGCGTCGCGACTTCCTTGCCGACGTATTCGGTGAGCTCCTCGACAGTTTTCGGAATCTTCACGGTCGGTTTCGTCTTCACGTTTGGCTTTGTCCAGCTGGGACCAGGCTTCTCATATTCCGCACGATAAACCTCCGCAACGGTCTCTTTGCACAGATCAAAGAGAAAGCTATTGTAGATCCGTCTGTCCTTCCTCACGATCTCGTTCTTCTCCTTGCTCAGTTCGTAAATTTCAGGAGGCGCTTCGAGACTTGCGACGTCCTCGCCGGCTATTTTGGCGTTGTATATCAGAGCCGTGGCTTTCTCGGTGAACGATGTCAGCTCTTCGACGTTCGATGGGATCACTGCGGTCAACAGCGAGGGTGAGCCGAGCGAGCTCGATAACCTGCCGTCTTCGGGCGGGGTGTATGGTGGTGGAGGTTTATTCGGTATTTCTCGAACATAGTAAGACACCTCCTCCGCTTCCAGTTTCTTGATCTAAAAATAATATTAAATTAGTAAAATATTACAAACGTAACGAGAGAAAGAAAGAGGTAATGCGTATATTATGTACCTCCAATTCGATTTCCAGCTGTTCGATATGGAGCAACTTGGCTTCCAACTCTGCCACCTCCAAACCGGGTTGCTCCAGTGAAGCTGTACGAAGTAGCGAGAAATATATCGATAAGTACGACAGAAGCTGTGAGATACAAGTTCCTCGGGAAAAGCAACACGAGTCTTCACATTACATCAGGGGTTAACAGTTTTACTTGAGTTGAGTGCTCGGAGGAAACTGGAGGGGGGGAAGGAGAAAATAGGAGAGACATTAAGAAAAATAGATATATGAAGATATGTATCGAGGAAAGAGATCTCTTCAATGCACGAATAAAACGATAAGCTGTGACAAGAGAAGTTGGACATTCCATATGAATAACATCTGTACACAGTAAGAAATCTTTTCTGACAGATTCAAAGGAAGTATATTTAAAGAGAAGGTAGATAAGTAGTAGTTGATGAACGAATGTGTGATGCACGATATTTACAGGCCTTTCTTGTGCGCATACGGACCATAGTCAAAAGATATCAAGCATTCATGCGACACTGACATTTGTACAGAGATAACAAGTCAATGTTCGTATCCATTCGTAGTTTCGTGTATTACCTTTAGACAAATATAATCTCGACTTTGCTATTCTGAAAATAAACAACACATGGCTATACCAGGCAACGCTTTCGCACAGGAGCACACAGCCATTATAAAAACAAAAATGGTGTTTCTGTAGTATGATATAATTGAGATGTGTGTAAAATATGTATCGAGTGTATCTCTGAGAGATGATCAGCCCACATAAAATTGCATCGCATGATTTCGATTGAGAATGACAACGATCATTTGTAAAAAAGAAAGAAAAAGATTCACACACTATCTCTTAACATATGCAGGTTGGTCTTACTTGAAATATGTTATTCGATTTTCGCAACTTTTATGATCGCTCGAATAGCATCTTCCAAACAAGAAAAGAAAGTAATTACTCTGTAACATACTTTGGTCTTGCATGTGGAACCAAAAGAGAAAAAGATAAACACCCATTCGACGACAACGTCGATTGAGCCACGATAATCTCATAGCTCTCAACAACATACATTGGTATACACAACGTTTCAAGTTTGAAAAATATGTACAGTTAGATGAACGAATACTATAACATAAAGTTAATACTGATTCATACATCAGATATATATATATATATATATATCAGATACATATATATATATATATAGTGTGTAGAGAGAGAGAGAGAAAAAGAGAGAGAGAGAGAGAGAAAAAGAGAGAGAGAGAGAGAAAGAGAGAGAGAGAGAGAGAGAGAGAGAGAGAGAGAGAGAGAGAGAGAGAGAGAGAGAGAGAGAGAGAGAGAGAGAGAGAGAGAGAGAGGGAGGAGAGAAGAGAGAGCTCAAGTTAATATACGGTAAAACTGAGTAATTGATTCGAATGGCTCCGTATATTGTCTAATCCATGTCTCTAATCTCGTGACTTTAATAGATGACTTTCATTGATTAATAACAGAATAACGATAATACCTTTTAACTTATAGATCATGGCCTCGATGTCCTTCTCGGACGTAGTAACGATAGACGCAGAATGGAAATTGCTCTTCATGTCGACATTCTGATTCACCGCCTTAGTGCCGCTTAACAGATCATCGTCTAGAATATCGATGTCCAATCTAGAATCGTTGAAGTCCCTTGGTGAGTCCATCTCGATTTCGGACACACCTTTCGGAGTATCGCCGGCTTCGCTAGATTCAGACGAGCCATCCTGCTCTTGCAGCTGCGAGACTCTCTCATGTAGTTCATATATTATTTGGGATTTGTCCTCCTGCAAACCCTCGTTCAATTTCGAGTAAACTCCGATGCTCTTCTCTTCAGCTAAGTCTATCTCGTTCGTCGCCTGTGGTGGTTGTTTTTTCCGCGATACTGCCTCTTCCATGAATCGACCCTTCGATTCATTCTCATAAAATTCTTCTTCGATTTTATCCTTCGCCTTAGTCGGCTCAAGAGACAAAACATTGTCCTCTGTGGACACTTCCGCACCCAAGACTTCGCTGATCTCTTCCGTCGTGCTTTGCGTGTCCTTCTCGTCTTTCGACGAATTGTTTATGAAATCGGGCGACGATTTCTGCGAGATTTCGTCCAATATTCTCAGCACCTCGTCCGACCTTTGCGTAGCCTGATATTTCTCTGGTAAGTTGGTAGATTTTTTCATGATATTTGTTTTTGATAATTCATTCTTATCTAAAATCTCAGACACCTCGAGACTCTCCTCAGAGATGTCTTCGTAGTCTGGATCTTTTAGTATATCAAAAGTTTTGTTGATATTATCGACTATTGGCTCGTCCAACATCGAAGCATTGTCGCTTTTATTCTTTACAGACGTATTCGCATCGATTACGTTATCTGTCGTTTTTCCCTGAGCTTGTATAGAAACCTCTTCATCGTCCGCAGCTGATTCAACAGAGGCTCGTGGTGGTATAACGACTTTCTCTACAGTATCTAATCCGCTTTCAGCGACTTCCACTAAATTGTCCAGTTGCTCGCCATCCGAACTATCCTGCTCCAAAATTGGCTCCAAGCATTCTTGTATCTCTACTGGAGCGATACCTCTGCTTTGCTTTTCATTTGCATCGTTTGCACTAACATCTTCGGCCAATTCGATTTTAGCATCGATTTCGAGTTCCGGTAAAACGTGATCATCCACGCTATCTGAATCCAGTTCGGTTATTATAATTTCCTGACCTTCTGATATCGCTTCACGCAGACTCTCTTCATTATCAATTGCCACGTGTAAATTTATATTAATGGAAGATTTATCGCCGGTCTCATTAACCGCTCGCGGCGAGAAATCTATTGTTTCTTGACGATTGATTGATTTATCATCGTTAGATTTACTCGCGGAATCTATATTATTGTCGCTTATATCTTCTATGTTTGCTCTATTTTGCATCTCGTCATTAAATATTGAAACTGCTTCAGATCGTTCATCTGTAGGGATATCGATTTCATTGTTGCATGGAATTCCTTTAAGATGACTACTTACGGTTGCTTCATTATTATCGCCAATATCCTCAACTTTCTCTAACAAGTCAGTTACGGAATTACAGATTATGTTATTAAACTTTTCGTTCTCATTATCAGGGATGCTTTCTTTCTGATTGTTTTCTCTAGCAATTATATCCAATATATCATCAAGTTCGTCGTTACTTTTCATCACATGAGGTTCTGCTATTATATTGGCAAATGTAATATCAGATGCCTCTATATTGGTAGATTCTCCTTTTGGAATAAATGCCGACATATCTACATAACTTGTCGAGCTCACTTCGACGTTTTGATTTATCGCGGCTTCAATGCGCGATATGTTCCTTTCTTTCAGAGAACTATTCGAAGTGTCATGCATATGATCCAAATGTGATCTCGAACTCTCGGATTCTGAGTCTTCTTGTTCTTCTTCCGCCACTCCAGTGCTGATTTTGCTCTCAGGCATCTCGAATGAATCAGATGTCGTCCAGTCGTCTTTATCCTGAGAAACATTACTCGTGCTAATTGTACGCGAGCGATCTCGTTCGACGTTAGAAGCTGTCGTCGTTGAATTCACAGTATTGTCAACCATCGACGTTTGAATATCTTTAACGCGCTGCAAGTTACTTGATATTCCCATGTCGTCAATTATACTCGTTTCGATTCCCGGTAGTTCAGGAATCTTCTCTGATGACTTCGAGTAGTCTTCGCTGATGGCGATACGCGAAGTTTGATTTGTAAGTGCACTATGTAAGTTTGTCTCGTTGCTTTCCTTCGAACGATGGCCCGCGATGATAGGAGAATGCACTGATGCAATACTCAATTGTTCGAAGGATTTCGATGAATGCGTTGCACTTACTTGATCCTTCACGGAGTTCTCTTCTACACTCGCCTTGTTCAAATCACTTTGCGCACTTGCATTTTCTTTCGGGTGATCGATTATCTGCGTTGTAGTATTCGTCGCGAGATTAAGACTTCTCCTACTCTCTGATACCTTAGAGAGAATCTGGGAAATCGATTTTACATCGAGTTCCAATGAAATCAAATCGTTCAGTAATTCTTCGTTGTCTTTACGCAAGTTTTGCATATCATTTTCCAATACCGAACTGACATTATAATCGCCGCGTATCACTTTGTTGTGTTCCGACAATATCGATTTTTCAATTTCATTCATGATCTCTCTGCTCTTGGCTTCATAATCAATCTCGTAAGCTGAATTGGAAAGAGCGGGTGTTACTTCTGGTATTATTGCTGAAATGTCGTTATCTGCTTTTTCCGACGTATATTTATCATGGCTTAAATCATTAGAAGACTTGGATCTTCTGTCACTTGTCAAATTGGAAGGAGATTCGGTATTAATTTCTCTCTCAGAAGATATCGCTTCTTGTCCTTCCCTCTCAACAGGAATAACTCTGTCGCTAAAAACTGATTTGGACATTATCTCCGAGATATCTTGAGACGTGCTTTTTTCGTCGTTATCTATTTTAGATTCTTTGTCTGTTTTGTTACTAAAGCGCGACATAATTTCTGAAAGTACTTTCAGTCCATTCTCAAGAGAGCTTATATTCTCGTTTAAATTCTTATTATTTAACTGCAGGAAGTCCAATTTCTCTGAGAAAGTGAGTGCATCCTGATTGGAAGCAGCAACCCTTTCTGTTGCATAATCGGATTTGCTCGGAATAGATTTTGAATAGTCAACGTTATCTATTTCTTCAAGAATCTCAGATTGTGTCGCGAGCGCCTTTGACTGAGGATAATCGATGCTGGTGTGACTAATTACTTTGTCATTCTCTGACTCGGTGCTAATGGTACTACGATTTTTGGAAGATCTGATATCCGATATCGTCTGCGCTTCCAATTCCGAGCGCACCGTGTTGATAATCGTTTGAATGTCTTCCGCATCGCGCGATATGCTGTCTTGTTTTGTCTCGATAGTGACAGATTCTTCGAGCTGCTTCTCAACTGTGTCTGACGCAAGAACATTGTACCTTTCGGAACCTGCATCATTCGACGACACTGAAGTAGCTGTCTGAGGTTTACTATTGACTTCTGTCAATGTATATTCTTCAAACATAGACTGAGCGGTATGATTAGTATTCGTGGTACTCTTTAATTCCGAGGCGTTCGCGCTTCTGATATCCGTAGACCTCACAGATTGCTGAGAACTGTTCTTCTCATGTCTGTCGTCGTATATTGCGGCAGTCACGATCTTCAACAAATCCCTTTGCTGATTCCTTGTCGTCAGAAGGTCGGACTCCGATCTAGACCTCAGCAGGTCGCTGCTCTTGTAGATGTCTTGTATTCTCTTGAGCGGTATCTCAGGTACTTTAAAGTCAGCCAACGACTTTGGCTCTATAGCTAACTTATCACTGTCTTTAATAGCTTTCTTCGATTCCAGTTTCTTGCGCATCTCGTGGATGGTTGTATCATATCTCTGTCAAATAAAAAAAGACATTTTATAAGAGAAATACAATCTTTATTTATATCATCTTTCACATACACTTACCTTAATTTGATTCAGCAAATTTGCTTCCATAGCACGTAGCCTTTGCTTGGCCTGCTTTCTCGCTTCTTTTTTTAAACGCGACATCTCCATACGTCGTTCAGCCAATTTCTCAGTGAGAATTTCTATTCTTCCCTCAACGTCGCTCATATCGGATGAAACAGTAGTATCTACAGAAAGACACATCTATTTCTCTCTGACTGTAACTTTAATCGATGCTTAATCGATATTTAATGGAAGTCAAGAAAAATCTCATACTACATCCTCGAACAAACTGAGGGGAATCGACCTTCTTCTTCAGAAAAATTTAATATATTAAAGCGATCTTGTCTTGATATCCACAAGGCATCGGTTTCCATTAATCTCAAATTTATTGCATACATAAATATTACGATGTCATCACTCAAAGGTTTTCAAACCGGCTATACAGCTATGTGTGCACACCATGTATTACCTTGTTGAGACAAGACATTAGAAGTTGCCGCAACAATTTTCAGTGCCGCTTGTTCCATGCGATTCACACGTTCCTCTTCTGCTCTTAACCTTGTGTGCCACGCCATCCAGTCCTCGACAGTGTTCTTCCGCGATGCAAGTGCAGTTTCACGTGCGGTTAAGATTCTGAGGGTAACGAAGAAGAATTTGCGCGGATCTAAGAATGTTTAAGAATGCATGCGTGCATGCCGGACACGCGGATTGCCTCTGTACAGAATCTATTTTTACAATGCTTTCCCTGATGCGGTGTGAATGCACAGTTTATTATTAGACCACCCAACACACATGACTTTAGTGATTCAGATTTTATTAGCAGAACATATTTCTCGTATCTTGTTTAATGGTATTTTTCGAAAAGACGTGCGCAATATTGAAATGGAAAAGAAAAAATAATGAACATCACGTACGTGTGCACATGATACTTACTGTCCGAACTTTTTTGCCTTGAAATTTCTATCTTGCGATCTAAGGACCACAGACATATTTTTCTCGCTTTCCTCAGAGCTGTGAGGATAAATTGGAAGAGCGCTAATTTGAGATGTAGATATATTTTGAACAGTTTGTTCATTCCGAAGTGGACGTTCATTGGTTTCGAATTTTCTGTTTGATGCTTGACTGGATATGTTCTCCTTACTTTCGTAATCATTAATTGTCTCATTTAATAATTTCAAATTTTTATCTTTCACTTCTTTGGAATGCCTAACTAGCGCCTCAAGCGAATCTTGGCTTTCGTTGAGATCCAATTTTGTCCGTTTATCGTAATGTTTGGCAGGCTTCTCTGATGCATGAGAGGTAGATTTAAATCGCGATAGATTTTCCGTTAATGCGCTGGAAGATGATTTTGCTTTTTGATGCTTGGAACTTTTGCGTTTGGAACTTGTTTTTAATTCAACGCTGTGTTGTAACTTTTTAGAAATGTGATCCCTATCACTTGTGACTGATTTATCAATCTTTTTCGAGTTCTTTGTGTTATTTGTCTGCAATATATCCTCACAGACTTGCGAAGATTTTGTTGCTTTCGAAATAATATCCTGAATTTCCGAATCTATTTCTTCCTCTATAGACTTACTATCGGTAGCAATAATATTGACAGCTAGCTCTTTCTCCTTTGGAACTGTTGCCGTCTGAATAAAGGGATCCACTATTTGCGATGTTTTCGATTTCTTAGATAATTCTTCCACTAACGTATCAGATTCGGATTTTACATGATCAGTTATTAATGCGTCCAATCCCAACACCGACGACGACGACATCTCAAACGATTTCTGATTTTCCAAGAGCCGTTTGATATTCATAGAATGACTTTGAATTCGTTTTGATTCGAGATCAAGCTGATTCTGCTTCTGCCGCAAAATATCCGCTTTAGGCATTTTCTCTTCATATTTTCGAGACTTTGACTCATACTTAGAAACGTCGTTTTTCTTCTGCGGCTTCAGAGAACTCTCCTCATGTGACTCATTACTTTCAACTAAATCATCAAACCTGGTCGCCGATGTGTTAGATTCCTCAGCCAAATTTTCACATTTGTCGGATTTGGCAAGATCAGGCTTGGATAAGTGTATGTCGCTTTCGGATGCTTGTAGACGTGCATCTGCCTGAGATCGATCGTGCTGGGATTTATCCGAATCAATCAAGGAACTTATAGAACTATTACTGCGTATATCGTAACCCTTCATAGGACCTGATAATCTTCTTGGTGATTGACTATCGGCGCTCCTCTTTAATTTCGTTAAAATATTTTTCGTTGACAATTGTGGATTAAACATGTCTCTTTGCTTTTGTAACATAAGTTTTCGTTCTTGGCTCGCAATTTCGTGCAATTCTTTTAATCTGTAAATGAAGATGTTACATAATTTTTATATAAAAATGTCTATACAATATATACATGCGAATGCTATGTACCGATTCATTTCATCTTTCTCTTCCTTCAATTTCAAAAGTAAGGCTCTCTGCTTCTTCTTCACAGAACTAATGAGACTATCTTGTCCTGTATCTCTCAATGCGCGTTTTTCCTCTTCTAATTGCACCAATTTTCTAGTTCTGTCGTTCAGACTTTTCTCATGATCTTTAAATAGCATTTCTAATCTATCGTATCTTTGTTTTTCATCTTTTATCAACTGCGCTAACTACAAAGAATAAAAAAATAATATAATGTCTAATAAGTGAAAAAAATAATAAAGAAATGAAAGAATAACAATTGAATATCTAATTAATATGCATACATATAGATCCAAACATACAGTAAAATATACTTACATGTAATTGTAAATATTTCTTAAATTCTTTATTCCTAATTAAACACGTTAAATCTCGGGTTGAAATACTAATCTCATTTCCAGTTTCTGTTTTTATCGACGAAGTAGTTTCGTGTACACTAATCTCAGACATGGTTATTCTATTGGTCACTGATGTCCCTTCTACTTGATCCAAATCTTCGAATTGATCAGCCGAATCTAAAGACAGATGAGGACGTTCGTTCTCACCTAAGGATGACCGTTCATACATAGGGATATCCGATAATTTATTTTGCGCGTTCCGTTTTCCCACATATGTATCCGTCTGTGTTGCTATATCGTTCACCGTCTGAGTTTGTACTTCCGCTACTTTGATAATTTTGGCTTTGAAATTATCATTCGTTTCATCGACGCTCGCTTGATTTGAAGCATAATGCTCTCTAATAAAGTGCATGTCGTCGCATGCATATAATTTTCTTGTATTTGCAATATCTTTTTTTGCATAATTCAGTGGTTTCCATGTAGCTGTAAGAAATATGTAATATAGGAAATATAACATTCTCTTCTATTGTGCTTACGCATATTGACATTGTAGTAATGTTACATTTCAGATGTATTTTAATTGTTATATTATACCAACAGCTTCTTACCATTTTCAGCAAAATCATTATCGACTGCAGCAATCACTCGACTTTCTTCAACTTGTATCTCTTCATCTTTCTCATTTTCTACTTGTGGATTCTTTTGCTCTTGTTCGCGTTTCATATTATGATAAAAACACTTTTCAACTTCCTTGGTATTTTTGTAAGCTTCATTAAGAGACTCAAAAAATTCACATTCTGCTTGAAGTGTCATTCGTAGAGCTTCTGGATGTCTCTAAATTGTGTAACGAATTTTTAATTTTCCAGTACATACTAGTGTAACTGAATAAATGTATACTAATATATTTGTACTTACTAACTGTGTCTTTTCTTGCTCCTTTTCAGCTTTTGTTGTTGATTTATACTTTGGACATCTCGCATCTACTTCTGAATCACTGCTCTGTATCAAGTATTTTCTTTGCTTAAATCTAGGGATAAAATCCAGTTTGTCTGGTGTAGTTAAGTTATGAAATTCCTCTTGTTGAGAATAACTGTTATCCCTGAAAGAAATTCTTCTAGGATCGAATAATTCCTCTGGCAGTATAGTAACATCTACATCATTTGTATCATCATTAATAGTTGTTTGTCCAGTTGTAGTGATACTCTGAGAATACAACTCTTCGTCTTTTGTAGCAGTTGCACTTGTGGACTGTGTTACAGAATGTTCTGCATATTTAAAATTCTCTGCAATTTTAGCTGATCTGATAGAATTAATGTTCTGCTTGTTTTCTATCATTGTTTCACTATCTCCACTCTTTGACTGCTGTACAGAATTTATAGGATAAACATTTATACGATTTTTGGAACTATTTGTCTCAGACATACACTCAATATCTTCTGATGGCTCAGAAATAGCACTATGCGTCTGCTCTTCAATTTTATTGGATAAAGTTCTACCCTTTTCAGATATTCTCTTTGTTTGCTCCTTATGTATAGTATTTGGTTTATCTTGCTTTAATAGTCTATTATCTGAATCACATTTATATTTTAAGTCTTCTACTTGCCTTAAATGGCAAATGTCTTTAGGTTTATTTTCAGTATTACTAGATAAAACCATCATGCTACTATTATCTCTCGTTGTAACTTTATCTGGTACTTTCCAAAGTACAGAATCTGGTACTTTGCTACTGCATGTTCGTCCCTTGGATTCTAGAGGAATGTCTTTTGCTAATTCTACAGATTGTGCATTGAAAGACCTTTGTCTCTTCTCATTATCTTTCTTAGCAGTAGATGTTACAAAAGTTTTAACCTTAGATTTTGTGGACAAAGAGTCAATATTTTTTGTAGTATGAAATGGTATTCGGTCATTCTTCAATCTTGTTGTTATGATACTATTCATACTATCAACCATGTCTCTTCTGGAGACATGTCTTGGACTTCTACTGCGCTTTACTTGGTCTTGTGCAGACTCATCCTTTTTTGCACACAAGGAATCATCCTTTTTTATTCTCTTAGATCTATTTTCCTTTTCTCTAGAACTATCCCTGATGTGTGTATGTTCCTTCTTTTTACTCAAATTAGAAGCTATGGATACATTCGGTGCTTTCAGTGGTTCTATGCTTTCGCAATTAATAGCAGATGAACCATCTGATGCAGAAAAATCTAATTTCCTCTGTACTCTTTCATTAACTTTTGTTGCTTTGTCTAATCTTTCATGTGATAATTCTTTTACAGCTATCTCAGACTTTGTTGAAGGCAGTTCTTTTGAGATAGAATTTTCTCTACTAGAAAAGTCCAATGTTTTTGGAGAAATTTTTAAATCTGGTACTTTTAGTGGTTTAAAAAAATCCATTTTTTGTACAATTTGATATGGATTCTGTTTACAATTTGTTTTCAACACAGGAGATATCAAGTTGCTTTTTGCTTGTAAGTTTGAATATGTTTCTGTGCTGTTATTAGATGGAGTTCCTAAAGCAAGTTTTTGTTTGACAGCACTAATAAATGTAAAAGGATATGGCTGTACAGGATGATAGGATAATAAACTTTCTAAATTCTTTATGCCAGATGAAGGTGCTGGCAAGTTAATTGATTGTTTTTCAAAAACTTGTTGCTGTGCTTCAAAATCTCGCCTAATCTGTGCTTCCTGTAATAAAAAAAAATTATATAGATTTTATACATGTATGCATATGCACAACAATATGTATATATAATTATTTATTGAAAGAAGAAAAAGTAGGAATTACTCACAATAGCAACGGTTTCTGCACGTTTAACAATAACATCTGGATCTGAGAAGAAAACATATCCTTTTTTATTTTCAGCCTCTTCTTTCTGGCAACTACTCTTCATATCCTCATTCTTCAACCATGTAGATAGCATCCCATAAAATGTTTATACCTTCTATCCACATTCCTCATGCATGTACATAAGTAACCGTAGTGAGATGCAAGAACTGCAAGATTGTATACAAAGATTATAATCTACTTTAATATCACTGAAGAGATATCCTTCAATTATTCAAGACGTCTTTACACTTAACCTAGCTGCCTTGTTATCAATTATTTTTGCTAGGCACTTGTAATCTTAATCTAAAAATCAATCTCACTTACCAATGCGAAATTGATTTCACAATTTTTAACAAGCATACATCACGTATACGATACCACAGCGTTCTCAGCAGTTTGTCACAACGGTCGTTTGTAAACTGCGATCACGTGGTACGGTAGGACTTGCTACTTGTTCGATGAAACATGGCAACGACGAGGACTACACTGGTTAACGAATGATCGATAATACAAAGGTGATACATGAGGAGACCCGTATATACACCTGACGGAAAGTGACGTACTTTTCTGTGCACGATATACGTGTACAACAATAAGACGCCCGGCGTTTTATTGTACCATGATCGAGTCCGTCGTATGGCTGTATTTTGACATTCCGCAGGATCTCTCTCTTTCTTTCTTTCTCTTTTTTTCTGTCTCTCTCTCTCTCTCTCTCTCTCTCTCTCACTCCCTCTCTTCTATTCGTACTTACAAATTGCTGTAAAAACTACACAACTCGCGTCACATGCGTATGCGCCGTACACATTCCAATGGAGCGACATGCGCCCGGCATACATATCCGCTTATACCGACCTGACCATTGACTTGACCAATCATGAGTCGCCTACTATGTATCTTTGCGATGATTGGCTCGATTACTTTTGTGTCACCTCGATATTGCGATGACGGCGCCTCAAGCTTCTTCAATTCAAAAAGGTAACGGATAAGTTTCTCACGTTGCTCACAACGGCGACATTCGGGCTTTCCTTCGTGCAATAAATTGATGTTGTGCAAAGATTCAGGTATGTATTTGATGTATATGTCATACATAGTTGCAAGTTACCGTGCTATACTTCTTTCTGCAGAATAAAAACTAAACTTTATAACGATGACCGATCAACATGAGTGGAAGCCGATGGTGCAGAAAACTATTGTGAAGTTAGAACAGGCGCTCGACGAACTGCAGAAGACCTGGGAGGATATAGGATGCAGCAAGGAGACCCGAACAATGTATTACGATCAAGCGCACAATCATATAAGTGACTTGCTAAAGGACATGGTAGCTGAATCGCAAGCCAAGAAGCAACTACTGTTGGACAGCATAAAGAACCTGTTGAAACAAACAACAATATTGTATACAGAATTACATCTGGACATGGTACCCAATACTTATGATAAAATACCCTTGAGTGAGGTAGAACAAATGCTCCGTGCAGATCTGGAAAATCTGGAATGTGTGAAAAAGGAACGCTTGCTGGTTTTAAAAGAATTATTAGCAAAGGAACTAGATATCACGACGAAGCTTGGTGCTAAAAGATTAAGTATCTCTGCAAATATACTACCTACTGTACAAGAACTTGACAGTTTTAAACTATATCTTCAGAAACAGGAAAATGAGAAGAATCGTTTAGAAAATGTTTTCACTGAGATGCGTTGTTCTGTAATTAAGATGATGAAAGATTTAGATATAGCTCCATCTTCATCATTTGAACACTTGGTTTATAATAATCCTGAGGATTTTGTACTAAGCACAAGTAATATGACAAAATTGAGAGATTTCAGGGATCAATTGAAAGTACAAGTTGAGGAAACAAAAGGTCATGTGGAAAGAATGAAAGAGGATTTACTGATATTGTGGAAATATCTTGATGAACCTGAGACTTGTCAATCATTTCTTGAAAAGTATCCTGGTTACTGTGCTGCTACTGTAAGTGCTCTGAATGCAGAAATCAAACGTTGCAAAGAGAAGAAAAAGGAAAACATTTATAAGTATGTCATGCAGCTAAGATTTGAATTGGTTAATCTGTGGGATTTGTGCAAATATTGTGAAGCAGAGAGGAACTCGTTTGCAGCATTCCATTCTAGTACATACACAGAGGATTTGTTGACACTGCATGAAATAGAAGTGGAAAAATTACGTAAATTTTATAATGATAACAGAGTGATATTTGAGCTTCTGGAGCAGCGTGAAAATCTTTTAAAAAAGACAAAGGAATTGATTCAACGAGAAAATAATCCAGATCGCTTCCATAATCGTGGAGGCCAATTATTAATGGAGGAGAAGGAACGTAAAGTAATACAAAAGAAATTACCCAAAATGGAAGAGGAATTGAAGCAGTTGATAAATGAATATGAAAAAAAACATAATTGTACTTTTACCATCTATGGTATATCATTAGAAAATATCTTAGCAGAGTCTTGGGAAGATATTAATCATGAAAAAGAGAACATCAGAAAAGGAAGGAGAGAGGCAAAAGATAAATCTGTAAAAAAATCGCCTCTAAATAGTTCAAAGAAGACACCTGGCATGTCCTATCTGAGCATTCACAAAGGTCCAACACTGGGATTATCAAAACGAAAATTGTTTAGCCCATCTCCTAATACATCAGCAAAACGCAGGAATAAAAATGGTGACAAAAATAAGCCCACTGTTGCTGGATCTAAAATACGAAGAAGTGGTAGACTAACAAGACACACCTCAAAAGGACAGAAGAACACTCCTAGAAGGAGCAAGGGTTCAATATCAGCCAATAACAGTATAATGGACACCACATATAATCAATTCCAAGGCCATATGACAAGCAGAGAGGAATTACATAGCTCAATGATACCAGAACAGATATTGAAAAATGCCAATAAGGTTAATGTGAAGACACCAGTGCGGACACCTGCAAAGCCATTGAGGAAAAATCTTAACATCATTACGACTGCCAGTCACAATTCGACACGTAAATCACCTCATAGTCCTAGAATTGTTAATACCCCTAAATTAGCAACAGCCCCAAGTAACTTACCTTTTATTTTTTGAAAATACTTTTAAGATGATACATCCTAAAATAAATTTTACCTACAAGAGTGACCTGCAAAGTAATTCAATTTTAACATCGTAATCGTGCTAGTATAAATAATTGATATAGATTACTGTCTGGTGAAGATAAAAAATAACAAACGGATTGTTTTTTATATAGCCAGTGAAGGATTAATTTATAAGTATTGAGTTAATAAATATAATTATTAATAAATTAATAAATAAATTAATTACCTTAATATAAATTAGTTAAAACTAACTTCAGTTTTTTGCGATATTACTGTTTCAATAAACAGGAGTGTAATCCGATGCAATTTTCATATGCAGCTGATATATTAAGTAAATCGAAGCGATTGCGTTCGTACTTATCCGTAATTTAACAATAATTCAATGTTTGTACATTTAGAAAAATGTTTGTACATTTTTCTAAAGATTTTGAAATAATTTGATACATAAGTGGGATATGATTTTTTTATTGTAAAGATTTACACAACTTTGAATATTTATAATGATATTTTAAATATTTTGTTTAGGATATATGTGAGTGTGTATGTGTGTCTCTTTGTTGAGCACACACACATACATATATATATATGATATAGTCTAATACTTTTCTGATTATGCTTAATGTATATCTAATAATATATATTAAAGAAATAGAAAAATATCAATGCACAATATCTCACTTGTAGCCACAAATGGATATTTTCTTTGGCAAAACTAGAATTAATAGTTATTAAGTAAAATAAAATAGTTTATAAACATTATAATCACATTTTATGCATCAGATCGTATATGTGTACGTAATTGTATTTGTATGTATAATTAGATTGTCTGTAGAAAGGAAATGAAATTGAAATTTTCCTGTGGCTTTAACGTAACGTTAATTAGCTTAATGTAAATAAGATTTATGATAATATTAAAATGATAAAATGTGTTTTCGCAAAGATTAATAGTGATTTTAACATAAATTTACTATAATATTTTAAAAATAAATTTAACAAAGTATCCTTAAAAGGTGTTTGAAATTAGTAACGAACTCTGGTGTTCGATACAAGAAGCAGGAGTTGGCTAGAGTGGAATCGGGGCTGCGTTCCGAGGTTCACTGCCAGTATTGAAAATACATGGTTTGTGTCACGTATGACACATAGATATGACACATATATAGATTTTCAGTACTGGTAGTGCAGCCTGTTCTACATTAGTTGCAAGTCGTAGGAATTCACCAATCACAGTCGAATATTCTCTTAACATTCGACTATGATTGGTGGATTTCTGCGACTTGCGTTCTGTCTTGCACTAATGTAGAACGGGCTTGAATATCGGAACGCTTAGTACATTCGTCCTTTTCGAGGTGAAATCAGAAGGACTCGATTATTCCACGGTTCTTTCATTGTGTGCGATTGCATTTCCAACTAACGAATAAAGTGCGACAACAAGGAAATCGAAGAAATGGGTGATATAAAATCTTTTTTCCATCAGTGGTGCGGAAAAAACGCTAAAGAACCACAATTCGATGTTCGTCCAACAGGTAATTGTCCGAAACCTAGGTTATTACTTCGATTTTAACACAAATTATACCTAATTTTACGTATCTTAGGACCGAAGCACAGACAACGCTTTCTCTGCGAACTTCGAATATCGGGATTTGACTATGTCGGTGCAGGCAATTCTACTAATAAAAAGGATGCACAGGGCAACGCTGCTAAAGATTATGTCAATTACTTGGTTCGTACGGGTCGTGTGAATCCTAACGATGTGCCAAGAGAAGCTTTGACGACGCAAGCGACTTCAAACGATGGCATTGTGAACGACCCTATTTCAATACCGATGAAATCAGTATCAGTATATCAAGGAGGCATGGGACCAAATGACATTGGTCAAGCTTACAGGCCTTACAGTGAACATGGTCATAGTAACTACACATACATGGACAGATTGGCAGACCAAAAGAAGGTGGAAGATGCGGAGGATGTTGATGTAAACTCTGGCATACATGGCAACTGGACGATTGAGAATGCAAAATCCAAACTCCACCAGTTTATGCAAACTAACAAAATTAACACTGATTACAAGTATACTCCGGTTGGTCCGGATCATACGAGGTATGGTGTCTTGCAATGGAGTCCTTTTCTAGGACTGGAGTTGCAATGCAGTGACATTAGTTGAACTTGCATTTTGCAATTGTTTTCTAAAAAAAATATTTACCGATTGTTATACCATTTGAAATTTTACAAGACCACTTTGGAGTACATTGCTTGCTTACGCACATCCAAAGCTGGTGTAAGAGAGCAGTTTTTTAACTCTCTTGTGCACAGATAATTGTGATGGCACATATAACCAAAACTTTTATTAAAGTGATAGTATTTAATAATGGTTTTGGTGCATTTATCCCGAGGAACTTTCTTTAATGTACTCCAATCTGGTCGTCTGTGATATCTTCAAATGGTAAGTTATTGTAACTTGTTGCAATTAATTAAGGGAATGAATGGAACCAAATAGTAAACTTGAAAATAGGCAATTGTTTCAAATATTGATTTAATTAAATATTTTTTATAGAGATTCTTTGTTTCAGTGAACTCCACAAGAAATTTGGATTTTTTTTTCTTTTGTTCCCTTAATTATTAATTGCAGTGATAACGCATAATATATGTATTGTTTATTATATAATAGAAATCATATTTTACAGGAGTTTTATGGCAGAAATGACAATTTATGTTTCCCAGCTTCTACGAAGTATGTTAATTTTTATTCGCAAAAATATTAAATATTCTATATTAGATCAAAATTCCTTGATATTGTTATGTGAATTGTTATGTGAATTAGATATCACCGGTCGTGAAACTGGATCAAACAAGCAAACTGCTTCAAAAAGTTGTGCTTTGTCTATTGTCCGTCAATTGTACCACTTGGGTATTATTGAGGCATTTAGTGGTACATTAAAGAAGAACAAAGATACTGAGCTACTGAAACCTTATCCTGTTAAAATATCACCAGAACTGGAAAATCAGATTCACGAAGTTCTAAATAAGTTGGATATAAAACCAGTTTGTGTTACTATGGTACTAAATATTGTTTAACTATGTTACAAATTATGCTTGTAGTATATATAATTTGCTGCTTTTACTGAACCGTTTAATTGATTAATGATTGAAGCTAAAGCATTTGCTCACACATTATAGGTGGCGGACATAAAAGTAGAAAATAGCCGCTCATCGAATACTGGTATATCTTTATTGACGAATCAAGTTTTGGATGACTTCATATCGTCCGTGCCGCAACCTGCTGGCGTTGTAAGCTGGTCACCACCTCAAGCAAATTGGAATCCATGGACGGGATGTAACATTGACGAAGGACCTTTATCAACGACGTCTTTAGATCAACTGTCGGAAGACCTGATGAATGAACAGCGAACTAAGTTGCAGGACGATTCCAACTTGCAAGCGAGAATCAAGGCTAGATCGAACTTGCCTGTTTCCTCCATGAAAAACGAGATTATGAACGCTATTAATGAAAATCCGATCGTCATCATACGCGGTAATACGGGTTGCGGCAAAACTACGCAAGTTTGTCAGTTTATTCTGGACGATTATATCGCGTCCAGTCAAGGCGCGTATTGCAGTATAGTTGTCACTCAGCCAAGACGAATCTCAGCCGTGTCCGTGGCTGACAGAGTTGCCGCAGAAAGATGTGAGAGTTTGGGACAATCGGTCGGATATTCCGTAAGATTCGAATCCTGTCTACCGAGACCTTATGCCAGTATAATGTTTTGCACTGTTGGCGTACTTTTACGAAAATTAGAGGGCGGTCTTAGAGGCGTGTCGCACGTTATCGTGGACGAGATTCACGAGAGGGATGTCAATTCTGATTTTATCATGGTAGTGCTCAGAGATATGATCCATATGTATCCAGATCTCAGACTTATTCTTATGTCTGCAACGATCGACACTACGCTGTTCAGCGACTACTTCAACAAGTGTCCCGTGATAGAGATACCTGGTAGAGCGTATCCCGTGAAACAGTATTTCTTGGAAGACTGTATAGAATTGACGATGTTCGTACCACCGATGATTTCAGGCAAACGTAAGTCCAAGGATACGGACGATCTGCCGTTGGACAGTGACCCTGATGAAAATCTAAATAAAATCATTGATAATTCATATTCGCTCCAAACTAAAAACGCTATGGCGCAGCTAACAGAAAAGGAAATAAGCTTTGAGCTAATAGAAATACTGTTGAAATATATAAAGGCGCAGAATATTCCAGGCGCTGTGCTAATCTTCCTTCCTGGCTGGAATTTGATATTCGCGCTAATGAAACATCTTCAGCAGCATCCTCTCTTTGGCGGGTCATCCTACTTCGTCATACCGCTACACTCGCAGTTACCTAGAGAAGATCAGCGCAAAGTTTTTGATCCTGTACCGTCTACCGTAACGAAGATTATTCTGTCTACGAATATCGCAGAAACTTCGATTACGATCGATGACATTGTCTATGTCATAGACTCTTGTAAAGCCAAGATGAAACTATTTACGTCTCACAACAATATGACTAATTATGCGACCGTTTGGGCCAGCAAAACCAATTTGGAGCAACGCAAGGGTAGAGCGGGTCGTGTTAAACCAGGCTTCTGCTTTCATCTATGCTCGAAGGCCAGATACAACAAGATGGATGAGCACATGACGCCAGAAATGTTCAGAACACCTTTGCACGAACTGGCCCTGAGTATCAAGCTGTTGAGATTAGGCAACATCGGGCGATTCTTGTCGAAGGCAATCGAACCGCCTCCTATCGACGCTGTGATCGAAGCGGAAGTTATGTTAAGAGGTACATTTTACTTGGCATTTTTACATTTTCTTTGGAAATGTTCTATTTACCAAATCTTTTTGCAGAGATGAAGTGCTTGGACAACAATGATGAGTTAACGCCCCTCGGAAAGATTCTGGCGCGTCTGCCAATAGAACCGCGTTTGGGAAAGATGATGATTCTAGGATGTATGTTCCGCGTCGGTGATTCACTCTCGACGATGGCAGCGAATAGTACTACCTTTCCCGAGGTGTACAACATGGGGCCCGATGTGAGGAGATTGACGATGCAGCAGAAGTGGTTCGCCGGAGCGAGATACAGCGACCACGTCGCGATGCTGCACGCTTTCCAAGCATGGGAGGAGACGAGAGCTAACGGCGAATATGCTGAACAAATATTCTGTGAGACGAAGAACTTGAGCTTACCTACTTTACGCATAACGTGGGAAGCTAAGGTTGTTAGCAAAATCGATCGTATATCGAACATCATGCGACGACGTTTCTCGCATACATGTCAGTAACGATGGATGTTTCTGTTTGTAGAATCAACTGCAAGCGCTCTTGCAAAGCGCCGGTTTTCCCGAGGAAACTCTTTGCGCGACACCGTTAAATTATCAAGCTGGTTCAGACGTCCGTCTTGACACGATCACAGCATTATTGTGCATGGGCCTCTATCCCAACGTGTGTTATCATAAGGAGAAGCGAAAGGTTCTCACTACGGAGTCGAAAGCCGCTTTGATTCACAAGACGTCGGTCAACTGCAGCAACTACGAACAGAACTTTCCGTTTCCGTTCTTCGTGTTCGGAGAAAAGGTAGGATATAAAGTAGATATTGTTAAAGATGATGTAAGTAATATATAATAAATAATTCGATGCTTGCTTATTAAACAATCACCCTCTTTTTTTTTTTATCAGATTCGTACTAGAGCTGTGTCCTGTAAGCAAATGACCATGGTGTCACCTATCCATTTGTTACTCTTCGGCTCCCGAAAGGTGGAATACATAGACAATGTTATAAGATTGGACAATTGGATAAATCTGGATATGAATCCGCAACACGCAGCAGCAATTGTTGCTCTGCGACCCGTTCTGGAGAGTCTGGTAGTGAGGGCATCTAAAGACCCGGAAACAATTCTAGAGTTGAGCTCTATTGAGGAAAAAGTAGGTGTCAAAGTCTGGAACAATTATATAATAATATATTTGGAACGTAATATTTAACAAAAAAGGATTATAACAAGGAGACATTTAACATAATATTATTTCTAACGATAATACAATCTTTTAAACATTGATGATTACTGACAAAAGAATTATATTATTTTTACTATTAGGTGCTGGACGTGATCAAATCGTTATGCAGCATGAATGCTTGCCGTTATGAATTGGAACAAATAAGTGGAGGCGGTTTTCAGTCACACCGCCCGCCGCGACCTGACTTTCAACCTTCTACTTATAGCAATCCTCCAAAATTAATGCGCGGAGATAATACCTATCGTAATTTATACAGTAGCAGCAGTTATGGGAATTACAGTGGATACAGAGGAGGAGTAGGTGCCGGTGGCGGCAGTAGCGTCTTTAATAGAGGATATGGAATGAACGGACCACGTGGTCGAGGAAATGGAGGATACCGAGGCAGTAGCAGTGGTGGTTATCGTGGATATTATTAATTTGTTTATTATTAATAAAACTATACGCAACAAAGAATGGTTAATAAGAGTCTTATTGCAGTTTTTGTAATAGGATTTTTATTATTCATTCCTTTCTGCATCTGAATTTTTTTTCAAAAACTGCTTCATTATAAATAATTTATAGCTATCCATTATAGTAAAAACGAATTATTAGATTGCAATTATACGTCATTCGATATAACTACTCTATACATCATATATCATTATAATTTTCATGAAATAAAAGCACTTCTTTTCTTACAGTAGAGATATTTAGTCAATGTTATATGTATGTGATCATACTTTAACATTTATCAAGTATATATATTACCTGGTTGAGATTAAAATATAGCTGCACGATTTTATACGATTTTCAACTTTAAATATGTATATGCAAGGTTGATAATCGTATAATCAATTACGATGTTAGTATATATAATTCGTGATTTCTGTGTAACATGGAATTATTTATGAATAAATATATAACATACTGATACCTATTCTTCGAGTGGCTGTTAAAATAGTTATTATTTTATCATTTATTAAAATATACAAAGGCTATACATACACAAAGTGAGAATAGCAAATTCTTGGATCTCCAGCACCGACTTGGTCGAGAACGATTGTAATTGTGCCGCGTGGATTTTTATCTGCCTATCGACGATAACACGCTATCAGTTAGCCCGCCATCCGACGCGCGCCGATGACGTTTCGCGTCGATGCCGCAGCCACCTAACGGAAGTGAACCGAGATTAGGACAAAAAAGCAACATCGTCGGATAGAGATGTCGTGTATCTATTTCCGATTCCGAACACGTCGTCGGGAGCGAAGTGGACAGCAGGTCGCTGGCTGACGAAAAATGGCGAAAATCCGCACGGTGCGAGAGTGACCGTTCATCGTCGATTGACAGTTGCACCGTGCCGAAGTGGCAGACGAGACCTAGAGAAAAAAAGGACTGCCGAGAAATCCGTTGTAATGGGTCACTCGCTACCGCGGCGACGCGTCGCGCGACCGTGAACACGGCTGACTGTCACGCTTGGAGCTCGCTTGAAGGACCAAAAAAAGTGATTCCGCAGCTCGGTGGTTGCGAAACGTCACGCGGAGTCGCATTATGACCCGCAACGGGTCTTTGATCAGTTAATCCATCCATCCGTCCATTCGTCCGTTTGTTCGTTTATTCTTAAATCTCGCATTACGAATTTTCGACGAACGAAGTGTGATAAGGACGACGATAAGACCAGGGATAATGCTTATTCCTATATTCGACCGCTCAACTCGATAATCTCAATACGTTTGAGCATTTTCGTCATCCTCCGTGCGAGCCTTGAACATATTTGCGAGGTTATATATATATATATACAGACACACACACACACACACACATACATATATATGCAGTTATGCGTTATCTGTCGCTCTACTCGCCGACAAATGTTGATCGTGGTGGGTTACTGTTGAGTCGCTTGCGAGATCGAGCAAACGGACGGTGTGGAAGGTGCTCCGATAGTCGGATCGACGTACGGTTAGAAATGCGCACTCCTCGGCGCTCTTTAACGACGTCTCGTGGAGCGGTGTCCGTTTAACTGGCTGTGAAAAGTGCAACATAACTGTATCAAGCCCAAAGAGTTGAGTAATGCATAAATTTTGGTTTCTTCATCTTCCGTTTATTGCCTAAGTATTGTGATAAAGGTGTTTTGAAATATTGATATTGCTTTCTAAAATGTTGAAATAATATAGCTGTTATATCACTAAATTTATATAATGTATGTCAAGTGTCCTGATAATAATATTTTGGTTTAGAGCAAATGTATTTATAAACTTGTACAAATTCGTTTTTGTAACACAATGTTCTTCTGTGTTACTCTCATAGATATATAGATATATACATACATAAAACACTGGTCAAAATGGATCAAGAAACGGTCTACGGCACACACGAAGATAGCCATGTTGTCATGTCAGAGAAGGTACAGTCTCTGGCAGGCAGTATCTATCAAGAATTTGAAAAGATGATAGCTAGATATGATGAGGATGTAGTGAAAGACTTAATGCCACTGCTAGTCAATGTGTTAGAATGTTTGGATATATCGTATACTGAAAACCAAGAACGTGAAGTTGAACTAGAGTTATTAAGGGAAGATAATGAACAGCTTGTCACACAATATGAAAGAGAAAAGCAATTAAGAAAAGCATCAGATCAGGTAATGCTTCTTTCCTATAAATCAAGTTACTCTGTAATTTACAAATTATATTGTGTTCAATATATAATATAATTACATATAATTAAACATTTTTTTCTGTTAGAAACTTCTGGAGTTGGAAGATGTTTCCGAAGATGAGAGAAAAGAGCTTCTGTCAAAAATTGATAGCTTAGAATCTATTGTAAGAATGTTGGAGCTCAAGACCAAGAATTCACATGATCATGGTACAAATGTCAATAGTGCTTCCAGCCTACCAATACACAATTCTTTTTACAGTAGAGTAGATTATTTTGTTTTCTACATTTATGTTGCTCATTGTTCATACATGTATTTATACATAATATTATGTTTTATGGTAAGAATTGTATGCAAAGGATATGGGATTTAAATTTTGTTTACTTCTACATTTGTTTTGGTTATCTTTTTATTTTATTATTTGATATTCATTTACTATATATATACCACTGTGTTTTTTCTAATGCATGATAAATAATTGCTCTTTTCTTTAACTTTAACTTGATAATAAAATTAACAAGTGATGTTTTAACTGCAAATCTTTTACTTGATTTAACTTTGTGTCAGTCTATTATATGTGTTTTGCATGTTTTATCATATTTGAAACTGCTTCATAGATTGTATTTGCATTAGACACATATATTTTCTCTCAGTTGGACGTCTCGAAGAAAAAGAAGCAGAACTGAAACGCGAGTATTCCCGGCTGCACGACCGATATACAGAACTATTCAAGACTCATGTCGATTATATGGAAAGGACCAAGATGTTGGTTGGTAGCACAGAAAGATTAGAAAGTGTATCTGCTGGCCGTGCACCATCCAGGTTACCTTCCCTTGGACTTGCTCATATGTCGCGTAGTTCCGGCCCGTTGAGTTATGGTTTCCAGAGTTTGGAAGCTAGTATAAATGCCGAAGATGTCCACGAGGATATCGTACCAAATACCGCTAATTTAAGAACGGAGATGTTGGATAGCAGCAGTGAAGCTGCTATTGAAACGTCTGACAAAAGCCAACTAACTGATCAACCAGTACAAGAAAACAAGACTACAGCTATATCTAGACGTATGTATTTCGTTAACAGTATTTTGTTGTTGTAGGTTTTTCTATTCTACAAGTTCAAAGTTTTTACCATAAGAATGTACTTGTGCAGACGAAAGTCCGGAAACTGAAGTACCGCCAACTTTAGTTACGCCAACAACACCTACTGTGGAAAAGTTTGCTACTACACCAAGTGGTAGAAGCAGAACTGAAAGAGAACAACGAAGCGGCAATACGTTGTATCAAGAACTAAGCTTTCAGGATGCGGATGCTCTCGGCGAGATGGACGAAGGAGCTGATATTACTGGTATTACATTATAAGGAGATATTATTTTAATGTTTCTCGTGCGGAATTAAATCAACTAACCATTCTCATGAAACTAACCAACTCATAATCTTACAGGAAGTTTAGTTCATCCTGGCGAATATGCTTCATCAGGTATGTTGATTAAAAAGATAGAACCTTTCATATGTGTATATATTTATCCATTTATATATTCATCCATTTCTCGAATTAACGATTTCTTTAACTTGTATTTGTGTTCCATTGTTTGTGCCTTCGCATCTCCTATGCTGACTCATCTCCAACGCGCGATTGCATGGCACTAACTCATCATGCAGTCAATGACAACTTCTTTGGTAAGATATATGTCATTAATAATGTCCTATTCAACCATATATATCTTTCTGCAGTAATTAACGTTATGTTAAAACTAATAAATGAAATAATTATTGCTTTCTACATGAGAACTAATTATCAATAAAAATGGACGGTCACAATTACAATAGATACACATATTGTTTCTATTGCAAAATATCCTTTCTAATTCTCCGCTATGCATGTATATCATAATTAAGATAGGGATTTCAGGTGTAAAATATTTAACTTTGTATATTAGCGTTAATTTGTATTGTAGATATATTGTACATTTTGTTGTATTTTTTAGGTATGGGGAAAGAAGTAGAAAATCTTATTATGGAGAACAATGAGCTGCTAGCCACAAAGTAAGTTCTATACTAATACCCAGGTAAAAATATACTTGTTAAATGTATGTGAAATTTCATAGTCTAACGTTATACATTTTTTTACAGAAATGCGCTTAATGTTGTCAAAGATGATCTAATTGTTAAGGTGGATGAATTGACGAGGTGAGTTATTGTCAAAATTTTTTCGTATGCAAGATCATTATGATTTTAGAACGTTATTGGATAATATGTAAAATTTCTAGTGAGCAAGAGATATTACGCGAAGAAGTTCGAGGATTAAAACAGGCACGGGATCGATTACGGCAACGAGTCGTCGCACTCGAAGAGGAGCTGAAGAAAACCAAGGAGGAAGCGGAAGCAGCGGCTAAAGCGACGAAAAGCGACGACGAGGAAGACGTGCCACTGTCACAGAGAAAGCGATTTACGCGAGTGGAGATGGCGAGGGTGCTCATGGAACGAAATCAATATAAAGAAAGATTTATGGAGCTTCAAGAGGCTGTCAGGTGGACGGAGATGATACGAGCCAGTAAAACCGACCCTTCCAGTATCTCGGGAGCGAAAGGTTCAGTGTGGAAGTTGTACGTTTACTACACATAGCGTTTACCGAACTAAAAGGGACCAAGGAAAAGAAAAAGATTAATCCGGCGTTTTAGTTTTAGTAATCTCTTCACGGGACCGGCCGATCGAGGGACCTTGGTGCGTTCTACCCACACATTACCGCATGTACGTTATAGTGCTCCGGCTAACCAGGTCGTACCAGCGCCGCCTTTGGATGCCATGCGTAGACGTACGTTGAAAAGTCGTCAAGACTTTCTCGACCAAGGAGACACCATGTGAGAAATCAATCAAATTTTATATATGCACGTAGATATTAGATCGATTCGACTTCGGGACCTGCTTAATTTTACCTGATTAGTTAGATGATATTTCTATTTCTCTTCTTCATATTATGTGCTTTCTTTTTATCTCATCTATATTTAATAATCATGAGTTCACTTTTTACCAAGGAGATTATTTTTCTCGTGGGTGCACAATGCTACATAGGTTCAATTCAATATGTAACTTTTGCTCCGATTGCTCTTTGATATGAAAATCATGATAACGAATATACACAAAAGGTAATGCTGTTTTATCGTAATTCACTTGGGGCAAAGCCATGAAAACAGAAAGAACGAAGCAGACCGTTCCGGCGTAACTTTCTAAATTGCTCATCTTTACAGATTAGAATCCTCTTTGGTCAGTTGGGATCCATAAACTCTTTTGTGTCACGATTCGGTTATTAGTCTCAATTGCTCTAAAGAGAGATGTGAGTTTTTTTCTAGATAATATTGCCTATGTAATTGATCGGTTTGCGCGCATCGCTGCAGTACATGTACTAACCAGTCCTCCTACAGTTTTATGATACCGTTTGACATTGATTAATGGGTGTATCTGAAGAACAGAATACATCGGATTTAACTTTATTCATCGCATCTTTGAAAAGATCGGATCGTCCAAATTGAAACGGCGAAACGTTTCATGACAAATTCGAGTTATTCTTCTTTTTCTATTTTATTCTGTTCACTATATATCTATCTTTACTATTACATCCCTCGCAAACAGAAGACCCTTTTAAATATTATCGAGAATTTTGGCATGGTTTGTATATTGTACTATGATGACATATATGATTATATCGCTCATAAGTGTGCAAGAAATGCACATTAGGCTGTCCGATAAATTATTTATCAATTTTTCACAGTAATGTTTGGAGAAAAAGGAAAATAATTTTGTAAATACGAATTTGTACAATTTTTGGAAAAATAATAATATACGATCGTTATTGATCGAAAGAAATAAATGAAGTTTTGATTACGTTATAAACTTGGCTTTTATTTCACTCTTGTTACTGCGCTTTTGGTCTTTTCGTTCGGGTTACGTCCTTGCCTCTCCTTCGTGGTGTTGTCAAGAGATACCTGGTTTTTCTGGCTTTCGGTGGGGTGCTTGTTGGTCAGCAGGTAAATCTGTTCCGCTCTACTCTTTTAACTTTCCGCTTCAACATCAGAACAACATAAGAAGTACTATATCATAAAATGTATCTGTTTTATGTACCTAATGTACAAGCGTTCTATGTATTAACAAATTCGCAAGAGTGAGAGATGTTGTATTGTCATTGCTGTATCAATGAGGATGGAACCAAATGATCGAGGATATGTGTGATGGAAATGGAGATGGTAGTGCGCAATGAACAGCAGTCACAGTATATTAACTCGGAAAAGTTACAATTGTCTTCTCCCTTTTCGAATAAAAGCTCTCGAGCATGTGATTATTAACGCATCTATCCGTGTCCTCTTTACAGATCGTCCGAAAAACTCGTAGCGAGACGTGCAAGCGAACGAAGAGAGCAGTATCGCCAGGTGCGAGCGCACGTCAGGAAAGAGGATGGTCGTCTTCAGGCATACGGGTGGAGCTTGCCAGGAAAACCGAGTGCGCCTGTCAGACAGCCTGTCCCAGTGCCAGTCTACTGCCGACCGCTGCAAGAAACCGAGCCAGGTATGAAGGTACGTATTGTGTTCATGAGGTAAAAATAATTAAAAAATTGGTAAAATTGAAACGTCGTCGGCGCAGATCTGGTGCGGTGCCGGTGTCAACCTGAGCGGCGGTAAGACGCGCGACGGCGGTTGCATGATCGGCGGTAGTGTGTTTTACGCCGCTGAGGCGCGAGAAACGAGCAACACGAAGACGGATGCCGAGGACGCGGTTGAACATCTGGACAAAGAGCTGCAGGAAAACGAGAACCGGCGACTCGAGGCGGAACGATGGGATCAGCAGCTTAGCTCGCTCGTCTGGATCTGCACTTCGACGCAGAAGATGTCGAAAGTCACTGTAATAGATGCGAATAATCCGGCAGACATTCTGGAAGTGTTCAACGTTTGTCAGGGACATTTGCTTTGCATCGCTAGTGTGCCCGGTGCCAAAGAGAGCGACTATACCCAGTCCTCGAATGAAAATTCAATTCGTACGACGAATGGGACTAACGACAGCGAGAACAACAACGGTGTTAACGAGGACGTTACGAACGCGAACGAGAGTAACGAGCAGAACGGTCAGAAAAATCATCAGGACGGTGAACTTCTTGTTGACAAGAGCAAGAGCGAATCCGACAATCCGTCTGATGATCAAGCGAACGAGAACACCGAGAAGACTGCCGAGACAGATCAGAATTCGACGAACGAACCCCAGAGTCTGGAAAGTATAGACAGCGAAACGGCGAACCTAGGAAAGGTTCATTTTGTACGTTGCAGTGCTGATGTGTTCCCGTCGCGGTTGAACGGCAAGGACACCGTGAACGAGGAGACGAAGGAAGAAGAGGTCGGCGAAGAGACGCCCATCGAGAAGATGTCGTCTATACAACCGACCATGTGGCTCGGTGCTCAGAACGGCGCAGTTTTCGTTCATTCAGCCGTGGCCAAGTGGTCAGTGTGCTTGCATTCCGTGAAACTGAGAGATGCAGCGTTAGCTATTGTGTACGTAACTCCTTGAATGATAATCGAGATTTCGTTTGCGGTCTTCGACACGATGGATAAAAATCCTCTTTGTTCTTTCTTTTCGTTAGACACGTGCAAGGTCGAGTCCTGGTTGCTCTGGCGGATGGCACCGTTACGATATTTCGCAGAGGCGCAGATGGACAATGGGATTTGTCCCAGTACCATGTGATTACGTTAGGTAGTCCTCAACATTCCATCAGGTGCATGACCGCGGTTAGCGGAAAGACTGTTTGGTGCGGATACAGAAACAAGATTCACGTGATCGATCCTATTTCAATGACCCTCGAGGTACGAAGTGAACGCTGACAAGATTAAAAAACATATTTCCACGATCCGTCTGAGATCCATATTCTCAAAGAATGCAGGAAGTTTTCTATAGATTCGATCGATATAAGCCCCCCTCACCGTTTTATTGATACCTAATTAATATAAAACGATTTTTCACAGTGCACAGTCGATGCGCATCCTCGTAGAGAGTCTCAAGTGCGGCAGCTCGCCTGGTTGGGTGAGGGTGTGTGGGTCAGCATCAGACTCGATTCGACGCTAAGGCTTTATCACGCTCATACCTATCAACATTTGCAAGACGTCGATATAGAGCCGTACGTCAGCAAGATGCTCGGTACGGGCAAGCTCGGATTCTCCTTCGTGCGCATTACTGCCTTACTAATTTCTTCAAATAGGCTGTGGATCGGTACCGGCAATGGTGTGATAATATCGGTGCCGCTGTCAGAAAGTGAGTGCAACAATTAAGTGTAAGAATTATACCTCGGCATCGACATTCGCTAATTCGACGTTATGTTCCGTAGGTGCGGGCGGTTCAATGGCGGTATCCAGAGTGCAGGCAGGAAATAATAAAAGTGACGCGCCTGGAGTTGGCGTCAGAATCTTCGCGTCGGATCGTGGGGTCACTCCGGGAAGCTTCATACCCTACTGCAGCATGGCTCATGCGCAGCTCAGCTTTCATGGACACAGAGACGCTGTGAAAATGTTCGTTGCCGTACCTGGTAAGTGTTTTAAATATTAGTGAGAAGAATTGTCATTGTTACCGTGTATCGAATATCTGAAGAAAACAATGGCTTCTTAAACGAGAGAGCTTTCCCACATTATCTCTTTTTTTTAGGTCATGGTGGTCAGAGCGCGATAACGGACGGAACACAGCCTGCGATGCTTGTTCTTTCCGGCGGTGAGGGTTATATTGACTTTAGGGTTGGTAAGTAAATTTTGCGTGTTACAAGGTACATCTGTCCAATGACGAATCTCAGATAAATTGTGTAGAAATCATCGTAGAGAAACACAAATCCTTCTTTTTTATTATTATTACCACATCGTTTTTCCTTATTTTTATAAGAAAATCAGTAGAAATTTTTGTATTTTTTAATAAACGGTTATTGTAATTTCAGCAGAGGAAGCCGAAGACGAGAGTGATGTGGCGACACACCTAATTGTGTGGCAGATGGTCAGGTATGCCCCCAGAGAGAAGCAAGAAGTAACTGATCCCTGTTATTAATTTCATTCAACATTCTTTACCCTGTCCTGTCTTGAAACGAATGTTTCATCATTAATTGGTGCATCCTTAACTAACAGAACGACGTTTCCTACTGTTGCACGGTACAATAAAGTCGACTAACAGCATCTCTACAACCTAGACATCTCAAAATAATGCAAAACGATCTCATCATTCTTTACACTGAGCATACATACAAATACATCTAATGCACACGCGCGAAGTTTAACGTTAAGTTTTCGAATTATTCGAGTGTAAGAGAAGGAACTTGGCATTCCGACTTCTTATGCAATTGTAAAAAAAGCATTATACATTGCTTCTTTTATTCTCTGGGGGTTGGGCTTTCCCACCTGTCATGCATCGTGTCTTGTATAAAAGTGCTATTTATATCTTGCACGGACTTTTATCATTCGGGCGACGACGTTTATTCGATACGGACAGTGATAAACTCGCTATGATCATTTTTCAGGTGACGGGGATGAAACAGAGGAGGGTATGGACCGATCGAATGCCGCAGTTAACAACACGGAAGAACACGGCGAGCAGAGTCATCTGATCGTATGGCAGGTGCAGTGTCCTTTATCGATGCCAATGAATGGCTAGCCTACGGACAGAGGTAACGAGCGCGAGCCGACGGACGATCCGGCTTACGACGACGCAACGTCGTTGACGAACGATCATTGGATCGTAGATTGTGGATTGTGGGACGCAATTGTACCCGAGCAAGCTGTTTTCGTCGTCGCGAACTAATGTGCTACCTATCTATTCACCTAAATATAAATACTTGTGTAACGATCGTAGCGGAGTACGTTAATAAATTCTGAAGTAACTAGTGCGATCTCGCGTTAGCGGAGCAATCACGGCGCTGACGACGTACCGAGTCACTTACTTTTTCGGAATTTTACGAGCAATCGTGCTGTTTTATCTCGCAACAGAAGTGCGTCGGAAGACTCCACAAGTCTCTCCGCGCCATGACTAGAATCTCAATCCTTCTCAATGCCGACAACTTCTCGCTTTTCTCGCGTTAAGCCGCACCCCGACCTTTAAGCTTTTACGTAGGAATCGAGCGCGACGAGAGATAGAATCGAATTATATAAAAATTCAATCGAATTGAATTATCTTACGCGAGGCGCGTCGAGATCTTTCTCGTGCCGATGTTAGTCAGACGAGTGTTCATTTCGGAATATCGTGCTCCACGGACGGAAATGTTGACAAGTCCGTCGACCGTAATTTCCGGCAATCATTGTGATAATACGACGAAGATGTTAATACACGAGGCGATAAATTTCGACGAGATGCTGCCGTGACACACATTTGCTACACACATCACCGCAATAAAAATTGTTCATCATTTGTTCAAAGTACCTCGCGTATGTATGTGCCTGTTCGCGATATCCTGCATAATCGCTGTTTGTACACGCGGTATGTGCGAAGGAAATGTAATAAGGTGCGTGCGACTCAGGCAGACTTTTAAGCATAATGTAATCTTACGTTATCTAATTGTTATGTAATCATTATGTTACGTTATCTTATGTCGGGCAGTATATTATTTCCTTGATCTAATCGCTTTTATTCGCATACAACGTATCGAGCATAACGATAATAATATAATAATATTAATATAATAATATTAACAAAATAATATATATTCCGTTTCTCTTCTTGATCAAGCGTCGATGGTGTAAATAATATGTTTATATAGCGCTCTGTGTGTAGATCCGTGATCTTTTAATTATTTTTTCGCGTCAGCTGCATGGGCTGATCGTTTTACGTACGTCAAGCGAAAGATTCCGTACAAGGGGAAAATAAGAGAATATAACATATGCTGAATAGTGTAACTAAAAACAAAAATTTGATCGAATTGACAAAAATCAGCTGCGTGATATACACGATGTGCGAGCAACTGCTAACTAAAATACAGTGGAAACCAGAGACCGCTGCTTTTTTGTCTGTATTCTTGTCGGCAGCAGTAAGAGCAGCAGTATTATAAATAAGTAATGGTATAAATAACCGTAACGTTTATTATTTAAATGAAATTTATTTTACTTTTACTTTTTGATTAAGCAGTTAGAATCTTACTCGGCTAAACGTAGCGTCTTTTGGCGGCTCATGCGATCGTTAGGAACGACAAGGCCGACGATGTACATAATACTACGTTAATATAGCGCCGTGTGTGTATGTGTTTGTAGATCCGTAATTGAATTTGTTTCGCGTCGGTGAACGAAAGAGCGGAGTAATTTTACATGCCTGTAAACCCAGTGTCCTCTGTTTTTGTGACCCTAACATCACCCACAGTGTACTACCAAAGAGGTGAAATGTAATAATTCGATTATGTTGTTTATATAAATTGCGACGAAGAAACTGTATCCCAGTGAGCAATCTGTTAGCAGATTGACGACAGATTCAATCAGGTTCTGTCGACAGATTCATAGGCATCTGTATCCGTATTCGGCTTGTGTTTTGTCGACAGAATCTGCTTGTATAAATCTTGTTGTATTTCTGATAGCAAACTGCTGACAAAGTCTGCAGCAAGTACTATGCAAAATCTGCTCTTGCAGATTTGACCATCTGGATGGATATGTTTTGTATTTTTGCGTGGCCTCGCGAGTCATGGGGCGTTTACATCTTTCGACAGTCGACGGTATCTCTGATGATATTGATCCGGTGATGATAAAGTTTTGTAAAGTTCCCACGTCGAGGTGCGCGACGCGGCACAACGGTTTAGGATACGATAGAAGAACTGCGTAATTATCGTGCTGAGCTGGCTTTCGATGTCGAGCTCGGAATTGTACCTGGCTCGGGTGGCGTTGTAACGGCATTAATAAACGAAGTTGCGGAAACAGATTTCCTCGCCACCATCTTTTCGTCGTTGCACATCATCGAAATCAAATATTCGCGCGCGAACAAATAACCTGAAGTTTACTTTGCAAGCCATACTTCTAAAATGAAAAATGTCAGAGTTTATAATATGCGCGCTTCATGATTATTTGTGGCATGAATATATTTTTTTATTTTTAATATATTGAATTCGCTACATTGATATAGCGAATATATCTGCAATTTTTCTAAAAACTTTCCAATATCTAAATCTTGAATACAGAAATATTTATAAACATTTTAGTTCTAACGTTAGATTGATCGATTTATCGCATTTCCTTGAATCACTTTTAAATCACAGCGAAATATGTCTATAGGGAAGTTACATGAGGGACGTGAAGTATTATTTTTAGTGCATAAAATGTGATGATCAGTTGATGCAAATCTTGAATGGCTCATTTGTACTTCGTTCGATTTAATTAGCTATAGTTGTATTTTCGACGTGAGAAGAGATAACGATATTTATTACGATAATCTAATCATCGTATAGAAGATCCAAGGTACGCGATATCGTTCTTTCTCTATTTTTTGATGATTTTATCATATTAACCTATGAAACGTCAACATATCAGCATATCAAAAGATTTTATGTTATTTATTTCTCCGTCTTCTTGATTATTTCAAAGAAGAATTGTTGATATTTTTATTATTAGTATAAGATATTTTTATTTGTCATATAATACGATTTTTATTGAACGATATATTAATTGGTAAGATATATCTTTTAAATGTCTCCCCTTTATCCGTGGGTAATTTATCATGATCCTTTATATTTATTTTGACGTTGCGCATAATTTACACATATGTATAGCTCCTAATGCAAATATAGAGATAAATAATTTATCAAAACACAATGAAACCTACGATTGACATTAAACAATAGTCACGTTTCAGAAGTGCGACACTAAGCATATTTGAATATCACGAAGAGGTAGAAAGAACATATAAATATAAAAAACTGAAAGAAACACACGCATCTATTTATCGTCATAATATGCGGAAAAGTAAAATCTATAAACTAAGATTTATCGGATCCATTTTAGAGAGACGCGAGAGACAAGAAAAAATTGTGGACGAAAAGCGCAACCGGATCGACGACCGCGACAAAGTTCAGATTAAAGGGATCCGCGAATTCACCCGAAGGATGCCGAAGGTGTGCGCGCATCTCGTCCGCCTTTTTCGAATAATCCCGCCGCCACTCTATCGTTATCGCATGGCTGCAATGTGTATGCGTTCCCACCCATCATTGGCCGCGTCGATGTTACACGGACACGGACACGATATAAGCACGCCACGGCTGCCGTCGGTGAGTTGTTTCCATTGGTCACGCCGTTACGAGACGCCGGGAGACGCATTCGCCGCCTTCATCGTCAGAAGTTACAGCAGCTGCGGAAAAACGACCGACAACAAAATGGCCTGCCCAGCCCGAGACCCCGCGTCGGAGCAATTGAACAATTACAAGAAGAATTACAAGGTACGCGCAGTGATGTTCGCGGAGCGCTTTGTCGCATTGCATATGCACGCGTATGTTCAGCCTGTCGACGGGGTCAGGTGTAGGAGTGGAGTTAGCTAATAAACGAGATTGCGCGATCAGCGGTGCTTAAATCAGCGCTCCTCGCTATCTAATGACGCGCGATTTTAATTGTTGCGCCAAGGAAATCAATGTCTTTTTCAATTGCCCCTTTAGTATAGGAATGCTCGAGCTCTTCCTAATTCATTTCTAAAGATGAACTTTGCACTCTCCTCGAGAACGGAGATGCAGCATTCGCTTATAGCGAACTTCTAACTGGTGTACTAGTTCTGTCGACTTATTGCGCGTTAAGATATCGTATCAGAGACGAATAAAAAGATCTGACTGTCTCAGAACTTCCCTCCTGTTGCATAAGTTCTTCAATGTTCCGAGTCGTATCAACTAATAAACATAAGGCACTAAATAACCCGAGCGACTTGAAGCAAGAATGACTGAGCTACTTTGTGCTCGTAGCAAAACCAAGGAATATATTACGGACGTAATATGCATTTTTGCGTAGGAATATGTTTGCGCAGTTACAAAGAATTCGCTCAGTTTTCTGCGAATGCTAACGCATTAAATAATGTATCTAGCAAGTATTGAGTAATCACTGACGAAATATGTGCGTAAAAATTCAATACTTCTGCATTTATCGCTCTCTCTCTCTTTCCCTCTTTTCTTTTTTAAAATAATCTTTCTTCAATTACGATTAATGATATCTTAACGCCGTTATGTAAGCAATTGATATTACTAAGCTGCTCGAATGGAATGCTGTCTATATTCGCTTGCATCAGGTTGTTCAATCAAGATGTCGATTTATCGTCAGTTATCACAATAATGGATACGCGATGACTTAGGAGAAAAGACGCATCGTATTCGCATTTAAACAATTGATGAGATTAAAGTTTGATATGTTGTTTTGAACAAGACATTACATCCGTACAATTGCCGCAGCAATGTTTTTATTATTCAACGATTATCCAACGATCTTATCGATTAGTGCCTTGTGACACGCGAGAGATGCGTTAAAAAATGGGACCATCATATTAGGTCAGATCGTATACGCCATATTATTCCATACAAGTTGTTTATCTGTGTGACAATTTCGCACTAAAGCAAATAGAAAAGGAAATTTTTTTCGTGGAAAATTCCATCAGACGAAACTTACGGTCTATAACGTTTATGTGTCAGCGTATAATTATTGTATCACGTCATGAAAGTTAACACGCAATATTTATCAGGTGCGTATTTACGCCGTCACAATACCAATGATTTACCAGAATGTTCAATCTTTTAATATGTAAGAGCTTCGCGATTAGACCGCCGTTTAAATATTCACTAAGGATGAAACGAGTAATTTCGGTGACTTGCTAATCTGCTGACTCCTGCACCTCGGCAAGAGGGCACGTCGTGCGATCGAAATTGGTAGTCAGTGAAATTAAATACAAAAATATAAACGTGTTTTTATCGTGTGTTTGAACCTTTTCTATCAGCTCAATCGTATATTGACGTCCTTAAAAGATAATAATACAAGTTAGAATAATATTTTACCAGCTCTATCCTAATTTATAGAAATATTGATTATAACTCGTGAGAAAATTAGTCAAAATACGCCCAGTAAAACTCAGTTCTAGTCGCATATATGTTTTATTTCTAGTTTCATAAAATAGAAGCGCATATCGTGCGATAAGAAAGACATTATCACTTATGCATGCTATTTGCATGCGAAAGAATATTCAATCGGAACCATGCAGACATGATATAACCGTGCGATATTTTTTCCCTAGAATACAATAAAATAAGTGTTGAAATTGCTTAGTAATTTCATTAAATTATCTATTTTTGTACAGATTTGTACAAGAAAGATGTGATATAACAGTAGAATGCAAGTTTTACTGCATTATTTTCTCTGATCGTAGGAGTTGGTGAAATTATTTTAACTTATATCCGTTTTACCTTTTTTTTCTTTTCTCTATCCACACACACGCTTCTTGCGTAAAAAAAGCGCAATGAAGAAATATTTATATCTAAAATTAAAAGTTTGCATGTCGTGTGTGTCGGAAGAATCCGATAGGATTTCTAAAGTGTTTACAATGCAGCACTTTACGTGCGGCCTTGATTAATCGCGAGAGAGCCATTTTGCGACTTTATTGCGGTAACATAGCGCGGTTCACAACCCTTGACAGATATCTTGAAACGTTTAGATAATAAAATTGTGTTATCTTTATCTGTGTTTGTCGCTCTTACAGAGAGATAATTAAATATCAAGCATAAGCAGTGTTAGAAAATCTTTCATACAATGGAACGTTTTATTTTGTATTTACTTTGTACGTTAAGTTGCGTTGAACTCCTTTTCATGGACACAATCGTGAAAATAGTTGAAACTATGTCATTACAGCGTGATAAAGAGATAATACGAATAAACTAAATATTTTGTCGACAAATATATAATATATTTTTCGCATTTATCACGTTAATCCAATAAAATAACTGACTTAACAATTTTATTGCGCGAAATATCGGCAAAATAGCGCGTTTCCAGGTGAAATATTTATCGCGGCCAATTTTTCCATCCATTGTGTTTTAAAATTTGCGCTTGCGCACGTGTAATTTACATTTCAAAAAAGTTAGCAACGACCTGAGTCGAATACATTCGATAGTGATAATGTAAAAACAATGTATGCTGCGTCATGTTCGAAAAAAACTTTCCAGGGGCATTAGTATTCAGCGCTTGTTACTCATTCTTTAAAATCGTGCAATATTAAACGCAACGAGGCGTTTTGCAGTAGTAATCAATGGACTCACGGTAAATTAATCGCGACGCTCCGCTGATCAACTTTCGCGAAGATAATAATCGATTGTTTTCGCGCAATGTCCTTGTAGCATCGCGATTTGCCGAATACTGCAATGGTATATATATATATATATATATATATATATGTATAATAAGCGGAATTCGCGAAATTTAATAAATACATAAATTTTTAGAGATAAGTTGAATATAAACGAGACAAATAATAACACAATTGACTTATAACAGCCATATACATTCTATATATTAATAATATTATTATATTATTTTATATATATATAATATATATATTAAATAAAACTCAAGCGCGAAAATATTTAGCTATCAAAGATATTTAACATGCGGAGAAAATTTTTTTATTTTGAAAAGATAAATGACGTTATTGAAAACATAAAAAATTTATAGATCGTAGAGCTCGTTCGCGTAGAATAATTCTTGTTGCTTATTCTCTTACATGCTTATTCTCTTACATAAGCAATTACTAACTTTGTAGTAGCTAATTGTGGCAATCGTTCGTTGAAGAAAACTGGTGTTTTGTAACCCGATTAGAAAAGTTCCTTTCTTTTCGACTGTTATTGCGAATAATAAAAAGCAGCGACGCGTCATGGCACGAAAGCTTCCTCAGCGCTAACATGAACGATAATTACGGTAACTAGATGTTGAAGTGGTTCGTCGCTCTTGAGATGAGAGATAACTGAAGGATTTCGAAAGATAACCACTCCCCCAGAGTTTGTGTACCTGTGATCGCCGCATGATAATGCAACGTTTATTCTATAAAACACCTACTCGACTCTACACTCCGGTTTATTAGCAGAATGAGTAGCGATAAGAAATGCCCTTTTCATCGTAGTAGTTTCTTTCTTTTATTTCGGAAGAAAAAGAAGAAACATGTTCGCGAGGAGAAATCCGATTGTGTAATTTATTTAGTTTCATATATAAGAAATTGGACAAAATTTATAATATAATATAGAAGTGTCAATACGCAAAATAAATCTTTTTCATGCTAACGCATACATTAATTAATAATTTGTGCTTATAAACATAATGTTTTTACAGGGTGAAGCACCTGTATTGTTGACTGCAAATGGAGCGCCTATCTCTGAGAAGAAGGCCAGCCTCACGGTTGGTCCTCGTGGGCCCATGTTGTTGCAAGATTTCGTTTACCTGGACGAAATGTCGCACTTCGCCAGAGAGAGAATCCCGGAGCGAGTTGTACATGCGAAAGGAGCGGGTATATTCGCAAACAAACTACTTAAAAACTGATAACAAAAATGATATCACTTTACTGGCAATTGCTTATTGACTTTATACGTAATTCTCAGGTGCGTTTGGCTATTTCGAAGTTACACATGACATCAGCAAGTATTGCAAGGCTAAAGTGTTTTCCAGTATTGGAAAGAGAACTCCGATCGCTATAAGATGTTCCACCGTCGGTGGTGAAAGCGGTTCTGCCGACACTGTTAGGTAATAAATAATGAAAATGCCAATGTTGTAACAGGATGCTATTTAACTTTGACGCAAATGATGTAGTAAAGGTATTCAAAAGAGGTGACTGTTGTTATCTCCTTCAACTATTTTCTTTCTATTGCATTACCATGTGCATCGATAAGATTTTCCTGCCTATTCTTTTTTATTTTTCAAAGTCGAAATAAAAACAATTTGAAGTTTCTCATATATATGTTTCTCTAATTATTATTGATATATCGTTATCTGTTGTTTTCAGAGATCCACGTGGTTTTGCTGTGAAGTTCTACACCGAAGAGGGTATTTGGGATCTCGTTGGTAACAACACGCCCATTTTCTTCATCAAGGATCCTCTTTTTTTCCCGAGTTTCATACATACTCAAAAGAGAAACCCTGCGACGCATTTGAAGGTACGTACGTATATATACATAATTTTGCGTAACAATCCTCAAAATCATACATATTGTAATTTGGAAAACGTGTTAATGTGACATTTTTTGCATAGGACGCTGACATGTTTTGGGACTTCATTTCTCTCAGGCCCGAAACGACGCACCAAGTTATGTTTCTCTTCGGCGATCGCGGTATTCCCGATGGCTACCGTCATATGAATGGCTACGGTTCTCATACATTCAAGCTGGTGAACAGTAAGAACGAGATGGTATACTGCAAATTCCACTACAAGGTATGTTTTCGTGTTTTAGAAAGGAACAAATAAATGTATTGCTCATTTTATCTGCAAATGTAGCTGATTATTAATATTTGATAATGCAATTGCAGACCAATCAAGGAATCAAGAATATTCTCGCAGAGAAGGCCGCCGAGCTCAGTTCTTGTGATCCCGATTATTCGATTAGAGATCTTTACAACGCCATCAGTAAAGGAGACTATCCGTCCTGGACTCTATACATCCAAGTGATGACTGCTGAACAATCAAAGACTTTGAAGTGGAATCCGTTTGATCTGACGAAGGTAATTATCACTTAATTCACTAAATAATTAATAATAATTATTTACGTGACTATAGTAAATATAATGTGATAGATTTAAAAAATTCTATACATTTTTGTTAGATTTGGCCGCATAAGGAGTTCCCCTTGATACCGGTAGGCAAGTTGGTGTTGGATCGCAATCCTGAAAACTACTTCGCCGACGTGGAGCAAATGGCTTTCGATCCGGCGCATATGGTACCTGGTATAGAGCCGAGTCCCGACAAAATGTTACAGGGTCGTCTCTTCGCCTATGGCGATACTCACAGGCATCGCCTTGGTCCGAATCACCTTCAGTTGCCAGTAAATTGCCCGTATAAGGTAAGTTTTCAACTAAGTAAGTTTCAACTGGAACTATTGGTCAGTGAAACATACGAGTTTCTAGTTGTGATGGTTCTTGGCTACAATTTCTTTAGTAGCGGATTTTATCTTTTCAAGGAAAATTATAAACTTATAACATATATTTTTCGAAATAATTCTTTTTAGTTGATATACATTTTTTTGTTTTTATACCATATTACCATAGACGATCTCTGCAATGAACTATCAACGAGACGGCAATATGCCTTTGTACAACCAAGGTGGTGCGCCAAATTATTATCCGAACAGCTTCAACGGTCCGAAGGAATGTCCGACAGTACGTTCACCGAGTTTCCCGGTGAGTGGAGACGTCGATCGCTACGATCCCAAGGACGAGGATGACTTTGGTCAGGTCACGACGTTCTGGCAGAAAGTTCTCGATAAGTCCGCTAAAGAGAGATTGGTGAATAACATGGTTGCAAGTTTGAGTGGCGCCTCGACGTTCATTGTCGAGAGAGCCGTGCGAAACTTCGCCCAGGTGGACGTCGATCTCGCGCAGAGATTAACAGAAGGCTTGCGTAAGAAAGGAATGCTCATAAACGCTTTGGGCAGAACGGCTAATCTCTGAAGAGGCTGTATGATTGTCCCACTCAACTTTCACATTTTATACCACAAAGACCGATCACACTGATCACATGATACACAATATTTCGCATTGATTGAACATGTTTGTCGGATTACCACTGAGACTATTTCGCATATTCGAGCTATTGTACATCGCTTTGAGCGTAATTAGTGTTAATACATGTTAATACACGTTAATTATACTTAATGTAACACTTTTCTTTTTCTTACAAGGGTGTGGGTATATAACTATCGATGGTGACAATAATATGGTGCTTGCATAATAAACGGTAGCTATATCTATAATACACACTAATTGTTTGAAGAAGATTAAGATGCATCTACAGTTATACAATATTATAGGATATTACATTTTGCTACAAATTACAATATACATGTTTATTGTAAAATTTTGTAGTTCTTCTAAAAAGCAACGCGGCAAGGGTTTGTATATAAATAAAATCTGAAAACGTTATGAATGCGTTATTTCTCGACGTATCCGTAATGTCTGTTCCTCGCTCATTCCTATCCTTTGACAAATAGATTAAAAGAAATACCCGATTTTACCTTTGCTCGAATTCAAGGTAAGCGGCAATGAGTCACACAGCCAACTAAGGTAACTTGTGCACAAGACACAACAAAGCCACTTGAACTGCATTTAAACTACATCCAAATTACGTTCGCTCTCACTTGTCATTTTAGAGTCGAATGGAAAGTCTCGTGAGATTTGCGACAGGTATGGTTCTGTGACACGATATCTTATTTTGTGCGGACATTTGTGCACTTGATAATTAATTATAAACAAAACTCAAAGAGAATAAAGCTATATGGAAAGTTGCAGATCTATTTTAAGATATGGTGTAAGCGGGAAATCGCGTTAAGGATCGATAGAAAGTTGAAAAGTCGAGTGTATTGCTCACGTTTGAATGCGCGCTTCGGCATGACACTTCCGGTCGAGCTTCTTATCTGACAGTCCGAAATGTTGTAAGTACACAATTTACAGCTGTGATTCAAAATTGTGTGTGATCAACGCGAGATGTTGCCAACAAGCATGCGTATTTGCAGATAAATCCAATGTGTTGACAGGTCTGAAGCTGCTGGAAAGTCGGAGGTTCCTTTTCTCTGGGGGATTGCAACAGTTAATTTAGCATCGTGCGATTAACCTGTACACTAGTCAACTGGTAAAAAACATATTTGCTCGCACGGCGCGCGTATTTACAGTTTTTGGCTACAGCTTCATCGTGGATATTCTTTTTATAGATAGGCTCTGACCTCTTTCGCCACTTGAAGAGAGTATTCGACTAGCAGCCTCTCCTGCGTACAGATCATGCTACATTCAGCCTTTTAAACAGTATATACATTGACACCCAACGCTATGCCAGACAGGTATATATCAAGCTATGTTTATACCAAAGATTCAGTGGTTCAGACTTATACCTTTATTTCTTCACAAGTAAAATCTAAAGTATTTCGTCCAGTCCTTTACATTTTCTAGCAGCATATTGTTCAATTACTTTTACGAAAATATGTGACTGATTCATTCGTATTCTGTAATATTTATTAGTATATATAATCTATATTTTGTCAGGAGCAAAGTTTTGGTTGGTGCTGGATTAATATGGGGTGTAACTCTTTGCTGTCTTTTGTTTAGTCGCAAGTTGAGACCCATGGCATTGTTAAATTTTATTCCTGCCATCTTATGTCGGTCAGTTAATCATTATCTGATAACAATGCAATATTCATAGGATTTTGTGTTTAGTTTGTTACTAATCACAGAGAATAATAGAATATAAAAATTTTGATAGTGATCTTTTGGATATCTAATTAAATATAACAATTGAAGGTTTTATTATATTATTTTTATAATATAACTTTTACCAGTAACATTTGTTCCTTAAACATCATTTTAAATTTTGACTTGAATAATCTAATTTAATATACTTTCTACATGCTTATCTTTCATCTTCCATAAAAACTTTTTTGTTATATAGTAATCAAAAGATGGAGAACGAAGATAAACAGGAACCTAATGTCAACGATGCTAATACATCAATAGACTGTGATACTAATGTACATAAAACTACACAAAATGAGGGGCAATTACCTAGTTTGCCGTCTAGGTATGTAGTTAGAATTTATAATAAAACAGAGTTTATAATTAAAACAATATATAAGAAAATATTTTTATCTGCAGGCAACCAACATCAAATTTTATGGTGGGTGGATTGACAGGAGTGTCACCACCAAAATTTGTGTCTTTCGACGAAATTATAAAAGCTGCCAATGGAATGAAAAATATGGCCTTAGCGCACGAAATCGCAGTGGACAAAAATTTCCAACTGCAGAAACTGGAACCAGAAGATGGTAGTTTTCATAGGCGAGTAAAAGAAATAATGCATAAAGCTTTTTGGAATCTATTAGCAGAGCAGTTGGCCGAAGACCCACCAGATTATTCACATGCACTGGTTTTATTGAAAGAAATTAAAGAAGTAATAATTTTTTTTTCGTTTATAACAGCAAAAGGAAATGTCAAACGTTACCTAACGGTATTTCCTTTTTTATTTTAGTCACTGGATGAGTTGGTACCACCACAAAATTCGAGAATCAAAGATAATATTAGAGAGGTGCTTGACTTAGACTTAATCAAGCAACAAGCAGAAAAGGGTGTTCTAGATTTTCAGCATTATGCCCAATATATAATCTCTATAATGAGTAAGATATGTGCACCAGTCAGAGATGAGAAGATTAAAGAACTTACACATCAAACGGACATTATCGAGACGTTCAAAGGCGTTATGGAATTGTTACAATTAATGAGATTGGACTTGGCAAATTTTACCATTACTATGATGAGACCAAATATCATCGCCTCGAGTATTGAGTACGAGAAAGCAAAGTTCGCTGAATTTTTAAAAATTAATTCAAACGGCTTACAATATACAGAGAAGTGGTTATTAAGACATTTCGATCCGGAGAAAATCACAGGTTCATCGACCTCTGGTACTGGTAACATAAGACAACTTACTCACTCCTTATTGACAGAGGCATACCTTGATCTTCTAGAATGGGATTTCAGCCCAGACGCTGAAGTATGAAATTAGTTTCATTGTATTATGAAATTTTATTTTATTCAGCTTGTTATAAATTTGACATTTTACTTAACTAGACATTGATGTTGGACCAAGGGAGACTCCTGGAATTACGCGATATAACTAGTAGATTGAGTATCGTTGGTGCTGTGATATTGTTGGTCAATAATACGATTGGTGCACCGATTCACGGGGTTTCAAGCTTTAAAAAGAATATTAAGGAGCATCTGAATATATTACTGGACTCTGTACATTCTAACAAGTATGTTCAGTCGTAATACATGGAAGACAAATTATAACATGTTAATTATTTCTGTCATATCTTTCTGTTCATATCTTAAATTTACATAAAGATTTCCTTTATATCACGCGCAGGATTTATTAATATAATTTATATTTTCTTTTCAGGGATCTTGAAACTGCAGTGCCAAATATTGTGTTACAAGTGAAAACAGATCTCAAAAAAACATTACAGGAGGTCAACGCTCCTGATTTGTCTCCGGAGCTGGAAACATTATTGGAGGGTCAAATAACCGATCTGATAGACACGCAACATAAGATCAGATATCTTGTCAGTGAGTATAATATTCAGTATAACGATTAATATCTTCTGCCTAAAATAAAATCTTGCTTAAAATAAATATCTTTTTTAGGCTTGCGAATTAGGCAGTTTCTGCAGAAGATTATACTCTCACAATCTACTGCGCCTCAACAAGTTCCGCCAGGTCTCTCCTCGCTGCAGGAGGAACTAACAGCGATCGCTGCTCGATTTGTTATACTTGTTGCACATAATCGAAGCGTATTCGGAGAGTATTATCAAGATATTGTTGCAAATGCGCTCGCGAAAAGTGATGTTGACAATAACAAAGAGATACACGGAACGCATACTATGGAACTGTAAAAAGAATAGAAAAATGAGTTCAGATATGTATAAGTATTGTTAATATGCTTGGATCTCGCTATGGTCGTTTCTGAAGTTGGAATTTTAATTATTTCGATTTCTCTCTGCTATGCATCTCAACTTTTACTAATCCAGTTTTGTACTGCGGACGAGTGACATAAAATAAAGAGTTGATCCTCTTTTTTTCTCTTTAAATATTGTAACGCGCTGTATCGAGGTACGAGTGTATATAATTTTTTTCATATTTATGTCCATTTAATTATATGATGGACGATATTAATAAATTATATATGTAATTAATAAAGTAGAAAAGGTATGTATTTATTATTGCTACTTATGATCGCTACAATGACGATGGTGACATCAATAGTATATCTTTTTTTTGCTATAATGCACTTATTTATGAGACGTACATTGATGTATGGTGTATATCTACTACCGAAATTAATGAAATATATCAGTGACAATTTCCTTTCCTTCATTTGACACTTCAAAATAAATTAATTATATATATATTTATTTATCGTTTAAAAGAAATGGTAGTATAAGTATTAATAAAAAATGTTTACTTTTATTAATCTACACTAAAAATAGTTTAATTAAATAAATAAGAATATATACATGTATACTTAACATTTGCATTATGTCTGGTAAATATTCCAAACTGATTGAATTAAGGATGTCTTATATTCTTCGTATAATTCTCAAAAGTTGCTATATGTTGTTTCTTTAAAAAACTTTTAAACCCTGAAAATAATCAAAAACATTTTCCAGTTAATTCGTTTTGTTTAAAAAATATCTTATATACTTACCTGTAAACAAATATTGCAACCGGCCAGTTGGTGGAAATAAAATCGACAATGTTTTTAATAATTTTTCAAAATCGCCACTTTGTGTATAACTTTGTATCATTGTCGCAAATAATTTATAATCACTCTCTGATAATGTTTGTTTTACCTAAGAAGCATATAGTTTAAATTAAAGTTATATTTTTCATTATAAAATTATAAAAATATGATTGAACAATTGTGCACTTACATCTTTTAAGTATTGTTTTCCTAATGTCTTTTTATCACTCTTATCCGTTTCCTTATTAATTTGTATAGGACCTGCAGTATTACTTTCTGGATCTGTCAACGGAACCGTTGAAGGGCCAGAAAAATATGCATCAATTTTGGATGGCAAAATATTAATTTTTCTTCGTTTTATGGCTGGTTCATCGATGTGTTTTGCTAGTTCACAAGTACTTTGATAGTCTTTTAATTTGCAACTACTAAAATTGATTGAGGATTGTGGCTTCAGTGACTGTTTATCTTTTGCACTTTCATCTAAATACGTATTTATGTTAAAACTATCGTTCGTAGATTTTGTCATAAGGGTACTAGTTTCCGCTTTCTGTTTAAGCGAGCGAGGCACTGTTGTTTCAAAGGTAGCACCCACAGCAGGTAGTGAAATAACATCATTTCCATATTGTGAATGAGTGATACCAGGTTGTGGCAACTGGAAAATTGAGTTAAAATTATTTAATAATTATGCGATTAATTGTATTTAATTAACGTGTAAAAACTTACAGTACTTTCTGCATATTTAAAGAATTCTCGCAATTCTTTTGTGATTATTCCGAAATTCGTAAATTTTTTTATGTACGGTCTAAGCCAAGCAGATAATTGTTTTTTAAAGTTTGGATTTTCAAATCTACAATCACAGAGTATCACAGCACCATAGTCGTTTTTATGTCTTATTATTCGACCAATAGCTTGATTAACAGCCCGTGATGCTTCGAGTTGATACCATTCTTGTCCGGTTAAACCCTGAATATGAAACTTGTCAGTCTCATTAAAATAATATATAAATATCAAAATTGATGAAAATTAATTTTTGTACCTGTTTCTCTGTAGTCCTTATTTCTTCCAAATACCTTTGCTTCAACATAACTCGTGGATCCTTCAAAGGTGGAAATGGAAGACCGATGATTAATACAGCTCTACCGTTTGCATTTGCAAAGTCTAGACCTTCGCTGACTTTACCTCTGCATACTGCCATAAAAATAGCACCTTTACACAACGGGTCTTTAATCTTTTGGTAATATTCATTCATCACATTGACAAAACCATCCTTGGAATTGGGTTCTACATAAATAGGCTGTTATCCGATAATTAGTTTAAAAATGATATTTCATGAAAAACATACATTATTTTATAATAACTATACTTGCATGCTCGTTACCTTACGTTCGGAAATTTGCGTCCATAGACCCATATTTTGCCACTCATCTCTACACTTCCTCATGATTGGATACGAAGGGAAAAATATTAATAAACCATGTGGTACGATACAACTGAAGTTATACAACGTTCTTCCTAGAGATGCAATATATTTCGGATCATTCCTATAAAGATATAAGAATAATATAATAAGGATGATAAAGGATAAAAATATTATCACGATTATTATACAGTAGCGTCTGTACCTTGTATTATAAGATGAATTAAGCGGATGGTTATCCGGCCCTTGACTGAGGACACCAACACACACTTGTTCCTTTGTTACAATGTGTGGGTTCTCTAATTGGACGGCGATTGGTATACCAAGTTCAGATATAAATGGTTTTAACGGAGACAATGTACCACTCGTAAGTACTACTGAACGTACTCCCTGTTCTACCATTTGTTGCATCCTGCAAAGTATATTTATCGTTGTAGTATTTCGATATGATGCAAATAATACATTTTACTGTTGATTCTATTGATATACCCAAAGCCAGGACTGAAACACCAATAACTGATAAGTTTTCCATCCGTCTTTGTCGTTGTTTTTTTGCTCTCCCAAACGTCATTCTTGTAGTTCTTTTTTTGCTCTTCTATCTGTATATGAACCTTGTAACAGCGCATCACTTTTTCCTTGTGACGCGCGACAGAAATACCGCTATTAAAAGCAGTTTTCAGTAAATCACTGAATTTTTGTAGCGCGTTTCCTTTTCTTGTAAATGGCGAAGTACTGATAGTTGTCAGATACAAAATAATCTTCTCCAATTTCTCCACCACAATTTGCTCTTTGCCATGTGTTAACTATTACGAAAATTATACATCAACGGTATATTTCATATTAATAATATAACATTAAAAGACATTGAAACTGGTTACCTGTGCTTTTTCAAGTAGTTCAAAAATGAATCCACCCGGCAAGGTGTCTCCTTCATTACGATTCTTCAGTTCAATAGAATCAATTGCTTTCTCCAGTTCCAAAAACATTGCTTTTAAGATACACAAATCTTCTGCTGTGAAATCTTTTTGAACATTATTCTCTGTTAAAAAGTCATTCTGTAATTCTACTTCCTTAGATATATCTCGCATTACTCCAGTTACTTCATCGATGCACATTGCAACATCTGTACTACTTATCTGTAAATATATATAATGGAAATATATATAAAAATATGTAATGGATTAAATATCAAGGAATTATATACATATATAATAGATTAATATCATGGAGAAACATTGGTTTTTGCACCTGTAGTGATGCTGCTTCCTCACAAACTTTTTCAACATTGTGAGCTTCATCCAGCAAAACTACAGTATTTTGTAAATCTATACCCTGTGACTTTCGTGTTTTAGGGTCCAATAGATAATTATAAGGCATAAAAACAATATCTGCACTCTGCTTTAATTCCTTTGCTAAGAAATAAGGGCAACATTTATGCTTCTGTCCAGCTTTAACTAAGTCTTCTATGTCTAATACTTCTTGTCTAAAGGTGGGATCATCCTTTCTAAAAGTATTAAAAAAGAAAAGATATATATATATATATATATATACACACACATGTATCACATTTTTATACTGAAATTTATTTCAGATAATTAGATGTTATACATACCTAGCCTCAACATTATTGAAATAAAAACAAGTTCTTGACTTTACTTTAGAATGGCACATATGTATTTTATTAAAAGTTGTTGGTTCTTTAGAAACCTCTGGATGTATACACAATTGGTCTCGAGATCCCAGCACAGCTGTGGGTATATGTTTATAAGAGGTTCTTTTCAACTCATGCATAGCTTGAGAAAGTTGGGAATGTGTTCGAGATGCATAAATAATTTTGGGCATAGCCCAACCAAAATTTTGAGGATTATCAGGTACTCCTGCTGCTTTTTCAAGCCCACTAGTTAAATGCTTAAAAAAATTCCCTCCAAGATCTTTCTTTTCAATTGCTATTACTTGAGCTTGTAATTGAGCTTTTTTTGCTAAGAGCCAACTTAAGGAAGAACATAGTAGACTGAGAGTTTTCCCAGTACCTGTACAACATTTAATCTATTAATAAAAAACTAATGTAGAAAATATTACAATATATAAATATTCCACTTAAAAAAATAGACGGTTCAAATATTATTTTTTCAGGATATTATTATTATTCAAATATCTTGTTTGCAGGCTAAACTACTCAATCAATATATACATATGTATGCATATAAGTATATATACCTGTGGGAGATTCCAGAACACCGTGTTGACCATTTTGTAGGCATTCTATCACTTTACGCATATATTCCTCTTGTACAGAATATGGTTTAAAAGGGAAACTGACAATAATATCATTAATTGTGATGTCTGGCATCTTGCAAATTAATTAAAAACTTATTTATATCAACGATATTTCACAGTATTCAACAACAGTTTTCCCGCCTGAGAACCTAACCAAACCTCATTTCGATGAAGAGAACACTTTAGAGAATCGGAATGTACACCAATGCAGAAAGTTCCAGAAAGTTCAGGGATCATTGAAGAAAGAAGAATATAAAGTGTAGAAAGTGCAGCTAAGTTGAGCTATTTGTTTCTTAACCTCATTGCAGCTCATGATTTGTCAAATTTGTCTCATTGTTTAGTTTAAGTTTAACCAATGAGAAGTACGACACAGTGGAAGAACTTTAGATTGTGTCTATATCTGGATGATAACGTTGTGATAAGAAACTTCGTCGCAATGAAACAAGTGTGCTAACTATTAAAAAATTTAATGAACTGAACACATACGAAAGGAGCAGCTTGAGACTGAGTTAGTGCTGATCAGCTGATCATTCACTAACCGGTGGAACAGCTGCGAATAGCAGATACGACATTCTCACATAACAGGTTTGTGTTTTTTAAAATTACTTCTTATCAGTTTATTTATTAGTAAATGGATCCATTGGTCTATCATGATGTAAGCGGAAAAAATGAATTGGAGAAATAACAGAGCAATTTTGCTTGCTACATATAAGTTGAAGGTCAACCACAGCGTTAGTTGACCTCGAAAACAATATTCCATAAATGGTCGAAGAATGACAAAGAAGGTAGCGTAATATTTAAGAACTTCAAAAGTTAAAATTTAAAATTTTTACTGCACAATACACACGTGATATTTTGTTTATTTAAAATATAACAGATATCTATGTGTATTCTGTTATAATTTTGTGTGTGTTATATAAAAATATTTCATTTTCAATAATTTAACAAAATGTAATTTTGCTGAATAATATTCAAAAGCGATCCATTTTAACACATTTAGTTGCTAAATATGCCGATGAACTCGACACTTTTCAGTATCAGTACAAGATAAAAGGTCGATGTCGAAAGCTTATCTTAAAGACGTGTATGTGTTAAGGCAACTTGTGCTTATTATCTACATTTTGATGTTTCTATTAAATATTAGTATGCTTAATTAATTAGTTTGTAATATTATGTACTTTAATTTCGTTTTGTTATATGTTTTATATTCAGAATAAAATATATACGTTTCATTTTTGATTATATAATTATCCGATTATTTTTATACAATTATATATTGAATAGATATGTTAATTCTGTTATTTGTTTATCTTTTTCTTTTCTTGCAGTGTGTAATTATAATTAAGTACTCATAATGCGTCTAGTAATTTGTGACACAGTGGATCATGTTGCAGAATGGTCTGCAAAATATGTTTTAAAGAGAATCAAAGATTTTAATCCCAATGAAAACAAGTATTTTGTACTTGGCTTACCTACAGGTATATGATGATTTTTATACTTCATATATTGTACTTTTCTCATTATGATACATGAAAAATAATTTGACTGTATGTATATAAATTTAGAACACTTGTAAAGGTTGAACTAATCAGTATCAGTTAGAGAAAGTACATAGAAGATTTTATTAAGCTTGTATGTCTTTTTTGTTCAAATTATCCAGGTGGTACACCTTTGGGAATGTACAAAAAGCTCATAGAATTTCATAAAGCAGGCAAACTCTCCTTCAAGTATGTTAAGACTTTCAACATGGATGAATATGTCGATTTACCAAGAGATCATCCGGAATCTTATCATCATTATATGCACCATAATTTTTTTAAACATATAGACATCGATCCGAAAAATGTGCATATACTCGATGGAAACGCGCCAGATCTTGAGAAAGAATGTGACGATTTTGAAAAGAAGATCAAAGAGGCCGGTGGAATAGAATTATTTATTGGAGGTACGGTAATATTTATGAAAATGCGAAAGTAACGGATCCATAAATGTTAATGAGTCTGAATGAATGTTCGAGGATATTAACTAGTTACAATACTAATTTTGCGAAATCAGGTATCGGTCCAGACGGACATATAGCTTTCAATGAGCCGGGCTCATCGTTAGCTTCTCGCACGAGAGTGAAGACTCTCGCGCAAGATACCTTGGAAGCTAATGCGAGATTCTTTGGCAACGATATTGCTAAAGTACCGAAGCAGGCGTTAACCGTAGGAGTCGGTACTGTAATGGATGCTAAGGAAGTAATGATTCTTATCACTGGCTCTCATAAAGCATTTGCACTGTACAAAGCGATTGAAGAAGGTATTAATCATATGTGGACGGTATCTGCGTTTCAACAACATCCTCGTACACTCATAATCTGTGATGAGGACGCGACTCTAGAGTTACGTGTGAAAACGGTGAAATATTTCAAGGTAATCTATAACGCGTACCTTTTTTGGGTACTAGTCTCTGTGTGGTAAATTGGAAATATGTTAAGTCGGTGAAATGGATTATGTATATATAATTTGTATATACCGTCAGAAATTTATATTTACTTATTCAATTTATATGTTTATATATGTATCTGTATTTACATATTCGTACGTACTTTATATGCTGTTTAGGCTCTTAGTGATGTACATCTCAAATTGATTGAAGAAGATGGACCTGCAATCCCCCGCCGTGCGGTGCAAAACGATTAAAATGGTATTTATGAGAGATTTTTTAATCAATAAATTTCACTGGTAAAATCCATATATTCATTTTCATTTTTTTCCGTAACAATTTGTCATATGTTATACTACATGTATTTATTCTCATAAATTTTGTCATACTTTGTGTAAATCGTAATTATAGTTCCAGAGAATTCATCCACAATTTACCATGTTTTCTTTCTTGTAGTTGTTAGCAGATACTCGTAATCAACAGGTTGAATAAGAATTATGAGAATAAGAATTCAATCATAATGGATTTACACGGAAAAAATCCCAAATAATCAGGAGTACAGGCACAATCACGCTGTGAAAGAAATTATAAAATATGACGCAACATTTTTACATTCATTATTTTAATCATATTTTATATATAAAAATATTTTAATTCTATACGCTATTTTACTGCCATATATAAATATCAGGGAAATATATTTTTGTATTATCGTTCTACTTTTTCCAAAATAAATGTATTCTTTATATCGTACATGCGTATATGTATATTGCAGGAGTTTCTTATATAGGAATAATTATTTCGACGTGATAAATATTTTGATCAAGAGATGACTGTCATTGGCCAAACGGCAAGCGAAGCGTAATGTCTATATGAATCATTTGAGAGAAACTGAAAGACCTCCATGAACGAGGTCAAATGGATTGAACGACCGAGAGAAACGGGGAATTAGTGATACGTTTTAACACCGCAGGCGTGGTAGACCAGTGATGACGTTGAGTTAGTCAGCTGATGAATAGCGCACGAATCGGCAAAGCAACGCCTCTTTCCCAAAGATCAATCTCATCTCTTAACGTTAGCTAGGGAGAGGAGAGTGTCGTGAGCGTGGAGCGTCAGTGGTTTAGAGCAGTCGTCCGGCAAGCGAAAGACCCGGGTTAGATTCCCGGTCTGGTGACTACCGTGCTCTCGATATTTTTCTCTCTTCGGGACGAAAATATGATGCAGGTCCTGTCACCACCTAATACGCCCTCCTTCTTTCATGGTCTACATTATAGACTTCATGGTACAGAGAGGCGCCGAAGCATATACGTGTCACGATATGTGTAACTATACGATTACATAATGATGACTAAGCGTGATGCAAAGATTGATTAGATGATAGGGGAGACGAATCGAGTGGTTTCTCTGGACATTATGGAATGATTACTTAGTGGGAGCAGTAACTCTCGCTGGTGGGAGCAAAAGCGCATGAGACTTTATGCTCAGACTAACTCAGCCGTTGTCATCAGCAGTGTCGGTCCGACACGAGAAACGACAAGGTGTAAGACAGGTGAACGGATTCTTTCCTTGCGACTATGGGCGACGAACATCAGCTGAAGACGATTGAGTTGCGTGAACTGCAGCCGTTACTGAGGCGTACATTTGACGATCGCCTAATTGTGGTGCGTTATATAACAAAGAACCTGCTACCGCCCGGCGAGAATTACGGCAGCACCATTCTGAGCGTTCACGCCATCATCAAACGCGACGACAATGCGGACGAGGAGGATCTTCACCTTGTGGCGAAGATGTCACCGCCCACAATTTATCAGCGGAACATCTTTGACAGTCCATATACTTTCAGAAAAGAGATTTTCATGTACGAGAACATAATACCTAACTACAATCAAATGGAGAGAGAGAGCGGTGTAAAGGAGAATCAACTGTTCAACATACTGCCCAAGTATTATCAGTCCCGGATGTCGCTGGACCCGAAGGTCGATTTTGACGACGACGCAGTTATTTTAATGGAGAATTTAACGGCGCGTGGTTACTACATCGGCGACAGGACCAAAGGTAGTGTTGATTCTTTGCGTCATCACTTATATTGCTGTTCGGAACGACAATGGAACGCACTTTGGAAACACTCGATATATGAATGCAGTATCTGTGTTGTCACATGAAGTCTCAACCGTGAATAAGCACTTTGCACTCCAATGTATCCCGATATGAAATATGAAGTATTTCGTGGAATATTCATTTCTCAATGTCATTATCTGAGAATACTTTTGTAAAAAATTAATAGATAAGTCGGCTTTTTTATACAAGCGCGTTATTAACGTACCATATTGCGCAACTATGCATCTTCTAAATTGCAGACATGTATTTTCTCTTTTTCATATTAGTCATTTGTTTTTTATTTCGTAACAGAAAACATTAGACCGTTACGTCATTTAAACATTAAGAACGTTACGTCATTCAAACATTAAGAACGTTACGTCAAACGGATAGTAAATATAGAACAAACAATGAACGCAGGAATGGAACTGAAGCTGAATTATAGAAATGCGTTTGATAAATCAATTATAAAGATTCGTCTCACATTGTCGTGTAACATGATGATATCTATCCTCTTATCGTAAGCACAATTTATGGCCTTAGTAATGAGGGCTATAAATCGTGTAAATTGTTGCGTTGATAATTGGATAAACGTTTTTCTTCGTAATTTTGTATGAATCTCATTCGACTTTCAAGATGCGAGTTATAAAGTAGGAGGGTCCCTAAGGCCTGTTTTCGGCACTCTTCAAAATTGGACCAAAATGGCTGGAATCACTTCCTTATACCCTTGGAAGTAATATTTAGTCAATTCCAGCCTAAACGGAAGTATTTAGAGTGTATACTTTAAGTATACATGGTGTATCAGCGCGCCCGTATCAAGCATTTCTTTGGAAAACTAAGCGTTTCTGAGAAAAATGTTTCAGATAAAAGTTATATGGTTTCAAGGGGGACATAAGATGGTGTCATTGGTTTGACCTTGGATAGTCATTTGAAGGTCACGTGAATGTCGATTTCAATATTTTATATAGAACCCCCTATTTTTACATATCTTGTAGCTTATCTCGAGAGCTTTCCAAAACACTATCGTAGATCACGTAGAAACATTTATTACAAATACTTCTGAAAGAAATGACTGACGTATTTTCTGCCGCAAGGCTACTAATACTAAGTTTTGAAAAGAACTATTTTAAGAACTGTAAGTACCTTTTTGAGCAACTACGATCCTTAAGCTTTTAATTCAATAGACCAAGTCTTGCTTATGTCCATGGCCTTATATCGGACCCGATCTCACATCTTAATGTCAGAGATACACAAAATGCGTGTATGCGCGTATCCAGGGACCTGGTTATAATAAAAATAAAATTAGTTCTTGTTAGAGCTGCTTCTCGAAATTTTCTTATTACGCAAGAAGATATCTTGTTATTTTTGAGTTTTTCTTCTTTATTTTTTCTCCTTTTTTAGTTTTTAATCTTGCATAATTATTAATTATTATTAATTATTAATAATTATTAATTATCCAAGGTCAAACCAATGACACCATCTTATGTCCCCCTTGAAACCATCCAACTTTTATCTGAAACATTTTTCTCAGAAACGCTTAGTTTTCCAAAGAAATGCTTGATACGGGCGTGCTGATGCACCATGTATACTTGAAGTATACACTCTAAATACTTCCGTTTAGGCTGGAATTGACTAAATATTACTTCCAAGGGTATAAGGAAGTGATTCCAGCCATTTTGGCCCAATTTTGAAGGATGCCGAAAACAGGCCTTAGGGACCCTCCTCCTTTTATGACATGTTTGCAAATTCAACTGAAGTTGAAGTTACTAATCTTCTTTGTGATATTATTACTCAATACATATCAAGACATAATAAGCGTATTAACTTTTTGTTTGCACGAGCAGGCTACGACCTCGAGCATTCGAAAGTCGCGATACGCGCGATGGCGAGGTTCCACGCATTGGGCATGGCGACCAAGGAGAAGAGACCGGAATACTTCGAGGAGCTGAAAAAACGCGCTAAATGCTTGGAGTTCGATACTCGCGACTTCAAGGAAATACATATGCAGATACTGAACAAGATGCAAGAGGATCCGGTGATAAACGTACATATCGATCGATGCACAGCGGTTTTGTCCACCGCGGTGGATGATACGAATTCTCTGTTCACCGCCATACCCGACGAGCCGTGGTCCAGCATTATTCACTCGGACTTTTGGGTGAACAACATCATGTTTCACCGTGACGAAGAAGGCCACGTGGATGACATTAAGTTCGTGGACTTTCAGAATTATCTGTTCCTCAGTCCGGTGCGCGAAATGGTCTTCTACCTATTCTCTAGCACGACGGATGAGGTGCAGAGAAATCATGTAGAGGAACTGATAGACCTCTATCACGACACGCTGACGAGCGTGTTGGAACATATGGGTTGCGACACACGACCGTACTCAAGGAAAGAATTCGATGCTAAGTTGTCGAGTGATGCCCAGCTCGAATTCATGCACTTATGTTTCATGCTCAAAGTTCTTACGCTGGACGCAAAGGAGACTGAGTTCAACTATGATAAGATAAAAAATGTCATGCATTCATACTCGGGCAATCAAGCATTATTACAACGATTACGACAAATTGTGTTGTATTTTGTTGAACACGATTGGATCTAGGATAAAACAGTAGATAATTCGTTCTCTGGTATATCAAACGCATTATCTCTATTTGCTATACAAAAAGGTGTTCCCTATCGTATATTATCGCTGATGGTGCATTCATCTGTCGCGCGATAATGTGATGTGTGTATTATATATATTATATATATATATATATATACATGTATGAAATTTATAGAACCGCGCTAAAATGCGACGATGAATTACATGAAAGAGGTGGACGTATAATTTTACAAACTCAATAATTATGAGAAAGAAAAAATATTGTTTTCCTTTGACCATGTGCTATGTATAAATATGTATTTTTGCTATGTACATGTATCTTATATATTACAAACCTAAATGCAGTCATTTTTCGACGAAACGCTTTATTATTTCCTCTTGATCTTTGGAATTTTCCTGTTTCTATTCCTGTTCTTCACGTTCGTGACTTCGTAGAAATTGTTTCCAACTTTTTTTCTCTTATTAGCACGTTCTAGAGCTCTTCGCTGTTTGCTCGTTAATTTCTTCTCCAATGTTTTTTCTTTATTTGCAGAACATTCGGATGAGATAGCGAACGTACCGCTGCTGCAGACTGTCTCGGTAGCAAACATCTCACTGTCGCTGGAATCGTAATCTTTGTTTGCCATGTCAAACACATTCTGTTTTAAATTGTCTTCTTCAATAGGCAATCGAATTTCTGTATCAGAATGGTCATTATCGTCTTTATTCACAGCTGATACTTCCTTCTCTGTCTTTTCGTCACTCTTTTCAATAACGTTATCGTTGTCCTCATCGTTATTTTCGTCGTTAGGATAATGGCATTCTTTATCTTCTAAATTATTTAAATTATCCGATTCCTGTGGATCTGTATTAGTTTTATCTTTTGTTGTACAGGAGCTATCTTCCTTCAATTCCAATTCATCTGCTGATTCCGACTCACTCTCCATGTCACTTTCACCCTCTACTTGAAGAGATTTATCCTGATTCACGTAGAGATCATTCTTGACATCGTCGCCGGAATATTGCAAGCCGACGCGAATCTTTCTAAAATCTTGCATTACTGTTATTGGGTTTTTCATTGACTTCTGCTGAGACTGACTATCAACTTCTTCTATCCCTTCGTTATAAATCAGTTTTGCTATCTTATCTTGCTCAATTGCTGTGTTGTCAATTACTGGCTGTTTAGATAGCGGTTCTTCGAAACCCACAGGTAGGACATAAAACGGTAATTTACCACGTTGCCAATCGTTCAATACCATACGCGCCGCGATCGTGATGTCGGGTTCTCCCTTCTTTAAAAGTTTACCGCTGCGACGCGCCAACTTTTCTAAGAAATCAATATGATCCTCCCACTCCTCGATCTTGTAAGTTTTTCGCATGTATTCGGGCTTCACTCTCTCCAAAACGGATGACACGTAATCTTCCGGGTTCTGAACAAGTTCCACCCTTACGACTCCCTTCAACACTTTCTCTGTATCAGTTTCTGCTGAGGGATAAACAACACCGGGACAATCTATCAGATAGATGCGGCGCATTAGAGTTATATATTGCCACACTTTCGTCTCGCCAGCGATAGGTGCTACTTTGCAGACTTTTTTGGAGCGCAGGGTATTTATGACGGAGCTTTTCCCCGTATTGGGATATCCTATGAAACCTACACTGATCTGTTTCTTATCAACATGCAACTTAGCAAACTGTCTCAGCAGATTGATCAAAGAGCCTTTACCGAAAGGATGCGTGAGGGAAGCGTGGAACGCAATCGTTGGATGTTCCTTGCTCAGAATAGCGACCCATCTCTGTGTGGCCCACGTCGGTACCAAATCCACTTTATTTAAAATGAATATCAGATGCTTGTGCGATTTCTCGGTCTTCAGGTATTTCTCCACAGGCGGAGATCTAGTGCCTATCGGGTCTCTCGCGTCTAATATCTGTAAGACAACGTCGGAGGAGTCGATAACTTTGTACAGTTCGTTCCATATCCGTTTGCTTTGTCCTGCTGCCATCACCCAGTCTCTCTGCGCATCCTTTACACCCGTGTCTTCACGAATAAGATCATGATCTTTGGTATTTTTATCTTTGTTGTAAGTATCTTCTTTTTCCTCAGCTAGTTTTTGTAGCTCGTCGTATGAAGTTACTGTTAAATTTGGCCTCTTCCTAAGCTTTTTTGGACCAAATACACTTTCAAAACTCTCTGTATCTAATAGATGTACTTTTGTGTTTGCTGCTTTCTGCTGAAGCAAAGTTACAGGCAATTGAGTAGGTTTCATGACAACTTTATAGGGATCTTTCATAACAGAGCCTAATTCAGCTTGAAACTTTTGTAAAGCATTTTGAGAAATAACTCTTGAGTTTCCAAACCATCTTCGAGATGGTTCCACACGTGACATGGTACCAGAACTATGCCAACCTTGAAACGGTGCAGGGCTAATGATTTCACCAACACGATTACGTTTAGGTTTCTGATTGCGATACATCTGTAATCTTTTTATAGTTGCTTTGCTTCGTACTTTAGCAACACCTTTCAGTCCTTCTGTAGGACGTTCAGGATTCATGCTATGTCCTGAACGATTAAAACCTTGCTTCCGCGGAGGTTTATTAGTAGCTCGTGATTTTGCCATTGTCTGTAATAAATGTATAATTTTTAATATATAGAGTATGAAATATAAAAAAAAAGTAACGCTATAATTGATATTAAATATTTTGTAATTATTAATTCAAATATTTAATTAAATAAAATTGTTCCTATAAATTATAAATAAAAACCAATATTTTTCTATTTGTGAACTAACCTATTGAATAACCAATATATAACCTAAACTCGGACAAGGACCTATATAATCGGGACAAATAAAAAAGATATTAAATGAAAATTGACAAATATATTTACCAATTATATATTGTTTCTCTTAAATTATGTAAGTAGTTTACAACTTTAATAATCGTTCAACGTATATATCGAATGATGCACGAAACCTATACAGATTCTAAACGTTAAATATTACGGCCACGTGTCATTCCTTTTATTAAGGCCATTATACATACTTTCCGCAAGGTATGACAGATTCGACCAATTGAATTGCTCGATTTGTAACCGTCCGTAACAGTTTGAAATGAGTAACGCAATTGGTCGAAACCTTTTCTATTATGGCTGCGTTCCCATATTCACTGCCAGCAATGAAAATCTATAGTATATGTGACATAAATTATATATTTTCAGTACTGACAGTGGATTTCGGAACGCAGCCTATTGGTCTGTTCTTTTTAGCTGCACTACTAAACTGGTGCAATAAGTTAAAGTGAGAAAAAATATAGTTGTCTCATTCTAACTTATTGCACTAGTTCCACAGTGCAGCTACAAAGAACAGACCAAATGTCATTAGCATGGCTGCATTCCGAAATTCATTGCCAGTACTGAAAATACATAGTTTATGTCACGTATACCAGAGAGGAAGCTGAGAGCGGCCAACACGGCGTTTTCGGCGACACCGATTTTTCGCACTGGGAATGGGTGCTATCTGCATCCATTTTGAGAGGGGAACTACGATGCTACATCCACTTTTAGGTCTCAACGGTAAAACCTGCATCTGGTGGCTGTCCGTGCTACATCCACTTTCAGGCGGTTTATATCCGTGCTACAACCATAATAGCGTACTTGACAAGCACGGTCTCGCGCATTGTTATGCATTTGTAACATGAATTAACATGTTAACATGCACAAAAAAAAAAAGAATTTAGATTGTATATGATTAATATCATGAAGATTATATACGATTTATCGTTTAATTTTATCGCATAAGATTATATACGATCGATATATAAATATATGATAATAAGATAATATTTTGTGTGTATCCAAAATTATTTTCCAAAATATTTCAGCGTTACTTTAGTATTTATTTATACTCCGGCAGGCGTTTTTTAGCGCTGTTGTGTCCGTGTGCATGTGTTGCATTGAAAGTGTGTGTGACGTACGTGTGCATATACGCACTCACACACACACACACACACACACGTGTCATACGCAACAGATAGAATCTCAGGGTATATGCTTAAACATTTTCAATTGCCGTACGTTTCTATATAAGAATGTAGTCGGCACACACACACAGAGAAACTGCTCCCGTCTATCCGTCTGAAGTCCCGCCCTACGCTCGGCTTGTTTTGACGAGACAAGCGAAAGAGAGAGAAAGAGGGAATGTGTTCTCTCCATCTCGCTCTGATTCGCAACGTTGCCGAGATTGTGCTTCCCGACACACGGCCGAGACTGACGTTTCACTCTCGGCGTGAATCCAACGAGATGATCAATAGCAATCGATTTCGACTAAACTCGTTGTGTCGATAGATTTGCATGACAAATTAACACTGCACTTAAAGATACGGCGTAGCATTGAAGCGTTTGCAAGAAAGTCGCGATTGAAAATCGCGAGTGCTTCATAAACCAAATGAAGGAGTGAGATTCTCAAAGAGCGTGTGGCTTGGCGGAAGTACGCTGGACTCGCGGGGTTGAGGTCGGTGGTTCGCATTTCCTTGGCGGTTGGCGTTGTCCTTTTTCGCCAATTATTTTTTTTTTCGTTTTTTAGGAAAATGCACATGTTGCATACAACATACGTGTATCACAATAAATTTTTTTTCATTTTTTAAGCAAATGCACGTATTGCATACAACACACGGGCATCGCAAGCATTGCACGTTACGTCGATGACACTTCCTCTGAGACCCCGCCCTCCGCTACACTTGTTTCGACGAGCCAAGCAAAAGAGAGACAGAGAATGTGTTCGCTCCATCACCTCTGTGAAGATGGCCCTTCATTCTTCAAATTTGAAAAAAATTATTAGAGATCTGAATGCCCCTCGCAGAGTTCTAGAGTTTGCAAACCTTTAAAGAAAGAGATCCGTCTTCCAACATTTCTCCGTCGATATCTCCGCTTCTACCGGGAGTAGAGAGTCGCCATTTACGGCAAAATGTAGGGTTTTGAGAGGACTTTAATTTGGTGTCAGAACCAGGCCTTTATCTCTAACCGTTTAGGAGATATCGAAGGTCAAAGATTTCCAGCTTTTCTCCGTCGATATCCAGCCTTCCTCCGTCGATATCTCCGCTTCTACTGGGAGTAGAGAGTCGTCCATGTAGTCGAAAATGTAGGATTTTGAGAGGACTTTATTTTGGTGCCAGACCGAGGCCTGTATCTCTAACCGTTTAGGAGATATCGAAGGTTAAAGTTTTCCAGCCTTTCTCCGTCGATTTCCAGCCTTCCTCCGTCGATATCTCCGCTTCTACTGGGAGTAGAGATTCGTCCATGTAGTCGAAAATGTAGGGTTTTGAGAGGACTTTAATTTGGTACCAGAGCCAGGCCTGTATCTCTAACCGTTTAGGAGATATCGAAGATTAAAGTTTTCCAACCTTTCTCCGTTGATATCTCCGCTTCTACTGGGAGTAGAGAGTCGCCATTTACGGCAAAATGTAGGGTTTTGAGAGGACTTTAATTTGGTGCCAGACCGAGGCCTGTATCTCTAACCGTTTAGGAGATATCGAAGGTTAAAGTTTTCCAACCTTTCTCCGTTGATATCAATTTCTCCGTTGATATCTCCGCTTCTACTGGGAATTGAAAGTGGAAATTTATAGTAAGATTAGAGTTGGTATAGGACTACATTGTGGCAAGAGCGCGTTCCTGTATCTTAAACCGATTAGGAGATATAGTAAGCTAAAATGTTTAACTTGTGATGTTAATATCTCCGTTTCTACTGTGAATTGAAAGTCGAGCTTTATGGACAAAGTAGGGTTGATATAGGACTATATTTTTTCAGCTCCTCTCCCCACTCCTCCGCTCTTTTTAGACCACCGGACATAGTCTGGCATAGAGATGGCAACTGTCATTGCAGCACGGACATAAACCGCCTGAAAGTGGATGTAGCATGGACTTCCACCACATGCAGATTTTACCACCGAGACCTGAAAGTGGATGTACTATCGTAGTTCCCCTCTCAAAATGGATGCAGATGGCGTCCTTTCCCATTGCGGAAAGTCGGTGTCGCAGAAAATGTCGTATTGGCCGCTCTCAGGTTACTCTCTGCGTATACTATAGAATTTCAGTGCTGGCAGTGAATATTAGAACACAGCCATTGGCCGCGTTCAGAAAAATTGATCAGAGAGCGCTTAGTGATTATTGTCTGTGATTGGAGCATTCTTTTAGATTCTTCATAGACCCAGAAGTATGTACCAATCAGGAGCGAGATTCAGTGGAAAATCTAGTAATGTTGTCCAACTGTTGAGTCTGCTGAATGCAGCCGTTATCGTTAAAAGTTACAAAATAAGCTTACAAGGTTAACGATCTTTAGTGTTATTTCGTTGATGCTTGTTTCAATACGAATAAGAGGTAGGAGGAGTCGGTGAACTTGCTTCGTGATCGATATCATTGTGCGACGCAGCCCATGGCGGTATTTCACTGGTAAAAGTGAACTTTTCCATAATTTTGGGATACGACTATAAATATAAATGTTGATCTCAGAGCTGCGCGCGAGCGCGAGGACGCGCCGGAATTGAGTAACATCGGCATGTCGTTGGCGACGCTGGTCATGTAACGATCCCGGATACGTCGTCGTCGTTTCACAAACGAGCGAGCGAGCGAACGGGTGCGAGCAGTTCGACGCGCCGAGGCCAAGATTTTTTAGTTGAATGTTGGAATATTGTCTCTCCATCGATAATTCGAATCGCAGAGTACTGAATACAATTAATAGATTGTTTAAATCGATAAATTGGAGCACTCAATTTGATGCCGTATTTCTGAAACGTGAGGACTGGTCAGGCAACCTGTCCGCCGACTATTTCTAGGAAACTATTTCTTGGGTCGACTATCGTTCAGTACGTGTAAGTTCAACGATATTTATGAGGAAGATCTTAAAGATTAACTTTTATCCTAATGATATATGAATACAGACGATATTTGAACAGGGATAAAGACAGGAGAAAGAGATACAGTAATATTGTAGTCCCAACCTAAGACAGATATTCATTAGTATAAGGAAGAAAAATGTCAGAATATCTGCGAATGACAGAATCAGGATATTCTATTTTGATAAGATCGAGGGTGAACTACAGTTGAATATATATTGCTGACAACCATATATGGTCATAGTAAGCAAGGATGGGCTTCTCCACAAGCCTACAAGGTCAGGCATCACATGAGGCATTGCTGGGTCGCCAAGATGCTGAAATCAAATTGCTGGAGACTATGAGAAGATGTCTCACAACAAAGATCAAGTCTGACCGCGAGTATGCTTCTACTATTTCCTCACTTACTACTCAGGGGAAGAAGATTGATCGTAACGAAGATCTTGTTGGGAGTCTTATAGTACAGGTAGTTCATCTTGTATATGTTGCTGTTGAATATCTGATGTATATAAAAATCTAAAGCTATACATTGCTGTATGTTGTAGAGCTGGAAAGACATAATGGACTCTATTGATCAGACAGCAAAGTTAATTAAACTACAGGCTGACTCTATTGAGAATATTGTAGTGGATCAATTAAGTGCATTGTATGCAGAAAGGAGAAGAGCCAGAAAGTTGTATCAAGAGGAGCAGACTTGGCTGAATAACCAGTTTCAACAAGTAAGTAAAATAGAATATATAATGAAATGCAAATGATGTTGGATAAAATAAATTAGTAATTTGGGTGAATCTTAACAGAAACTATTTGTTGCCTATATTTGTTCTTTATTCAATGAATTTAATTTTGTTTTATCTGATCTGTTATTCAGTTAACAGATGATGTAGCTAGGAAAAAAATGGAATATCAGAAGAATCTGGAAATGTATAAATTGATGAGGTCACGATTTGAAGAACATTATGTTAAATGTAGGTGTTTTGTATTGGTCTTGATATAATGATTATCAGAATCATATCTGCTTCATGAAAAAATAATATAGTAATATGTTTTAGCTGGTAGAGGTGGTCGCAAGTTAGACGAAGTGAGAGAAAAGTACCAGAAAGCATGCAGGAAACTTCATTTAACACACAATGAATATGTATTATTATTGGGTGCTGTGACAGAATGTGAGCATGATTTAAGAACTTGCTACTTGCCAAGCTTGCTTCATCGGCAACAAGCTATTCACCAAGAATTTATAACTTCATGGTGAGTTACGTTTTATAGTATTAGTACAATATCCAATATATATATATATATATATATATATAAACATTCATATCAAAGTATCAATAAAGCATAATTTTATTTCTCCCATTATTCTTGATTCTAAGCAAGGTTTTAATATTCTTCTTGATTCTCATTTGCATGCTACTAGAATGGAGAAGGTAAAATAATCATTACGCAAATTAATTGTTATTCTCATTCGTAACGTACAATATGTTTTTTATACTTTTTCAGGAAAGGAATACTTCATGATATTGTAAAATATTGTGATTTTACAACAGAAAAGTTCTTAGAAATACATATACGAATGCAAAAGGCAGTCGATAGTGTGAAGCCTATCGAAGAGTATAGAGATTTTATTGGAAAACATAGGTATGTATTATTTACTCATTTTTATATATATTGATTTATATACATTTACCTAAATGTCACGAGTCCTGGTGTTAATGTAGAACTAGGCCGGTGTCTCCAATCAGATTCACATTTGATGAGAATCTTGTAGATGACACTTCAGGAAAATTATCACCGAACAAATTGACCGTGGATAATTTGACTATAGATTGGTTGAGAAGTCGTCTGACAGAACTCGAAACTTCTCTCAAGACCACACAACAAAATCGACAAAGTCCGCAATTCCTACAAGAAAACAACAGTGATTCTAAGTATGAATTGTCGCATTAATATGGCATATTAAATTGTTTGTTAATATCGTTCTATTTATGCAATTTTTGTTCTGTCTATTGATCTGTACTGATCCGGCTATACAGCAGTATGCTTTATAGTTCGAATTTTCGAGTTTTTCAGTTTTAATTATAAAATCTTTAACCAACCTATCTTTGTATGTTATGTCACCAGAATCTCAATCTTGGATTATTCTCGTGAAAGAGAAGAATTGAGATTACGTTGTCAGGAAAAGAAGTTACAGAGGCAAATAGATGTCATAAGAGGTGCTCTCAATGAATTAGGCTGTGAAGAGTTACCTTCGGGTTGTGACCTTTCCATGGAAGGTTCTTTCACCGATTCACCTGCCATTAGCAAAGTAAGTAAATCTTCAAGTATTATTTTTTCTTATTCTATTTATCTTAACAAAACGAAACGATTTTATCGATATATGAAGTCAATAGTACATAGTGTGTGTATTATATTACTGTATCCCAATTCTTAATATTGATATCCATATAAGAATAGTTAGGTTTTGGTCGTAATCAGATCTCGGTATTCAGGAAAAACGAAACATTTTTTTGCGATCTGTAATAAACTAATATTGTATATAAATGTAAAAACGTTCTTGCTCTCAATTAGTTTTTTTCAACATTGTTCAGAATTACAAGTTAGTTAGATTTAGTGATATTACAGAGAAACACAATCCCAGACAGTGGTCTATTTACGTTAAGAAGAAACCAACGATTCATGACAATATTTAAATCACCTTTCAAATCTTTGCCAACAATTAATGATTCAAAAAATGGAGTGATTAGGGCGAATAGTGAAGGACCTACAGTCAAAGCAGACAATATTCCCCCTGTTGTATGTGTTATAAATTTTATCCGCGTGGTGTCTGAGTGCTCATATATGTTTCTTGTGGCCGATTGCAAAAAGTGACATTCTACAAACAATCGATGTGTTTTGTATCAAGAATGTGATACAGACTTCTCAATACACAATACATTTATCTCAGCTTCTACTCCATAGTGGTGCTTATATCATGATACTATCACACAAATTAAGGCAGTATCTTTCTCAAGGATATGTTTTTATAATTATTATAGATGACGCGCGAGAGAGAAAGAGAGAGAGAGAGAGATTTACAAATAAACGTCTTGTCGTCGTGTTTTTATGTACCGTGTGAAGTTATAGTTGTACAATTTATTATAATTACAAAATGCGTTGCATGTTCAATAGATATGCATATTGTTTGATATATGTTCAATTATGATATTTCATTAATTTTACAAGCATGAGAAGAATTTCATGCATGCAAGTGAATGTTTTAACACTAATCTTTTACTATGTATAGGCTTTTCTATATTTTATGTAGAAATGTATTTCGAGTACTATGATGCTAAGTGAGATTCCGTTCGTTTTCATAAATTAAATCTGTCTTGTAGGTACCATTGCGCGGAATTTCCCATTTAACTAATAACCAAAAAAGTAACGGCAATGGTGGGCTTATGGAAGAGGAGTGGTTTCACGGAGTATTACCGAGGGAAGAAGTTGTAAGATTACTCGTCAATGAGGGGGACTTTTTGGTACGCGAAACGACAAGGAATGACGAATGTCAGATAGTTTTATCCGTATGTTGGGATGGTCACAAGCATTTTATTGTACAAACTACGCCAGAGGTAAGAAAATTTTAAAGTCATATAAAGTTATTTTATATGTAATTTCGACATAATTTTTAAATATTGTGTGTGTGTGTGTGTATTATTTTTTTTAATATTATATAAAAAGAAAATTTGTGATTATAGTTGTGATAGCATAGAATTTCTTTACATTAAGGAAACAAATTACATTTAAAGCATGCTATTATAGGGACATTATAGGTTCGAAGGACCCACATTTCCATCTATCCAAGAGTTGATCAAGCATCAATGGTTGTCGAGTCTACCGGTGACTAGTCGATCTGGTGCTATTCTTAAGACGCCAATTTTGCGCGAGCGCTGGGAACTTAATAACGATGATGTCATTCTTTTGGAGAAAATAGGTCGAGTAAGTATACCGACAATAGCTTTCTATCCTGGCATTTTATATGACGCAATATAACGACGCGGTCGATTTGACGTACAGGGGAATTTTGGGGATGTTTATAAAGCACAATTGAAAACTTGCAAGACCGATGTGGCCGTGAAAACCTGCAAAGTAACGTTACCGGACGAGCAGAAACGCAAGTTCCTACAAGAAGGGAGAATACTAAAGCAATATGATCATCCAAATATAGTTAAACTTATCGGTATATGCGTGCAGAAACAGCCAATCATGATCGTGATGGAATTAGTGCCTGGTAAGACGATTGTTTTATTCCGATAATGATGTTTTATCACGTTAACATAGCGGTAACACGAATAGTCATTATGTTGTAACGAAGAAATGTTGGAATTTATGAGGACTAATCGCTAACTTTAGGTGGCTCGTTACTCACATATTTGCGAAAAAACGCTAGTACAATAACGCAACGAGAAGAGCTGCGTATGTGTAAGGATGCTGCAGCTGGTATGCGCTACTTGGAATCTAAGTATTGTATTCATAGAGACTTGGCGGCTCGCAATTGTCTCGTAGGTAAATGTGAACTTTAAATGAAAAATTGTAAAACTCTTCGATTAAAATCAAAATATGGAGATGAAGAACACTTTAAGAGCCAGTAGTAGGTATAGTTTATGGGAGAAGGTTTTATGAAAGCGTCGGCAATATTTTTTAATGTTGATAGTCAGGTAAAAATGGCCACAATGTATGATCGAAACATTTCAACAATAAATTGTACCTGCAGAATACAGAAAATTTTCAATAAATGCAAACTAAATCTGCAATTTGGCTCTTGTCATACTTTACTTTTATATTTTAAATGAACTTTATGACAATTGCACGAGGATTCGTCGATTGAATGTGACGAATGGAGCCGTATATAATGTTGAAAATGACTTTCCACAGGATACGAATGCATAGTAAAAATTTCCGACTTCGGCATGTCACGGGAGGAGGAAGAATACATAGTTTCAGGCGGCATGAAACAAATTCCCATCAAGTGGACCGCACCGGAGGCACTAAATTTCGGTAAGTCACTTTAATGTGAAGTCATATTATTGTGAAGTGTTACATATTAATTAACAGTATGTTTAAACTTGTTATAGGCAAATACACATCGCTCTGCGACGTGTGGAGCTACGGAATCTTGATATGGGAGATATTTTCCAAAGGCGGCAATCCATACAGCGGTATGTCGAATTCACAAGCACGCGAAAAGATAGATGCAGGTAAGAGAGAGAGAGAGAGAGAGAGAGAGAGAGAGAGAGAGAGAGAGAGAGAGAGAGAGAGAGAGAGAGAGAGAGAGAGAGAGAGAAATAGAGACTGACGAGTAATTGATTACGAATCAATATATCTATGTATATTATAACGTTTGAATTATGAATAATTAGAATTTTTATATACATTTATATATTTTTTTTTTATATACATATATATACTTTCGTTATACTGAGTGCTCAAAAATGTTTTCTCAGAGGGTTTTTCTCCAAACTGATTTAAAGTTGGTAAACGCGTATACCAATTTCAAATCAGTTCAGAAAAATTCCTATGAGAAAGCGTTCCCGACCATCTTTTTCTGTATTTTGTTGATTAATGCATATTTTTCTGTTAGGATATCGAATGCCTGCTCCGGATGGAACACCCGACGAGATTTACCGTTTAATGTTGCGATGCTGGGAATATGAACCGGAGAAACGGCCGCATTTTGATCAGATATATACAGTGGTTGAGACACTGTCTCAAGCGTATCTGTGAGTACTAGAGGTATTTCTTATGAATACAGAGAAGCAGTGTATCAAGTTGGTGCTAGTTTTTCTTGACATCGAGTTCGCTGACCATCATTTTGTATATTTACATATTATTACTGAAATCTCACACGACAGTATACAGAATTTGGAACTTAAATGTACAAAATTATCGTGATTTATCGTGATTATATTTTATTAATTTGTTGTTGCTCGTTTGTATTTGATGCTAGTGACTTTATCGAGAAAAGCGTGCACAAATCGTTGTGCATATAGTTTTTATAATATTTGAATATATATCTGTGTACATATTCAGTTTCTGTACGGTTTGAATGCTTTTAACTTCTAAAATTAACTTTAACAGGTGCGTTCCAAATTTCATCGAGAAAAAAAAGATGTGTTTAAATCGTATTGAAACTGAGTACACTTGTGAATTTGCAAAATGTATATATAATTGTTAATAAGCCATTGTATATAAAATCATGTCAACTACGAATACCACGTAATGATCATGTTTTATATTGGCGATGTTATAAATTATATTATATTTCTTTCCGTCCATATGTATTTCAGCTTGTGTTACAACGAGTCATTACTGTTGTATTATTTTGATAGTATTTGAATATATGCACATACATACAGGATATAAATAAATATTCATTACAAATTTCAAGGCACGGTAGAAAGAAATATGACAGAAAGAAATAATTTCTGAACTTATATGTTTTGAAAATTTGTAATAGGCGTACATTTATATCCTGTATGTGTGAAAAATGGGGTGATGTATAAGTTCGCCTTCGTCAAGTACAAGTTATGTTGTACATATCGCAACAGGAAAGTTGTCTTGCTTTTCTCGTTACATTTCAGAACGAATTCTATTTTATTCTATTCTATTTTATAAGAGCGATGGAAAAGAATTTTCACACACAGCGTGTCGTTTTCTGATGTCACAATCAGAATAACACCGGGAGAAGTACTAATAATAGCCTTGATCTAACTGAAATTGGTGCAGATGCAGGAAGCAGAATTTCTTTTTCATTTTATATAAAGAAAATGTATATGAAAGTGGGACAAAAAACGTTTCTGTCTAAAAGTGTACCATAAATAAATGCGCGAATTGTCATTGTGTGATTAGACAACTTTAATGATTTATTATTTGTAAAATACATTAGTTGCGATTTTCATTGAGGTTTTTATTTTCAACTTATCTATGGAACAAGATCTTTTTTATAATAAAGAGGCAAGACAACCCTATGCACACGCATATATTTTGTATTATTATGTATTATTTTTCATAGTATATGAACAGATAAGCTTTATTTATTTAGTTCTTGCATCGTCTGTGTTCTAATTAATATGTTGTAATGAGCAATGTGTGTATGTATATGTGTGTGTGTGTGTGTGTCTATATATATATATATATATACATATTTTTAATCATATATTATTCTATAACGTTAAATTATAAATTTTCTGTATTTTACATAAGAATCAAAAGCACAGTTGAAACATCTCAAATTTTGTATATGAAATATGCAATTAGGATTTTATAAATTTTGTATTTTGCTACATTTGTATATAGAGGATGTCTTATTTGAACTGACAATCTTCTGACGACGATGGATGAGAGACTCAAAACTTATTCGAACGATGTTCTAAAAAGCAATAACTTATTACTCGCGTTAGTTGATGCAGGCGATAAAAAAGTTATCTCATTAATTATTAAATATAAATTATTAATGATTAATTAAATATTTCGAGTTGTTAATATATATTAATAACTCTAAATCTTACATAGTCGTTTACAAAATAGTAAATGACTTTTTATGCAATACATGTTGACCATTCATGTTACTGCATACTCAAAATTAGTCAAATATTAGAAAATCAATACAGTTGTATATTTGTATAAATTAAATTTTGTTTAATAAGAATAGTGAATATTGCCAATAATTAAACGTGAATATTTGATATCAAGTTCAATTATTTTATAGACTTTTTTTCTCACATATATACATGATAAATATATATATATATATGATAAAAGAATTGAAGAAAAAAGTCAACTGTACACGAACAGTGTGTGAATACCAAGCTGACTTGTAACATATCATATGTAAAAAATAAATATATGGAATGTTACAAGTTAATAAAAAGGCTATGTTAATAACTTGAATCTTTTTTGTACATTATATTCATATGTAAACTATACTGTTAGGTAAACAAACAGAAAAAAGAACTAGAATTAAGAATCTCGCAGTATAGTATTTTAATGTATAAGAAATACTTTCCCGTAATGATAATTTTATTATTCACTATCGTTGTGTGCAATATATGAGCAAGGTGTACAAATGAAATGTAAATGCATATATCGTTTGTATTATAAATATATAAAATCTATATATATTATGACATTTTTGACACTTTCCATTACACTTGATAACTTGAAGTTCTTGCAATTATTAAACTTAGTATTAGATTTTGCATACTTTTGTATTAACATCTGTTTATATATTGCACATAATTGCGGACAGTCCTTGTGAATAGATACGTAAGAATCATATAATATACAAATACATTGTATTTGCAAGTAACCAATGAAGAATTTTAAAGAAACTCAATCTTACATTATGGCATATAATTATACATATATATATATATAAATGAGTTTATCAATTATTATCATATAGAATGTGTGCAATACAAAAAAAGAAGAGAAAATACTTATCTTTATTTTGTTTTATAGGAATACTCAATGTACACAAAACGTCAATAAAGATTGTATATTAATTATTAATTATGGAGAATATTTTATAAAAGTATGAAATATCTTTTGTTTTTTCCTAGAAAAATTTGCTTAATCATACCAAGGAGGTAAATGACAACTGCTCTAAGAATTATAAATATAATTTAATAAGTTCGTCACTAACTGCTGAAGGTGTCAGAATTCCTAAGTCAGTGAACAACAAATTAATGTATTGGGGTGGTGTATAATCCACTAAGGGATGTTCTTTCTCTAGGTTTTTACTTAAAGTACTGGATGTGTACTGAAACAAAAAATGACAATTACTTTTTACTTAATCATATCAAATTTCTTGCATACTTTTCATTAAGAAACCATCTACCAAAGGAACAATGTATATATATTTTCCAATTTACCTTAAATTCATTTGGTAGGTCTACCTGATTCAAAGGATAAATTCTTGAAAATTTGAAACTTTCTGTCAATACATAAAATGGTTTCTTCATCTCTCTTGCACATATAGCCATTGTATATGTACCTATCTGTAGAAAGATCAGAAAAAATACTTTTAGACTATAAGAATTTTCGCGTTGTTGTTTAATTAAATTATCGCTATACCTTATTGATTACACCACCACTCTCTGCAACACCTTCTGCTCCAACCATTACCATATCTACTTTTTCCATTACATATCCCATTGCAGAATCCAAGATTACTGTGCAAGATATTCCTAGTTTTGTCAAGTTTTGACACATCTCTTCTCTGTTTAAGATAAAATGCAAATCTCAGAATTCATAATAGTTGCAATAAATGTAGTTATTACATGTCATAAGATTAAAGTGAACTTTTATACCCGCTATTATCAGGTGATGATGATGTCACATATACTTCAAATATTTTGTTGCTCGCAGCAGCTTCTTTCATTGCCTGCAGTACTACTCTTGATTTCGAATGTGTGAGTATAATCTGAAACATAAGTACAGTATAAACAGAAGACTGATATATTTAAGATATTTGATATACATAAAATTTCTTCACAATTGATGCATATTTAACTTACTGAGCCATCCGTAATAAACTGGGCTGCTACTTTTGCAATTTTTCCTCGCGCAGCAACAAGTTTCTCATAAAACACCTTACCTCTGTCCAACATAATACGTTTACACACTGCAAATGACTAAAACATAAATAAAATATCATTTAGATATAAAAAATTTCAGCAAATTTACTTGTAATAGTCTAAGCAATATCTAAGCAATGATAAGCAATTTATCATTGATCCTTTGGCTACAGTTAACTTAGCTCAACATAGAATTTTATTGTTGTATATATGCTTTACTACTGGATATATCTAACAAATAGTACTGCAATTGATGTTTGATACTTCATATTGCACAATTCATAGTATAAGTATGTGACGCAATAGCTAATAATTTATACTTATTACATCAGAAAAATTGCATGAAAAAAATGATTAATAAGCTATCCACCGAGTCTCAATGCAAGTTTCAGAAGATAGTGGCAATATATCTTAAAAAGATTGTTTAGCAAAAAACTACTATAAAGTGTCATACAATATTAATAAAGGATTATTACAGGTGTATCTAGTGTTGCTAATGTGATGAAACGAAGAAACAATTCACTTCCAGAAGCAATTGGAGTAACAGGATTTTCTGTAGAACAGATTGCATCGATTGCATCTTGTAAGCAAATCCGAAGTTCTTGAACTGTTTCTGCTGCAATAAAAATAGCAATATATGATAGTAGAGTAAATAGCAAAGTTCTGCCTTCTTCTTTAGTTAATAATACACTTACACTTGGAACGTTCCAAAACTTTTAATAAAGTACGAATAGCAGCCATACCAGCAGATACATCCGTTTCATTTCTAATGATATCATTAAAATATTGACGAATCTCTGAAAATATTTTTTGGACTTATTTCATTATCTAACAAAAACAACAGAGAGAAACAACATAGAACATCAATATATACCGTCTTTTTCCATTGTCTTAATTTATTAATCCTCTGGTTCTTGGTTGTTAATATCTATCACTCGTTTCGTCTTAGTTTTGTAACAACTGTTATTCTGGTAATTAATTAAGCTAATAGTTATTTTATGCAATATATTAAATCAACGTTAATATTGCAAAATCTATTTCTTGTTATTGACTAAATATGTTAGTAGTTGTTGATAGTGTCACATCTATGCCCATGTGTTTAATCACGTTGCCAAATTGAAACAGAGTAGGGGATACAGAGGGTCTGTTCTTTATAGCTGCACTGTCGAACTAGTGCAATAAGTTAGGGTGAGAAAAAATATAGTTGTCTCATGTTAACTTATTGCATTAGTTCAGCAGTGCAGCTGTAAAGAACAGACAGATGGTCTGTTCTTTTCAGCTACACTGCGGAACTAGTGCAATAAGTTAACATGAGACAACTATATTTTTTCTCACTTTAACTTATTGCACCAGTTCAGTAGTGCAGCTGAAAAGAACAGACCACCAGATTCTTTGGGTGGTAACGAGTATGACAAGTTTTTCAGCGCCACCATCGTCTGTACCCGGATGTGTTTAAATTAAAATAGATCACGTGACACGGAATAAGGATACGCGCTATATTTAAACCCATGCATGTGCGCTCATTTATACATATATATATCAAGAAACAAGAAGCAAAGTGCACATGGTGAATAAGGTTTGAAAGATATCTTAAAAATCTTTAATGAATTTTGATTTATATTCATGTAGTTTTGTAAAAGAGCATATAAGTAGATTTCATATTCGACATTACGACTGAAAATTAGGTACTTCAATTTGTAAAATTTTTCTTGAATCAACTCGTTACCATTATTTTTCCCAAAGTTATAACTTTAAATTTTGCTTAGTTTCCATTGTCAAAAGAAAAAATGTTTTAATTTCTGTAAATAATTATAAAATCTGAGAATTTCGCGAATATGCAATAAAAAATTGAAAATAAATTAATTATGTAATACACGTGAGACTGTGTGTGTGTGATATATATATATATATATATATATATATATATATATAATGCATATGATATTATTTATAAGTTATTTTAAAAAGGTTTGTGTAAATAGAATAGCATTTATTTTTATTACTGCTATTATCATTGCTTTTTTTCCAATAACTTCAGTATATTTTTACATTTCATGTTACATTTTAATTAATATACAATGTAGGCCATAGGGTAATTCAATTAATAACTGATCCTTGAAACGAGCAAAGCTTAATTTTGCTTTGCTTCATTCTCACACAATATATTATTTCATAGTTTGGAACACTTATTCGACCTATATTTTAACAAATGCAGTTTTCGATATATTATGATCCTTTTACATCTGAATCAAACTTTTTTGTCTTTTTCTATACATTATTCATTTTATATTTACACGCGCGTTAATAGATTAGTACAATTTTGCCCAAAATGAGCATAGAGTAGCGGGAACTGACAGAAGAAATCACGATATCTTTTCACGACTGTGGAAAGTTTCTTTTCAATAAAATATTAAGTTTTAACTATAATGTATATATATATATAGAATAAATATTTCTCTTTTAGCTACAGATACATGCTTGTCAATTTTGTCAATATTTACTTATCTTTTGATAAAAAGACATGTAAAGACATAATAGAGTTAAAAAAACTTGTATGAGTAATATTAATTTTTATAACGTATCATGAAGTTTTGTGTTCACGCATACATAATAGAACGTTTTTGTTATTCATGTAAACACAGAACTTCGTAATGCGTCTGGAAGCTTTACTTTCTACTGTCTCTCGTCAACGTTACGTCATCAATCCAGTACAAAGTTTACGAAAGTTTAGAAAGTTGCATATCGACCCCACACAAAGACAGTTTCTCATGAGATCGATATACACGATCACACAGTTTGCCCACTTTTTAGACGAGTTCAAACGCAAATCTACAGTGAAACACGAAGGAGTATCGAGTGCGGAGAAATGTTAAACAATGCGTCTCCATTAAACGATTCCTGCTTCTCCATGCCCAAAAGGCGTAACTTCCCGTATAGTTGACTATTTTCGACGTGAGTCAACTTTCACATAAGGATAAAGTCTCTTCGAGTCCGAGAGTCTCGTAATTATTTCCAACAATTACATACATATATATATATACACACACACACACATACACACACACACACACACATACACATACATATATACATACATACATACATATATATATATATCAATATTCATAACTATATTTGCAAAACAGATTGTTCTCACCACGAATTATCAATATCATATTGGAACAATTATGACAGAAAGTAATAGCAGGTTTCTATTCTTCATCCCAGATATGCCGCCTGATACTTTTGTCGTAATGCGCATCTTCATCTTATTTAAAATTAAGTGACAACGCGACTGTACTTTAAACGTCACGTTTTTATCTCCATCTTTTTCTTTGTACTGCTCTCTCGGCAGTGTAACGCGTATTTTTAGACACAAATTTATTTACACATTCGAGATATGGAAGAAAAAATACTCCAAGTATTCAGGCACATCTGGGCGAAACACATGTGTATAGAACATTATATGTATTGCAATGTAACGATCTTTCTTTTTTTCTTTCCGTCGTCATAATAATTTATAATCTCTACAAGTGAAACTCAATAACCATATTTATGAACAAAGACGTTACACAATGTCAAATATATATGTGTGTATGTGTGTGTGTGTATGTTTGTGTGTATATGATGTGTGTGTTAAATACCGGCGTATACTTATAAAATATATCGAATAAATTATAAAAACTACTCTATATATATCCCAGTATACACAAGTCTTACAAGTCACTTAACAAAACAACAGCGCACCACTTTTAATTCATTGTTCCCGCTCCCATTTTCCTTTTCATTTCCTTTTTTTCTTTCTTTTCCCGATATACCATGGAGAGATCAGTGGAGTAATGGACTGACTGAAAAACGACTATGTGTAATAAAATAGAGATATGCGATTCTTATCCTAAGTATTGCAGTGGTATAATAAAGAGACCCCCCATTGGTGCGTGATCTTAAACAATTCTACGAAAAAAGACAACATGTACACGTTAAACACGGATTCAAGATCTGCTAGATGGAAGAGTTTATCTGTTTAATTTGTGTTCAGCCCATTACTATTGGTAACGTTTCCGCCGTCGGACAGACATGTCTGTCCTCGTTAAACTGAACTAACTTGAATCGAAGAAGCCATAGATTCCGTTTCGTTATGCGCTCTTAGATTCATGGAGTTTTCGATACTACCACCGTCGTTAGCGTCACCGCTTAACGACGCCAGTCTTTCGCTATCTATCAACGAAACATTCGGGTCTATTATGATCGCGTTGTTTTCCATACTGTTGTTCTTCTTCCGGATCGCGCATCCGTTAACATTCCCGTCTACCTCCGTCTGATCATTGTTCAACATCGACAAGCTCCCCTTGATGTTCTCCCGCGACGTCGTCTGAGAGTCCAGTTTCTTCTCCTTGTCGGACATCAGATGAGCGTTCTTCGTTACCTTGCTTTCTTTCTCTTTGGGTTTCTTACCGAGTACTGGAAAATTGGTAATCTTCGAAACAGTCTTTTGATCCTTTGATTGTCTCATGGAACCAACGCGATTCGGCTCCGTTGTTTCTTGCTCCTCCGTGATCGATACCAGGTTACTTTTACCTTCTCCAGTAGCATCATCTTTTACAACTTGTATCGGTATGTCATCTGAAGGCAAAAGAGAATTTTTTATACAATATTGTTTTCCGTAGGAAGGGAAGCATTTACCGTCAAATTGGACTTGGCAATAATAAAAGCGATATTAAAAATTGATAAGCATCTCAGATAGAGGCAAGGAGAAACATACATATCGATACATTCTACACAATGATCGGCTTAATTTACGCGTGTGAGATATGACACTCCGTACAGATGTAATTTGTTCTATAATATAGTATGTTGGCAACGACACGTGAGGAAGATAAAATTAATTATTTAAGTAGCATATCGTATCGTGTACATACGATAGAGAAATGCATCTTCGTTCTCAATGGAAATATTTCACCAATCGGCGTCTCTCTTTTCTATTGATCGCGTTTATTTTTATAATATGTTAGATATATCGTTTGGTAGGGGAATGGGCTCTCGACCGTTTGAAAAACACGTCGAACATAAGGAGTATTATTATATAAATAATATTAAACACTTGTCTGACAGAGTATACAGTGCAAAAGAAGTTACAATCCAACGAAAGAGAAAGAAAAGATTGCAAGTAAAGATAACATTCAAACAAGGATTTTGCGAAGAAACATACAAGAAGTAGGTACAATTAGAGTAGGAAAGAAATATCAAATACATTTTCTAGTCAAGCAATGTACTTGAAACTTTTCGGTGCGGGTGGATAAATGTGCCGTGTCGACATGCATATTTTCCCGGTCATGCACGTTTCTGTTTAGACTCTGTTTTTTATGCGAATGTCTGGTTATAGCTGGGATTGGTGTTTCTGAAAGGAATACATCCACGATCACATGAATCACTTATATATGGTATCATATATATGTATATATCAGCTGATTTTGTGTGTGCTAGTGTACACCAAGTGAAAACATAATTGTAAAGTTTGATGAAGAATTGTAGCGTGATGAGATTTACGCCATCCTACAGTGTTGTAACTGAAGTGACAATACCATATGTTTGATGACAGTGCGGCAGTAGCGCAATAATTGATCGATCTATTGCCTTCCGTATACAAATTTTCCACCGACTCTCGAATGATCTCTCCCAACGCCTGCTCCTCTAATACGCTATACAGATGCGCGTTAGTGGCCAATCTATCGTCGGCAAAGGTAGAATCACACTTTACGTTACTATCTTTTCTAGCTTTCTGACTCGCGTCGTCCTTATTCTCGTGAGTCGCTTTCTTTGACTGTTGATCTTTGCTCTTTTTAGGAGAGGACTTTATCGGCGAGCTGTGGCTGCTGCATACACTGCCACGTCTGGAGCCTTCCAATGAAGAGGAAGATTGCGCCTTTCCTACGCCCATGTCCTTCTTAATGTCAACGGAACTTGGAAGCGTGTGCTTCCAATGCCACGGCCGACGTTTGCTGCTCCCGGACACTGTCGGTTGCTGTTGCTTCTCGACTTGACAATTGCTCAATTCGACCGCAAATAACTTCTCATCCAGATCGTCTAATGACACAGGCGCGCAATCCACATTTGTTGGATTCTTTTCGTTTTCGTTTGTAACTCTAACTTATGATATACATATTTTAAGATCAAATACTTCGTAATATGCGAATTCACGGATCGATATTTCGTACGTGTCTATAATGTAAATGTATAGTACGATTTGCGATCTATTAGTATAAGGGTATCACACAATACAAACGTGAGGAAATGTAAATAGTACATTGCACATGGTTTTCACAAAAATGTGGGCAAGTATTGTATCGATATCTGCTTATTAATGGGCAACTATTCACTCATGGAAAAAAAAGAAACGTTTTCAATTCAGCAATAATTTTATAAAACTCAGAGGGATGTCACATGCAAGCTTGGGCCTAAAAATACTCGACACATTCATGTCCATGCATATCTGCTTTGTGTATTAGTTATGCCTGTTATATATATTAGGATGTGTATGGCAGCTAATATTTAAACACACCATTAAAATCTTATTTATGCGTGTTAGCTATTTTAATGGAACATAGCTGTGATGTTACTGATTGTTAGTGATTTGATACCTTTATTAGCCACCAATAATATTTGCCAATGTACAAAATTTGTATCAAATACATTAATCATACTTGGTTTTACAAATTAATTTTGAGCGTAATCGAGAAAATGAAATAAATTTTTTGGAGAAATACCAGAGAAATTAAATAGAAATTTAATAGAAATGTAGGCAGATTAGATGTTTCTTATCGCGTATTTATGTATTTAGATAATAATTTTAAAGTGTTACTTAATACACATAATATTAAAACAATATATATATATATATCTTCTCAAAATTTAATACATTGTTTGTTTGTTTGTTGCCGTTATAAAATTTTTATCTTACGCGACACGTCATACACCAGATTAATATTTTATAGTAGAGATATACAAAATATATGAACATACCTGGTAATTTCTTAGTACGGAAAGAAGCATTTGTGATCATAGACTTTGAAACAGTTGGTGTAGTGGTTGCTGGAGACAATGCAACGCTAATTCCAATTGGTCCATCATTCGCTTGACCTGTGAAATAATAAAATAGGCTGTAAAATATCTATTTTCGTACATGCCAAATGTTAATGTAGTAAATTTCTCTAACTAGAATTGACATTAGACGCATCATGTTATGTTATTAAATTAATTACCTGGTGCTCCAGAACTGGCAGAATTGCGTATAGCATTAGTAACTAACATTACACTCGGATATGCTTCATAACATGCTCTATTATGAATATCTTCTATGGCTTGATTTGCCACATACCAACATTCGTTGTACCTAAAAAATGATATTCCATTGTGAAATATACTTCCATCTTTTAAGAAAAAATACTCTATGAGAACGATATTAATTCCAAAATGTTATATTTCATCAAAATAACTAATTAAGATACGTAGTAAAATCAATGTTCTATCAATGTTAAAATATGGATTAAGAAATTTCATAAAATCTGCAGTAAATGTATGTCACATACATGGCAAAATATACAGCATGTGAGAATTCCAATAGAAACTGGCTAGATACTGGTATGCGTGGTAAAAGCCTTGGAACAAAGCTAGATTCACTGCCATACGAAGAACGTTGATGATGTCCTGGCTTCATAAATCCTTGAGTGACAAGCCTACAAAGACAGAATTATATTAATATATTCAGAATAATTTCATTAATAATTATAATTAAACTCACTTTGTTGCAACTTTACACAATTGTTCCATGGCAAATTTATTTATATAACCGAGTTGCTGATTGTAGATGAAAAGTAAAGCTGTCATGACTTTTAATCGATTTTGTGCATTCAATGTCTCAACTTGTTGCAATGGACCCCAGCTCACAAGTTTTGAGTTGCATTCTTCAAAACGACGTACCGCACTTACTGTTAATGACGCTGGCGCTAGAGTTTCAGGCTGTTCCAAAGAATATTGCAATATAATCATAGATAATTATTCCAAGAGCTCATAAGAAGTGCATGATTTATAAAATTAAGAAATTTCCTACCAGACTGCTGTTTACAGCAGTTTGCTGAGAGAAAGGCATCTAAATTATGCAAGAATTCTTATTAATTTCTATTTATAATTTCTATTTATTCTAGAATTCTTGACTTCTAATTTCTATCTGTTTCCTATAGATTGTACTTTATGTATCAAACGTAAATATATATATCAACATACCTGATGAAATATGGATAACATAGCAAGAGATGGTAATCTGAATGAGATTGCTTTTTGTTGCCCTGATTTATCCACTACTTCTAAATTGTATAATCCAATCAATAAAGTTTCAAGGGAACGACAACTCTGTTGAAAATTAAACATTAGGTATACTATATTTTGCTATTAAATTCATTTAATATGTCCAGAAGTAGTCGTTTATAAGAACTACAATGAAATAAAAAAAATTAAAATAAATAAATTTTCCAGTTAAATAACTTTCCTATTCTTTATTGTATCACAACCAAATACTACAAGATATTGGGATTATTTGTTGTATAAGTTACATTTTCATTCATATTATGTAACTTCTCATAACTATCAATCATATATCATGATTGTACAAAGAACCATAGGTAGGTCATATAGTTTATGAGTAAGTTGACAACATATCATTGTTATCGATGATTTTTATTTCTAATTTAATAGAGGTGTAATCTTACCTTAATATCACCATGTGCGGCAGAATTGAGATAAATATATATCAATGTAGGTAGAAATTGCAGAGTGAACCTTTGTAACTCTATTTCCCGAGATCGGTAGAAATTATATAATTGATTACATACTGTATCCATCAACTGTAACCAAAAAGATTAAAGAAATACAGTCATCCTTACCTCAGAATGCAAATATATTACAATACAATGAATCAATGTTTAAAATCTTTCTAACAAATATCTGAAATTGTTATTATAAAGTTACATATATTCGTAAATAACTATGAATTATATAAATTATTTGCATATTTATTACAACCAATTTACTACAACTTCAATGAATATGACAGTTTTTCAACTGGTGTGTATAAAACCACACCAGCTGTCAAAATGCTTATGAGTGTTGGTAGAGCGATAAGAAACGAAGCTTGTTATTGGAAGAGCAAGATATAATCATTCGACATCATGCGATACGAGATGGCCGAGATCCTAGGCGAGAGGTAAACACTCGTTAATTCGATTAAAGGTGGTGGACACACTTGTTATACCTCGCTATATTTAGTGCGCTCTTCCAGAAGCACATAGAGTGCTCGCACGATCTCGTTATCCTGCGAGAGCGTGTTGGCGAACGTGTGCAGTTCCGACTGCGAGACATCCTTGCAGTCCGCCAGCCACTCGTTTATCAAGCTCTCCGTCATTTTCGGACGTCTCTCGCCTTCGTCAATAAATCAGGATCTTGCTGATGAGAAATCGCGGCTTCGACTTCGACTCGCTGGCTGTCACCGTGACAATCATCACACAGGTTTATCGTGAAATTGTCGCGACGCACCGTTGCATCAAGACGAACAAAACGGAGCTGCGCGAGTTCGGTTACATGTCTCGTCGATGGCTGTTCTGTTTTTCTTTTGCTTTTTTGCTTCTTTCTCGTTGATACGCTCGCGCGGCGCGACGTTCGATCTGGACGCTCGTACACGTTACATGCGAGCGATCTGGAACGACTCACGCCACGTTATTACCAGTCGCTGTCGCTGGCAACTGATCGCGCGATACCCACCGATAATGTTACATGTCATTGGACGGCCGCGCGCGCATGCGGCATGACTGGCCTGGCGGTTCGTTCTTTCCAGTTGCACTTTCTGTACCTGTTGTCCCCGCTGCTGTTTCCCTTCTCCTTTTCTTTCCTTCATCCTCGAATAAATCAGCTGAGTCGGAGACGTGTGATTCTCGATCTTTTATTTTTACGTTGCGTATTATCGCAGTTGGTGTGATATATATGTTTTATGAATAATATCGATGATCATAATCTGCGATTCATAGATACATTTTATCGCTGCGAAGCCCTGCGGGCTTCCAGCAGAATAGCTTGCAAACATCCGAAGTTGCGAAGAATGGCAACTATACTAGTTACAAAGTGTTATTTTCGATCGTAAGACAGTTGCGGTTGCTTAAAGAGAGTTGCCCAACTTGTAACTTCTTGGCGACGGCAATCGGTAAATCGCAACTGTCTCTCACAACCGAAAATAGCACTTTGTAACTAGCGGTTGCCATCTTTCGCAACTCGCAACTGGATGTTTGCACTTATTCGCAACTTATTCTGGCTTCCGGGCTTGATATTCGAGCCTCGCGTTGGAATCAGCGCGATATGGCATTGAGATAAATCGATCTCTACCGGCGGCGGGCCGAGAGAGAGAGAGAGAGAGAGAGAGAGAGAGAGAGAGAGAGAGAGAGAGAGAGAGCGCTTGCTCACGACAGTTTTGCGAGATCGGGTGTATAGTCAGAGAAACGAGATAACTTCCCTAGAAACCTTACCTGGCCTGGCCGCGCGCACAATGATGACGTCAGATAGTGATAAGTGAGTGATAGGTGAGTGTGTGTCGACGGAGACTATAGAACGTCACACCGCGCCGGAGATAGTGGTTGCATCGTGCGTTCGCTCCTCCTACGTGTGTCGGCGCACCGTTCCGGAGCTGCTGACATAGCTGACATTGAGAATTATCCGCGATAAGTGGCCGCACCGCGCGTTCACCGATGTTGAAATGAAGCAGAAGCGCGTCATGTATGGCGACGCGCGTAGACGGTGCGAGAGACAGACGCAGTTCGCCCCGTACGGGCCCTGCCTACCTGCGGACTAACGATCAATGGCTTTATTCGAGAAGAGATACACGAATAAAGTGCTGTTAGATGACACGGAACAGCTGATGAGCGTAATCGAAAATGCGAGGACCATCGATGGACATACGGTATGTACTCTCCAATATTTTCGCTTTTCGCTGTCACCCTCCCCCCCTCTCTCTCTCTCTCTCGCTCTTTCTCTCTCTCTCTCTCTCTCTCTCTCTCTCTCTCTCTCTCTCTCTCGTTGTCTTCGTCTCTCTCTCCTACCTTTTCGTTTTATCCTATCATTACCTTAATTTGTTTGTCTCGTTTAATTAAAGTGTGCGTATATAGGGATCGTCGGTCCCTAATGGGACTATAGTTGTATATTGTTACAACACAGACGTCAACCTTGTGTACAAAAGAATATTCTGTTCGACAGTTCAGCTGCCATGTTGTATTTTTGAAGTTTGTTTTCACTTTTGCGTTGACGCAATAAATACGCCTCGCATTAATAACGCGCACCGTGTGCCGTTTGTATTATTCAGGAATACGTTATAAAAACACAAAGAGGTCCACTTCCTGAAAGATCTTGGAGAGTCAGCAGACGCTACAATGATTTCGTACAGCTCAATACAGCTTTATCCATATCTGGCTTTGATCTGCCATTACCACCAAAAAGAATTATTGGTAATATGGAACCGGACTTTATAGCTCAGCGACAAATAGCACTGCAGGTTTGTTGGATATGTAGGATATCCTATTTTTACGCATATTTACACAGAACTGCTGAGCGGAACATATGACAGTCTTCCTTTTCTCTTTCAGAATTATCTAAACATAGTACTAATGAATCCTATACTTGCATCTTCACTTCCTATGAAAAGGTTTTTAGACCCTGAGAATTATACAGCACCGTTACATGGTAAGTTTCTGGACAATAAATGGAGTAAAGTAATAGGGAGTAATGTACAATATAAATTGTTAAACTGATATTGGATTGGTCTTCATATAACTTTGGGAAAGTGATTAGGATGTTACAAAAATAATCTGATTCCAAATTCTAAATACGTAGGAGAAAAATGTCGACTGCTAAGAGAAAAGATTACTTGGTTTATATATTTTTTGTTGTGTACAGCATCTAAGTACTAATGTAAGAATTATTTTTTTATAGAAATTGCACTGCAACAAGTGTCATTAGCGTTGCGAAGTGATGCGAATTATGAAGTATGTAAGCCCATCCCTGATATGGGATGGCGACTAAGAAAACATTACTACACAGTGAAAAATCGACAGAATCCGAAGCAGGAGCTTTTATTAGCCTGGGTTGAATTCGGTCCTGATAAACATTTGCAAGACAAGGATATACAAGGAGTTTTTAAAACTTTAGGTTCTCTACGACACACTTACATCGAACCGATGGTACATCAACATGTCACGGACAATGGGGCACTAATAATAAGAAATTTCCATCCGGCCGGAACTCTACATGATATTCTTTGCGTCACCAAGCCTAAGCAACCGTTCATAAAGAAATATGGAAATCCGAAACAAATCAAATCGTTAATTACGTCAGAAGTTGCTACGTATGGTTATCAGGTTAATAATCGTTACGCAAGTAAAATCGTGGTAAAACAACACGTGTGAACACAACTGTTCTATATAACGATAATAATATCATTTGTAGATATTGGAGGCTCTAGGATACCTTCATGAGAAGGGATTACCCTACGGACATTTGCACACTGGTAATATACTCTTGACCCAGAGGTGCGCCAAGTTATTGGACATAGAAAATGGATTGCTCGGATTGCCAGCATTTTATCGGCCTTATGTAGTGCAGAGGCGCAAGCTACATGCCACGGTAATATAATACATCATCTCAAATTATTCTCGATAGTACACTCAAATTTTTCAAAAAAGAAAAGATTTTTTTTTTATAGTATTCAATGCTATCTTTCTCTAAAAAATTTTTCTCTAAAAAAAATTTCATATGAAAAGATTTTATATTTGTCCTTTCATATAAGATTATTATTACCACTTTGATTGTATCATCAAGTACAAGGCAACCTGCGAGAACTTCTGTGAAGTTTGTACATTTGTATACGTCTTTCGCAACAGACCCAAGTTGATGTGTATTCATTCGGGCACGTTTTGTACGAAATGGCGTTCGGACGGCCACTTTTAGAGGCTACATGCTCCGAATTGCCCCATTGCGAAGCAAATCTAAAAAATTTACTGGAAGTGATCCTGTCGCCGGAAGCTCTGAAACAAGATTTGCCGATAGTGGCTCGACTATTGGAACATCCATTTTTCGAATCGGCAAGGCGCGCCGCGTTAGCTATCGGCGCCGTGGAAAAGCCACATTTCAAATTGAGCAATCATTTGAAGGAAGCTTTGCAGGAAGCTGTAAATAAAGCCGAGCAACGACTGCGCGATGAACAGAAAGTCGCCCGGCATCAGAAGAGGTTGGTTAAGGTTCAAGAGATGATGAGCTCCGAGGAAGAGATGAAGAAACGAAAACATAAATTGGTGAGTATATAGGGGGAAAAAAAAAATAAGGAGGGGAGAAGTAAACGTCGGGAGAGCAAACGGTTGCTGAACAAAAGACGAGATGCGTCAATGCGATTTCTACCTTTGCAGAAGAAAGAGCAGAAATTGGCGCAAGAACAACGTTCCGCATCGCAACTGGGTACAAACGGCATGAAACAAGTGAACGGTAAGAGTCCAGAACGCTCGGACAGCCCGACAAGTACTTCCACGGCTACCAGCGTTGGAACGTTGACTCCTCCGTCGCTTCGTAAGTCACCACAATGCTCCTCACGCTGTTTGCCATTGACGCTAATTGACATTTACGTTTCTACATCTCTTGATTAGCTGGGCACAAAAGTTGATGGCGCGTACTGAGGTCATTCCTTTCACGTAGGTCACCCGAGCATTCAGATTTCTCTTCTAAATGTCTATCAAATTCTTCATAGCTACACTCATGTTTGTTTTATAAGATTTTTCTTCATCAATGCTTTGATTACAGGTCGATTATGTGGTCTCATCCTTTCCTTTTCTACTGAGCTGCTATTTAGCTTATTCTGCATATCTTAGATATTTTAATATTATCTGTGATATATCTTTGTCATATATACATTTCTGTCCGTATCTTCATCCAATTTTTCAGAGATTTCTAGATAATATTTAGACTATTAGTCTACTCTTAGACGATTCCTTCCTGAATTCCTTAGAATGAAACGCGTACACAGAGCGTAGCGCAGCCCACTGTATCACATTCTCTGTCTTTCTCTCTCGCTGAAGGTTCCGTAGAAATTCCGCCAGCAGATGCAGTTCTTGGCAAAGCCATTCCACCACCACCTCCTGCGCTGCCATCGTCGTCTGAAGCATCTGGTGTTGCGTCGAACAGTGTATCAAAATCGACGAACGAGCGCGCTGCTCTGCTCGGTAGCATCTGCAATTTCGACAAGACTAGACTGCGAAGGATCGCGAATGGACATCGTTAGATGCGTTAGGTAAAACAGATATGTAAAAAAGAATCCGCCGCAAGAGATTGCTGGTGCGATACAATTATATTACGAACAAAGAACTGCTAAATTAGAACAGACGATGTGTACCTATAGATTATTACGTTGGATTGTAAGGGATTGTCTGAATGATAGCTTCGTCGTGCTTCTCGTGACTCCTAATGGTACTGAGTAACTTTCATTTCGATCGCGATACTTGTATTTTACAAACTTTTCAGATTTCGATATATTATTCATATAGATGCTCGCGCCACGTAAATACGTGCGGTTTTGTAGCTTATCACGATTAAATTAAGAGAGTACAATATATCAAATTTGTGATATACATATATACTGGTCCATTTTAGCGTCTGGCCTACGTTTATATGAGATATAATACAATGCTTGCTTCACCGTGTTAGACCTGCCGTCCAGGAACGAGCCTAAACGAACGGAAACAACCAATCAAAATACCAAGATGCTTTTGAAAATTTGCCATTTTATGAATCATCTTATATTCTTCCGGTATATATAACTATACGAGTATACGAGTTTTAGGAGATTAGCTAATTTACAAAGATATACTGGATAATATATAATAATTAGGACCATTCAATTATATATATATTATCTAGTTAGTAAACCATGAAGTAAATCATGAAATGAAAATGACTTTACACGTGGAACGTACGGTAATTTCTGCTGGGAGCAATCGGACCCTTTTAGATTTGTTTTGATCGTTTACCATTCGTTTACGACGAATTAAAATCAAGCGTGTGTACCATTTCGAGCAATCACGTTTTTCTAGTCCAATACATATCCCGGTCTTATACAACAATCGATAGCGCCATAGAATTTTACGGATTTGATAATATACATATGTATAATTTAAATGCGAGTCAAGTTTCGCGATCGATTTATAACTTATTATTATTATTATTAATAATCGCGCGTGGCTCGTTTATTCTTTTTCTTTCATGTATATAAGTATAAAATTTCTCTGGATACAAAATGTGAAAATTAAAGAAAAAGAGTGATACAACGGGGTGATAGTACGTATGCATATTAAATGAATTTTCTCTCGTTATACTTATCTACTGTTCTGTCTATACAAAGTTTATGATATACATAATATATATAAATATATGAACGCATATATAGTTCTCTCGTGCTCGTGTTCGTGCAGTGCAATGCGAGGATCGTACGCCGCTTTTGTATCGCTCGTGAGACAGGAGAATGTTCAGTTTTACGAATTAAAAACGTGCCAAGGGATATATGATCTTCGTATTGACGGATAATATGATACACCGGTAGACTATAGTGTGATCTATTTCTATATGTCGAGAGAACACAATCATAAGTACATGTCTCGTATAACGTTTGTCTGTCGATGCTATAACGAAAATTGTAATATAACCACCATACGTTTTAATACACTTACCACTTGTCTTAAATACATATGACAGCAGTGTGACATTCTTGTTAAATATGACGTTTGGTGTATAAGATATAACAACAACAAAATGTATCAATGATAAAATGGAAATAGATTATTGACCATTCGGTCAATCTGCCGTAATCTGCCGTTCGGGTTCACTGCATCAACCACATCCATTTTCAGAAATTAAAAGAAAAAATACATCAAGATTTTATTACATTATGAAATTTTATATTAAACAAAATTCCATCTACACGTATGCGTACAACACTATATGACATTGCCGCAATCCAATATTTCATATGTGCGACTACATAAGATTGTTTAAAATTGTTGTTGATCCAATGAACTCAAACGACAGGTTACAGAATTAGCATTTACCGGCAAGAAAAACACTATTCTTTTATGGTTATAATTCTGTTTATGCACATAGTAATAAAAATTTTAGAACCAATGGATACCAAACTCTTAGAGTCCTTCGAGAATAGCGTACTTCCGATATGTTATTTTAGATTTCACCTTGTAGAGAGTCACAACAGCTTACGTATTTGTACAAACAATTAGTGTATATAGCATGCAAAAGCTGTATAAGGATCTTATGTATTCTAGGAAAGGGAACAAATTTTATGTTTTCTGATAATAAGAGAAACGTCGAAACAGTGGTCAAACAAACAAGACGATTTTATTTCATGATGAAAGAAACGCTATTTTAATACCTAATAATATATTCAACAAGAATATATAATATCTATATAAATTTATCACGTTCAGGTAGCCCAGAATTTTGATAGCAGCCCGTGTTATACTTATAGTATAAAAGTATGTATATTAACAATATGCGCATATACGCACGGGAACGCATGTAGACACGCGATTGTCATCGTGACAGTTGTTGCAACCTAAATATATTGCAATAAATATTCAAAAACGAAAAAAAAAAAACGAATCGTGTAATTAGCCAGTAATCATATCGTTTTCATCACAAGCAATTACAAACAAGATATACAGCTTACTTTTTAGCTATATTTTATATTCGCTAATATGTTTATCGTACGATTCTTCATAGAAATTCACATGTCATATTATTACAAAAACAGTACTAACATTCTAATTATAAGACACGAGACACGCTGTACGTTAGTGCTTGCTTAACTGTGCGATCGTTTACTATGCGTTCTTTAGTAAAAACAAATGCAAATCTGTTAATTGGCACGGTGCTCGTAAACGAGGACGCGGAGTATATAATTAATGGCCAAGTGTGCTACATCCGCACTGTAATGACACTTTAAATTGACTTTGGAAATAGAATAATTAATGAGGTACACTGGCACAGCTTTTATATATTCACTTTATACGTGTTCCCCGCTTGTACTATCAAAATTTTTTATTGACAATCATTATAAAAGGAGCACGTATGTCAGTTATGATTATTAATCGTACTATGTACACGTATGATTTATATGTTACGGTGAAAGTGACCAGCGCGCGTTGATTATGTTTCTACAGGATTGCCAATATTTCGTATATATTGTGCCAATGATCAGTTTTATAAAAACATCGGTTAATCACTTTTACACCGTAACATGCATATATATATTTATATATAAATTATTTTACAAGGCGTGCATCGCCCGAGAAACGTGTGACTCGGAATGAATGCATGTGTAACGTGTATCAAAACTTGCATATTTCTTTCGCGATTCTTTTAGTGAGTTTACACAGTCCATTATTCCTGCTAATTACCTGCTAAATACCTGTTGAATTATTATCATAGATAATAACGCGCATAATTTCTAAAACTCGCTAAATATCTTAGTGATGAGTCAGATAAATTGAATTTAATTAGGTTAAAAATTAAGTAAATTTAAGTAAAAAAGTTTTACCAAAACAACTTCCTAAAATTAAATCAATATCCCATTCAATCAATCTCGTTTGTCTAAAGATTTTTATCGGAAAATGGTCGATATCGTATTTCAAGAATGCGTACAATTGCGAGAAGGTACGCAACTTCAACATGTACGAATACATGTACCAGCATTAGATAATCTTTCGCGAAGAGTTTGTTAGAAACAATTAGAAACGATGAAATTTTCGTAGCATACAGAGCGACTTTCTATACAATAGATGCTTACGTTAATCGATATTGTCACGAATATAGTTACAATACGAATATATACTTAAAAAAAAGGAAACTAATCATTATCATACAGATCGTACATATCACGTACAAGTCTCATTTTCTACACGAATGGTTATTTCCTTTTGTAATATTTGGCAAATTAAGGCTAGAGACGGAGAGATGACGCAGAAAGATCATCTTCGTCATAACTTGTGAAGTTTTTCCGTTGCTGCTTTCAATCTGAAAGTGTACGAAATGCCTTCTGTGTTTCTCTTCCATCATAGCTTTTCGCAATTATCACTAAACGGCAACGTATATAAAGTAATGTAAAAACTTTCGATATTGCCCCGTCCTACCTTTGAAGCTCCTCTTGTATGCGATCGGTTATCGCTTTCCGCGCTTCCACTTCGCTCGCTTTCGACACCCGCAATTCGTCCAACAATCCGCTAAAGTCTATGGGCTCGCCGTAATTCATGGTAACTCTCTTCCCCGTTTTTAACATATACGGCGGCTCGTTAGGAAGTACTTGATCCATACCGAGATGGCAGATAGGAATTACGATAGGCGTGACGGGCGATTCTAATATTAATCTGCCCACGCCCCATTTCAACCTAAACAGTATCATCGATTTAGTCCTCATCGAACGACACCTGGGTACCTAGTATTAGTAACATCAAATCTCTGCTATTACACAATATGTTTATCTGCAAGTATACTTCGTTTCCTGCATATACTATACTGAATATGAACGATGATCTTTACGGTTCTACAAGTTTTCTCAGGAATGAATAATACATAATATTTGATTCGACGATCTAACACGTCAGATACGAACTCTAGCTCTAACTCTAATTTAATGGTTTTTACCCAATCTTTATTTAATAGCGGTCCCGTGTATTTAAAAAATTTTTAATTATATCAAGATAAATATATATATATATATATATATATATATAAAACAACAAACTGCAACGTCATCATGAGTTATTTCTCAAAGTATCGAAAAAAGTTGAGCAAGAACTTTTCAGTACGAACCTGATGTCTTCCTTGAGCATGTTCACTTTTCCTTCAGGGAAGACGTGCACCCATTCCCCAAGGGCCAACCTTTCGATGCAGAAGTCCATGGCTTCCTGATACACGCCGTCGCCTCTAACGACAGGTATACACTTGCCAAGCATAAAAAAGTAGGAATGCCAAACATTTGTGAAACAAATGTCGTGTGCAGCGAGCGACCATCGCATCTTACGTCGATTGAACCCATGCTGGAGGTCTAGTGATGCTAAATGAGTTTAGAGATTTTCTGTCTTAAATTCTTTCATTCGATTGCATATCGGCGTCGTTCTGAGAAAGAAAAATACATCTCAGAAGGGGGACCTGAATGCACGTCGAGAGTCATCGAGAATACACAAAATCGAGAATTCATCTTAGCAAGAGGGCCAGACAACGAGATGATGAGAGGCACGGTTTCTCGTGCATGATTAAACGGCTGAGACACAATGGAATCAAGAACGAGATAAGAGGCAGGAAGGAAGGAAGAAACGACTGTGTAAGAATGCCCAATAAACGATGTCAGATATGACTCACGCCTATTATATTCTGACTTTTAAGATCAACGTCGAGAAACAATGAATATCATTGATCACCGAAAGACGTTCGGTTTTTTTATCTATCTTGATTGTAATCCTTTTCTATTATCTTATCGCATATCAACCACAATGCATCGGTAAGACATCGATTTGTTAGATAGAATTTACGCACTTTAGAAGATATTTCGCGGAAATTGTTCGCATACACTGAGTTTCAAAACGGTTTGGAACACTTTTGTTCTCATGGTCCAACGAGAGAACTTGTTTCTGAGGAATTCTCAAAAGTTAAAAAAAAAAAAAAATTTCATACCGTCTCGAAAGCTAATATGTAGATGAAAATGACTCGAGCAACTGATAAGAAACGAGATACTGAAATAATTTCATGAAATTCAATTCAGCATTTGCATCGCAGAAATGACGTCGATCTTTCGCGGCCGACTTGAACAATTCGATACCTCCGTTGAATTTCGTTTTATCCGACACTCCAGTCGAGTCTATTTCATTTTCGATTTCGTACTACGTACAACACTAAATTTTATTCTTGCGTTTCATTGTATCTCGGCCTTGAGTGCCTTCGAGATCATAAAGAAGCACCTCGGAGCATGCTGTTTTACGGCGGCCGAATGGTGCTTTACACCTGGCACGACGACGATTCTCGTACGCGGCGTTTTATTTGTTTCTCCTCTTTTCCGCTCTTTTTCTTTCCTTTCTCCTCGATTTCTCGCGACGATAAATCACAGCTGCGCGCGAGCTCCGCGCGTCCCGCCGGCGCGCGCGGGATTGATGATGCGCGTTATGCGCGCCGAAAGGCATTTAACAAACGAGTGAAAAAGCTTACCCCATATGCCTGGATCGTCGAAGCAACTGTGATGATTCGACACGGTAATGAGCGGGACGTCTTTCGGCCGGACGTCTAAGGCGCGCACGATAATGTGCTTGTTGTACACCGTCGTTTTGTTCAGCCATTCTTGAATGCAGAGGAGAAATCCTTTGTTAGATTAATCCGGGGGTGCGTGCAGTAGCCGGCCAGCTGTCCCCAAAATTGCCCACCCCTGGCGCTTAAATGGCTGTCTAATCAGCACGCCTCGCGATCGCGACTCAACGCGCGTGACCGCTTCCTGCCGATGCGGGAAACCGGAGAATCTCGTCTACGCCGCCATGCATAATCGGACACCCCGACTACATGAGACGACCGGAACGTCGTGAGAGGATCAGTTCTCCACTTGAAAATGTATATCGATTTATGTTATACGTATTACGGTAGTTACGCGGTAGTACGTCGTTATCGCGACGCTGCGCGCAATTATACGCTCCGCTTGCGATTGCTTCAAAAATTATATAAATAAGCAAAATTATCGGCAACCTATATTCTCTATGAAATATGAATCTCTATCAACAAATTATACACTTCTATTTTTCAACAGCGTAATATCAACAACTGGAAATGTTATCGTTGCACTAGATTTTATACATTAATCAGCATGACTGTTGCATATAAACATAATGTCACATGTCAAGAAGCGAATGACCTATTCTCATACAAATTCAAGTATTGTCATCCATTTATTTATTTATTTATTTAAAATTTATTCGCTATGTTACCGATTATCATAGCATTTCAAGTAATGGGAACGTATGAGAAGGCTTAAATATAAGCATTTTTAGATTGTTTCTTTTCCTGAAGAAGTGAACTTCCTGGAATGTTCACGAAACATCGGAAACAAATTCGCGATGGACGCAGTATCAATCCAGGAATCAGACCAGGAGTTAAATATAAATTTTACCTCAAACTGTGCATATTACGATAGCTTTATTTCGGAAAACTTCGCATGCGATGGAGTGTCTTCAGCGTACAAATTACTAATATCATTTCTGAATTTGCAATCGCACATGGATGGGCAACTATCATATTGATACTATAATAATAGATATCTATGTTTGATGTTGAAATGATAGAAAGGACAAGAGCATGAATTATATATTGTATTAAAAAATATATTCAAGTTGAGAAACATTATTTCGAATCTCCTAAAACAAATTTTCGTGTTAAAGAGCACGAATGCTTGACTTTTCCTTTTTAACAATCAAATGTAATTTTCCATGTTCAAGATCATTTAGAGGTCATGTTGTCAACGTTAAACTCTTCTTGATGTTGGCTATAAATATATAGCTCCATTTAAAAAGATTACATTGACTTTTAAATCTTTTGAAAAAAGAAATTTCACGTCATTATAATTACTTACTCAAACAACGTAACTTTTTTTTAGACGTTTTTTTCGTTATTATCAAAAACAAGTGAGAAATTTAAAATGCTCAACTTCAGCTCAAAGTGAGCAAGCACTTTATATAGAACTATTATATCTTTTTATAACTGTAATAAAATATAGAGATAAGAGGTTGCTGATAGTGTCATGCTGTTAATATATATATTAGCATTTAAATTCAAGTCAAACACAAACACGAAGACATTGTTGATTGATAATATCACTAAGACAAATATAACTTATTTGTAACACTACTACATTTACATTTTACTATTCTGAGATAGTAAAATTTATTTCAAAGCTAGAAAATTTAAAAAGACATAACTGAAAGTTGCTTTTAAAGAACAGAAATATGATTAGTATTCAGCTCTTTGTAGTGTTCACTGCTTATTAATTATTGAATAGCTGCTATGTCAAAGGTTACCTTAAAATGGGCATATATTATTTCTTCAGTGAGTCAGCCTTATTTTAACTGGAAATAATATGTGGTTACTTTTTGTTTTCTGCTAATTTTCTTGTTTTATCATTTTAAATATCCTTATTATATAATGATTTTTGCTTCGAGTATCATGTAAAAAATTGCTAGTGAACATAAATTAAAACTAAATTTTAATTAAAAATCATATATCATTTCCTTACTTTTACGAAGAATATATTGGTTAGGACATACTGTGACACTATATGTTACATGACAAGTTGTGCACAATAGTTCATAGGCTATTAAGAATGCATGGCCTTGTTCGTCCAATTAGAAACTTTTTCTCTCCCTCTCTATTACACACATAACATATATCTATTAGCAAGGAGTATATTACAATAGTCACTGTGATGTTAAACCAGCACATGATATGTAAGTACAAAGGGCACATTCTGAGAACTCTCATGCTCTGCGTAAGCATTCAGTAAGCAATACTACCACAGCTAATGACATGCAATCAAGCTAAATGACTAGCAATCAGACCTCTGTTCTTTTAAATAGATAGTGACTTTGAAGCCCCTGTCTACTAAGAGTGTTATCATTAGACAAGGTTCGTCTCAGCTGGTACGTGGTAGCAAACGTATACAATTGTACCACGCGTCTATTCCGTAACTGAGTCGTAACTGACAATTAATTTTTCCTCATGTACATTTCGAGCGTAACGGCCGTATCTGCATTTCCGCGCGATGACGGACATCGTCAATGTCAACCGTAACAAGATGCCATAACGAGCGCTATATATTTTCATTTAACCTTCGCGCGATGTTGCCCCATAGGGAAGGTACGTGCAAATGGCTCTCGCGTTAATATGTCGAGAAATCCGTCTCACGCACATACACAGCACCCCGTCGTCGAAGAGGATCGCGACGATTCCGGCGGCTACGTCGTTCGTACGCGCTGTCGGTAATCGCGCGACGTCGACGAGCCGACGAGTCTCGGGCAGAAACCGGCAAGCGAATAGCTCTTACCTATGATGATTTTCGAGAAAATGCCCACTGCTGCGAAGGTTATGCTACTCGCGATGTTCCAGAGCCTCGACGGGTTCCGAAGTTTCGGTATGATCCACTTAATGTTATATACCATCGCGTCGACAGCCACCACCGAGCGTGACTAAGAGGACGTACGGCAACGCGGCGGTTTTCTGGACGGTCGGGCAGCGGCTTACCCGTAAGAAATCGTCCGCTCTTTCGTAACGCGTGGCAGCCATCTTCCTGGCGAGTCCGAGCCATGTTTTGCGACGTGAGTCACGTGGCTGCGCGAGCGACATCGCGTAGCGGCGTATCGCACGTCACAACACTTGTTCGAGCTGCTCGTTCCACCTGCACTTTTCGCACTTTCACGTCTCGTTTATTCTCTCTCTCTCTTTCTCTCTCTCTCTCTGCTCTCTTGCTCTCTTGCTCGCTTGCTTGTGTGCGTATACGACTCGCTTCGTCGCGCGTGCAGCGAGGTGTGTAGTGCAGCGCGGCGGAAAAAGAACAGAACAATGACACGCGACTGAAGTCGCGTTTCATCTCGCTCTCGTTCGCGCGAGTACGCGTGGGAACCGAGAGTGGCGCTATTTTAAATTCAAATTCGAAATTTTAAATTTGGTATTCAGGGGGTGCCACTATCGGATACAATGGCGTCCTTAGTTGACGATGCAGGAAGATCGCGCGAACGATTACGCAGTGCCAAGCGCATTTTTGCTTCACTTTGATCTGGCGGTCAAGGTGAAACTTAGTCATGCTTCGTTGCGAGTCACGCATTTGCGTATGTAAGTATGCTTTATTGGATCGCGATTATTTGTGACTTTTTGATCACTCTGTGTTTTATCATTATTTGTGTTACTCGACACGTTACTCGATAGGATACTCGAGAGGAAAGATTAGCGAGAGAGTCCAAGAGACACCCTCGAGTCGACTTGATGAAAAAACCGCTTGAAAAGATGCCGCTCTCTTAAAATCTCTTAATCAATCAGATGATTAATCAATAAGATGAGGAGAAAAAACTGAAAACGAGTAATTCGGAGCGAGGGAGGATGACTTTTACGTCTTTGTAAGGTATATTTGACTTCACTTTTTCCTTTGACTTCCCTTGGTCTCCGTCTTGAATAATATCTCAGTGACGAAATGTAAAACTGAAACCAGTGGGTGCTACTGGGGGATTTTGTACACAAACAGCTTATTCGAAGGCAATCTTCATCATTTGCAGCAAATTGTGGCATAGCCCCGTACCTATCAACTTGCATATAGTTATTAACGCTAGTCGAGAAGAGCCACGCGATATTACTTCAACAACTTAATAAAACTTAATTAAACTGATACAGGTAGCTCGATATCGTGGTTTCACGGAGGTCTCTTTCGCGTGTTGCAGCTATGCAACTGAAGGCTGGCTGAAGGGTCAAGTCGCGTGTAACGAGAGATGGCGGCGTGTAACGAAGCGGGCACGCAGTGTCGGGAACGGAGCGAGCAGAAAGTAGAGAACGAAGTGGCGTAGGAAGGTAAGGCAAACGTGGAATATTAAGCGTGGGAAAGAAGCATATAGAGAAGAAGCAGGGCACAGGGAGGAAGAAGCGAGAGGCGAACATCGAGAGAGAGCGAGTCGAGAGTTGAGTAAAAGGGAATCATTCCGAACCCTTCGTTCTTCCTCTCGTCAATGCGCGCGATCGCTATTCGTCATTGTAACATAAGCGTTGAAAGTATGCAGAAAGAACGCAACGAGAGCGAGCAGTCCCATCGAGGCGACATTGTACGCCGGTTAGTTCCTAATCATAGTCAATTACATCGTCAACCGCGATACGTCGTCCGTATCGCAGCCGGTTTCGATGTGAGGTATCAGAGCAGCGATCGAGTCTCGACGACGATCACTGTTAATTCCGTGTTCACGGAACCGGGTCTCGGATCCATTACGCGTTCGGACGTTCGGCAGCTCGCTGATAACTTTCCGTGAAACGCGCGCGTGTAGAACCGACACGCGAACTATATTATCGGGTCGTCGACTCGAATTGCACGTTCATTACGGTCACGAGCTCAAATTCGCGCGCGTACAACGTACGTCTCGGGGGGTAGAGCGAGGCGAAGGGAGGAGGAAAATGCTCGGACTCGGAGAGCAAGAGCGGAGCCGGCGCTCGCGCGCGCGCGCGCGCCCGGCGCAGAGAGGAGATATACAATGATGTTAGAGGTGAGTCGAGGGAGGCCGGGGGAAGGAGAATGTTCAGCGGCATCCGGAGAACAGGACGAAGTGAAGGGGCATGAAGAGGGGCCCGATGTGAGGAGAGAAGAGACCAGTCGAGGCTCGCGCACCGGGAGTAGGGAGTTGCGGGCCTCATCTCGGGGGCCAGTTCGACTCGGGCTCTCTCGACTGCGTGTTGCCGCGCCATCGAACAAGGGGCATCCCTGGCGAGTAAATCGGTGCGCGATCGCGACGAACACCAGCGTGTGCACTCTCGTAGGGCACACAGACGGCCTCGCAGCGGCGTGCGAGCGAACTCCAGAGTGCGTGTCGCGCGCTCGTGCTCTCTCACTCTCTCTCTCACTCTATCTCTCTCTCTCTCTCTCTCTCTCTCTCTCTCTCTCTCTCTCTCTCTCTCTCTTTGCGCAAGTGATCGCGACATTATCATCGACAACGACCTGACCGCGGTACGCTTGGCCGTCGTGTGTCAGCCCCGTTCGCGTGCACTCATCGCGATCTGCGCGATCGCCCTGAGCCGTCTCCTCGTTCGAGGTGTCAAGTTAGCCTGACGAGTGAGCCCCGCGATGTGACTGTCGAGACGTTTGTCCCCCGTTTGTCTTGTTTCTCGTGAGTTTTCCGCTTTCGCTCTCGAGCGAGATTTATTGGTTAAAGGACTTTGACGCGCCGGCCCTTTCATCGGAGCGAAGTTGCCGGCGCATAAGCGAGCGAGAGAGTCGACGCGCATCGATACGCGTGCGCCAATAGCGTGGTGCGCCGATCGCTCTGAATCGGTCCGCGCTTGGCAGAGGTCAGAAGTCGGGCGTTTGTTTGCTGCGTGTGTTTGTTGTTGTGCGAGCGCGGTGGAGCACGGAGGCAAGAAACGACGACGAGAGGGAAGAAAAGCGCGGACCGCCGCGCGCGGTGATGCCGCCAGAATGCTGTCGTCGCCGTTGCGGCTCGTGCTCGCGTCCCGGTATCGCACGGCGACACGGCGGCCCGTAAACTCGCGGCGCGACGCGGCGTCAAGTGCAGGTGCAGGTGCGTCGAAACCGGCCAGTGCCGTCCGGAGCAACGACGCTCGCTCCGGCGATTTCCGGCGATGCGGGACGCGATACGCGAAATCATCCGCGACCTGAGCTCCGCGTCGTCAACCGTTCGACGCTTCCCCGCGACTCGCGATTACGCCGCGGACAGAGGATTATCGTCGTCGTTGTTGTGGTGTTGGTGGACGTCGCCGACGTCGTCGTCGTCGTCGTCGTCGTCGTCGTCGGCGTCGCCGTCGTCGTCGTCGTCGTCGGCGTCGGCATCCTCGTCGGCACCGGGTTGCATCGCGGGATCGCAACGGGAGCCCGCATCGTTCACCGGTGATCTCGTTGGACGTGCCACGGACGTGCCGGACGCTACCAGTGCGTCGCGCTGCACAGGGAAAGCAACAGGTACGTATGCGCATGTATATGTAACGTATGTCATGTGCGTGTGTGTGTATGCAAGTGCCGCATGAAGTTCCCTCGAGTTGCACGACGTTCGGGCTGTAAGCGCGCGCGCGCGCATGCTCTCGATCGAAGATATCGCGAACGCGGACGCGGACGGTTCGCGTAGAGTCGTCTCTCGACTCTACTCGGCCCCGACTCAACGACGGCGGCGGCGGAGGTTGCGGAACGCGTGCTAGCCTCTTTCGTCGCGGAAGAAGCGAAGCTCGGCGTAGTGCAGATAAGACGCATCTCGCGGCGCGATCTGCAAGCCGCGTTTTGTAGACGACGAATCGGTATGGGATTTTCGCTCTCTCTCTCTCTCTCTCGCTCTCTCCCTCTCTCTCTCTCCCTCTCTCTCTCTCTCTCTCTCTCTCTCTCTCTCTCTCTCTTTCTCTTTTCCTCTCCTTTTCTCTTGTGCGAGCGAGCCTTTGTGCTGGGAAAACGCGCGAGTCATAGTTTGCTGACTCCTGGTGAACGTCGCCGATACCGCGGAGTCATGCGTGACGATCCAGCCGTACGCTGCGGGGATTTTAATGGGCTCCTGTCAGTGGTCTTTAACCCGAAACTTGACAGTGTATCCCGCAACATACGTCTCTATCGTCCGCCATCCGGATTTGCGATTCTCTCTCATGCACCTGCGATCTGCCTGGAATACCACGACCAGGCTCCTCGAAGTCCGCTCGCGCGCGAATTTACGTATCTCGTAATTATTGAGATTAAAATGTCGGGACGTGTTTCTGCTCGAGAAACAAGAACAATCGCGTGCACCCGACGTCAGAAGTAGCCGATCTGGCCTAACTTAACTTAATCTAACCTAACCTAACATGCAATTACTTTCATCTTTATCCGGGCTGTCTAGAAAATAGAAACGCACGACGCAGTTACGCACTGGGTGCACGATAGTTACACAGTTAAGTTTACGTCAGACGAATACCTATATTTCACTGGAGAAGTCGGGACAGAATTATATTTATATGAAAACATTGGAAAGAGAGGGAACACGTTTGCAAATCCATAATTCCACAAGCATGTTTATATTGATTCATAAATATATTTTCATATATTATCATACACATATGTATTCTCCGTCATATCTGTTTTTCGGTACTTTCTATATTACGCGACGCACAAATACAGATAGAATTTCGCTGGAAATTACGTCACGCGTTGCGGATCGTCCGAAGTTCGTGTTTATAGTTTTTACTTGAGATAGTTCAGAGCGCAGCTGAGCAAAAAAGCACGCAAAGTTCAACGTCGGAAGAAGTTCGTGGCGATCAGCCAACGTGCCACCTGCACAGAGCGGTCGAAACGCGCGGTTCGCCGGTGAACGAGTAAAGGGAGGACGGAGGGGAGACCACCTACTCTCCTTCTTCCAGAACGTTAATTGGTCGTTTCACGAATTATAAAGCACAACGAGGCAGAGCACTCGCGGGAACTCGCCGGGCACTCTCTATCGCGCCCATTAACATGCCTGCGCTTCGCGCTATCATCAACGTCGCTCTTTTCGCTTAAACGCTAATGACGGCAAAAAGATACTAATTATTCTCCCTCCCCCTCCCCCGCCGCTCGCGCGGACCGCAACCCCGCGCAGTTTTCTTCTCCACTGACGACGTGCGGCCGCGC